CTCACATGTATATTGTGCAACTACCTCAATAAAAAATAGATTGACAAAAAAATAGGAAGGAGTAAAGCAAAAATAAGTGTTGCTAAGGTTGCTAGTAAGAAAGTAAAAAAGAGTGCAGCTTTTGCCATGTATCTAAAACCTATTAAAACTTAAAGGGACACTATAGGCACTGTTGGGGTCAAATTCTACTGCTGGGCAAAGTGCTCCATGCACCTCACTTTTGGACCGAACGTTCGGGAAGAGCCTTTCAGTGATACACAGACAACGTGTTTCAAATTGGGCTCCTACCAGTGTATTAAGGGTCAGACAAACATATTTATATACAGAAGTTACTGCAAAAGTAACATGACAAGATTACATCAGCTAAACACAAGATTGCTTATTCAGCAACCAACAACATGCATTTCTGTAACCAGACATTAAAAGGTTATTTCTTTGATGGTCTGCAACAGGTTTTACATTTAAGCTGACATTTTAACAATTGCTATTTCTAATATAGTCTTGTCCATTTATAGTAGTCACGTACTTCATTTTTAACCCTTTTAGGCACCCAGACCACTTCAGCTCATTGAAGTGGCCTTGGTGCAGTGTCCCTTTTGCACTTAATTCTGCAATGTAAAACATTGTAGTTCCAGATAAACTGCAATGTTTACATTGCACCTCTAAGTTGGCCTCCAGTGGGTGTCTCCCAGACAGCCACTGGATGGGCTTCCTGGATCCTAAAGGACCTTTGGTCCGGTACCTGATCTTGGACATCCTCACGCTATGTATGAGGACCTCCAGCGTCAGATGTTTTCCCTTAGGAAAGCATTTATTCAATGCTTTCCTATGGGAAGGCCTAATTCGCATGCTGCATTTGCTGCGCATGTGCATTAGCGCCTGTTTGTTGCAAGATGTCGGAGGGGGTGGAGCGTCAACCCAGCACAGTGGAAAATCGGTGCTGGTATACGGTAAATAAATAAAGGGTTTGTATTCCTAGCACTACAGTATAACTTTAACTTTTAAAAGATAAAATAGTCAAATTGACATAAAAACCAAGCCTCATCAAAATCCTACACTAAATAAAAGAGGGATATTACCCATATAGCGTGTCAGAGAAATCAAAGTAAATACCAGTAAATACTACTATCTATATGTTTGAAAAAGGTGTATATAACTGTAAGAATCTAAGACAGAGTCTAACATAAAGTCTCTAAAATATAACCTTTTTCTTTTTCTCTCTCATTCACTTATTTAACTTTGTTTTTTAATAATTCTCTTTAAATACATATAATATTTCTGGAAGCAGTGCGATACTAGACTCATTTGAACCTTGCAAAGGCTGTTTTATAAATTATTCCCTTTTCTTGAAAATCTCTTGCAATCTCATGGGATTGTAAAAGTCGTATATTTCCTTGAAAGTTCCATAGATGCCTATTTTCTAATTTAATGCCTCAATTACTTGTGAGGTCTATAATGTAGTCTTCTTTCATCTCTTTAATTAATGTGACTGCCTCTCTGTGCTTCTGCACACAGTACTATTAAGTTTTTTTCTCCTAAATAGATGTTTGAAATGTAACTCCAGAATAAATACCCAGTGCATTCAATAAATTACATGTATTTAGTAAAGTAAAAAATAAAGACAATTTGTAGACTTTTCAGTTTCAACTTTTCATATATCCCTGCTGTTACTGTTGTCCTGAATTAACAAGTAATCTATACTTACATAGTTACGTAGTAATTCAGAATGAAAAAAGACTGAAGTCCTTCGAATTCAGTCTTTAAGACATATATTTTTATGCTGTTGATCCAAAAGAATCCTTTATTTGAAGGGGGAAATAAATTAAAAATAAAGCCCATATTATGTGTACTGTTCCAAGGACAATACTTGGAAAATGTGCACTAATTTTCATTTGTGCCTGGTTTTTACATGTTTCATTTATCTTTAAACTGTGAGCTCTTCAAACAAGACTCTAAAACTTGCACCAAAATACAGGCATTAAAAAACAATTCAAACTCTGCAAAAGAAGGTTTATTTTTTAAGTTTTAATGGATTCCTTTGTTCTGTTTGTCCCTTTATGTGATGATGAAGCATTTGTCGGCGGTAAATAAATACATTTTAATATTAATGTGAAATTAGTTGTAATGTGGTTTGCATATTTCATGTGTTTCATCCTCATGGTTAACCCCCTCCTTGCCAAACACATGCAATGCAAAAAATTTTTTAAAATATGTTAGCAGTTCCTATTTTTTTTTTTTAGTTCAGTTTAGAAGGCAGCTCAAACAACCCAAAACAGAGTCTCTCTATTCCAGTCCAAGGAAAGGTGTTGATGATTAGAAGAAGTTTTAGCTATTTAGAAAGTTCTCGAGTGTTTGTAAGTATGTAACAAGACAAAACGACAGTACAACAGGTATATAGTGCAGTATGTCAAATGCAAGTAGAAGAAAAAAGGAAAGAGGAGATACACTTACAATCCCCGCATGAAGATATATAGTGTATCCTGGGTCCAATGGTGAATGATATGGAGGGTATACAAAATAAGCAAAAAAACAAACCCAAATATAGTGTAGTGTATTTGGTATGGGAGGTATAATAAATTAATTTTATAAAAATGCACTCACAATATGCGGAGCCTCTTAGTGGCACTCAGAAAACAGCATAAAGTGGTACACTCCCCATTCTGGAAGAATGTTGAATAGCTGAGGTTCCTGTGATGGTATATGTAAATTATAACAACAGGAAAAAACACATAGTGCTCACTGTGATATGAAAAATTTAATAAAAATATGGAGAGCAATCTGGCGGCATTTCTCAATCCTTAGGGATTTTCCTTGGTGTATTCCCCACCAAAGAAGTTGATGTACAAACTCCAAAAGAAAGCCAAGATAGTCCAGATATATTGTAAAATTCACAAGTGTATAAATACATTCTTATACAAAAAATATATAAGAAAAATAGAATAAAACAACTAGAGTAATAACATTAACTTTATAAAAACAAGCCATGACACAGGTGAAACGGATTAGTGTTATTACTCTAATTGTTTTATTCTCTTTTTATCGAATATGTTTTTTCATTTGTTTATTTTTTTATTATGACTTTATTAACAAATGTTTTTATGAGAGCCACTAGGAGGCTCCACTTATTGTGAGTGCATTTGTATAGAATTGTCTATTCTACCTTTTTTTATTAAATTTTTTATGAGAATATTGATAGACATAACAACATCTGGGGAAAGGAGCCTTACAGAAAAAATAAGGACTCCTATCCCCATTAGACATACAAAGGTATATTAAGCTATTTCAAATTACATCAGAAGTAAGCCGTCAAGTACACAATAATATACTAACATTAATATCCCATAGGCCTTAAAAACCTTATAAATAAGACAGACAAAAACAAAGACGAAACTGGTCAGCTATATTGCAGATCCAACATTACATTAAGTAATATCTGATATGTGGACAAGGAGCCCGATAATAGTGTCTATTCTACCTTTTATACCAAATACACTAAACAATATTTGGGTGTGTTTTCCACTTATAATGCATACCATCCAGATCATTCACCAATGGACCCAGCATATACTATATATCCTCAGGCAGGGATTGTGCTGCCCAGGCACACACAACTTGTAGCTCTGCATATTGTAAGTATATCTCCTGTTGTTGGTTTTCTTTTATCATTTGCATTTGACATAATGCACTATATACCTTTTGTACTGTCTTTTTGTCTCTTTACTCATTACATACTTACCAACACTTGATACATTTTTAAGGCACTACTCCCTCTTCTAATCAAGTTAAAAAAAAAATTTAGTCCATGAACTAATTTCTCTGCCAGCATCTCTGCAGATGCACTGAAATGGAGGCATCCACCCCATTTCCTCATTTTGTACAGCAGCCTTTGTAGGTTAAACTGCACAGCTGCATTTTAGCAAGAATGGAGGGGGAGGAGGGAAAGGGGGAGTGTGTGCTATTGCAGCTTATGATGTACTGTAATTATATGTGCATGTGCACTATTCACTTTATTTATACTTTCTGGGGACATTCTTTTTTAGGAAACCGTACCCCCAAAACACCATGATGTTTTTTACAAATCACTATACACATATGGTATTTGGTCCTTTTTATAAAATGTATTTTGTTCAACTTACTATATGTGACTACTATTGTACTGTTTTTAAACTAATATTTAAGACCCTGTAGGAAATATTGCAAGAGAAAATGTAGCATATAACTTTTATCATGTGTCCCAAATATTTTAAATCTGAAGGATGAATAAACGAATTAAAACTGAACAATGTGTATGTTTATGTAACTTTAACCTGGAACGCCCTGCACAGGACACTAGTCAACATTACTTTACTGATTTAGCTAAAGCTTAGCAGAAACCTATACAGAAAATAGCTGTTTTGTCCTAGCTGATATTTTTAGCAAGTTATATACATTTTTGTTTACATTGTAACTAGTAGTTAAGGGGTTAAATTATATTTTTATTGCAATTTTTATTTTTATTACATTCCCAATTTTCCTGGAAGACCATCTCAATCACACACTTAGAAACCATGCAGATGAGTTAATTTTAGCATTCTTTTGTCTCTGAAGTAAATGAACCCGTAACTGCTCAGCAAGCAGCTACTGCATAGCCCTGACATTCCTTGTCTGTATAGTATTTGAGCGCTGACCCTGGGATGTGGTCCTTCTAGCGGGGGTGGGTATCGTTCAATAAGTTGGATCTCACAGAGGGAGCAGCATGCTGTCTCCCTAAGCCCTCCCCTCTCCATGCCTTTCACTGTGCAGCCTCATTCTTTTTGCCTTTTTTATTTTTTCCCCATCATAGGCTCCATGTCTGTTCTGCTGGAAGAGATCGAGGACCAATTATACTTCTGGAAAAACTAGTGCACACTTTCATCTCACCGGTTCTAGAGGATGCTATACGGATGATGCTAAACATAGCTCACACAGAGGAGCAAGTGCATTGATCCCCTGACTGAGAAGCTACATGTTCTGTGATTGCTACATGCTAAGGTTCCATCCAATCCTCCTGCTGCTGCTATTGGTCCTTTCAGAATGGCATGGAACGCTGGATTCCAGAATGCTTAACCTGACTGAGCTCCAGGAATGGAGCTGTGGGGGATCATTGGCTGCGTCTTCATGGTCCTACTCATTCTAGCGGCGGTGCTGTCCAACGGCATGGTGCTGATCTGCTTCCTGAGCTGCACGGACATTCGAGCTCAGGTCCCTGGTTTATTTATTCTTAACCTGACCCTGTGTAATCTGCTCCTGGCAGTGATCAACATGCCCCTTACCTTGGTAGGGGTCATACATGGTCACCAGCCCGGGGGAGAAGGTCTCTGCAGGGCAGTGGGTTTCTTGGAAACTTTTTTGACCAGCAACTCCATGCTGAGTATGGCAGCCCTGAGCATTGATCGCTGGGTGGCCGTGGTGTTCCCTTTAAGTTATCACTCCAAAATGAGGTACCAGGATGCTGCACTCATCCTACTTTACTCTTGGATCCACTCATTGTCCTTCCCAACTGTAGCTCTTTGCCTGTCTTGGGTCGGGTTCCACCAGACGTATGGGTCTTGCACACTCTACAACAGGAAACCAGAGGAAGGCGCCTCTTTCATGGCTTTCATGGTCCTCTTCCACCTCCTCAGCTTTCTCCTTTCCTTTCTGGTCCTGTGTGTTACCTACCTACAGGTCCTCAAAGTAGCTCGCTCCCACTGTAGAAGGATTGATGTGATAACAATGCAGACATTGGTACTACTAGTAGACTTGCACCCAAGGTAGGTTCATCCCCCATCTATAACTCCCCAAAAAATCGTCCCATCCTTTAATAAATGTTAATTTCCTGGTTTAGTAGATTGCTCTCTTTTGCTATGTTGTTTTGAAAATATTATAACTAAAGCAAATCATATTACTTTAACTGGGAGCTCTATAAAGGTGCCCCAGTTGTCATGCCTCTTGCCTTTGCAAGCGTGTATATTAACCATCTTAGTGCCAGTGGGCATGGGAGGAGGGCTTAGCCCCCCACGCCCACCAAAGCCACTCACGTGTTCAAGTAAGACCTGGACAGCATATGACAAGATGAGGGGAATGTTTAGTGAAGATATGGTGTATGTGTTTGACTCATTTGATCACATCTGGAGGTCATTTACATTATGCTCATTTGAGTAGAACAGGTCAAGCACAATTGTCTTGGACAAAACCTGACAAAGGTAATATTTCACAGAACTGGGCTAGGAAACATGTTTTTATTAGGATTACCAGTGATTAAGGTCTGTATGCTTTCCTGTCTGTCTTTATATTTTTAATCAACACAACTGCAATCTGCTCATGAGATTTACAAAAATAAATAAAAGATAGATGAATAGACAGACAGACAGGCAGACAGACAGACAGACAGACAGACAGATAGATAGATAGATAGATAGATAGATAGATAGATAGATAGATAGATAGATAGATAGATAGATAGTGTAAGGAAATAGGACTGATGGTAGCAACAATTTTGATTGTGTAGCAGAGGCAATGTAATTATCTCAAGTCATAATTAAATGGTATCTTTTGTGTCCTAATATATTCCATTCGCTCAGCTGCTTTCTCCAGTTTCAAGTTTCATGAACAAGACCATTTGTTTGTAATATTGTAAGAAAAACCAACTATTATTTGCAATTATTATTGATGCACCAATAATTTAGAAGGATATTATGAAACAAGAAACAGAGCAAAAACTATCTTTTAAAATGAAAAAAATGGGAATGAAAAAGCTTAGTTCTGAAGAAATGCCTGAAAGGTGTCCCGGTTAGTCTCAAAAATACATAAAAGAATATTATACTGTATAAATGTGCACAGGGACTGTACAGCTTGCTTTCTGATTACCTGTTCATTAACAGGACTGTACATATATCAATGGACTTGAAGAAAGATTTGAGGAGAGAATTTTATAGTATAGATTTATCATATACAGTGCCAAAAAAAAAGGCCTGCATGCAATTTTTGAAAAAAGTCTATTCTGGACTATAAAAGCCAACATACATATTTTTCTCTGTTTATCATGGGTTTCTTATGCAATGGATTAATAAATACCACTTTGAAGATACTAACTATACTATGAATTGTAGCAAATTAAAATCTGAATGGTAAACTTTAGGTTCAAATAGCCAAGCTGAGTCTACAGCAATGTTGAAGAATTCCAGTGTCTGTTTAAATGCTGCCATTCTGACATCAATTTACTGTAATACAGAGTGTGAAAACCTGAAGCCACGTGTCCATTGTGCGTGTTCCGTGTGAATGTTTGTAATTACAGTTCATTTCACAGGTTCACACCTCCAGGTGGTAGGATCAACTCAGCTCACCCTTTAATCCTTACAAGTCAGCGTGCCAATATAAGCAGTAATACTGATATTATTAACAGGCAGTATTAAAATGTAGTTTAAATATATCCAGTTTTGGAGATTATCGTAACATTGATAAATGCGGCAAGTACAAGATACTTTTTATATAACGGTTTATTTATTTTGGTATTACTTTTAAGTCAAAATTAAGTTTTTTTTTTCCATCTATCCCCTTCTAAAAAAAATGCGGTATCAAGAGGTATTTTTGGATTGAACTGCAGGCAGAGCTTCTGATGAGTTACCTTTTCAGCTTGTCCTAGTTTTCAGATACAAATCAGAGCTGAGATGTAGTGGTGTTCATTATACTGGGCTCCTGACAGAATGAGGCAAGTGTTGGCACTCCAAGTATTGTGGACTGCATCTCCCATAATGCTGTACAGCTATAATGCTGGCCAAGCATCAGGGGAGGTGTAGTTCACAACATCTGGAGTGCCAAAAGTTACCTAGCAATGGTATAGGGTTTAACTGTGCACTTTGCAAAAGACATCGACACAACTAAAGTGCATTTGAAAGTTTATGACTTATATTCATGCTGGTGTTCTCTCCCTATTCAAATATCGTTAGCTTTCCCAAAAAACACAATATTTGCAACTTTATGCAGCAAAACCCCACCCATTTAGCCACACCTCCTTATTTCACAAAATATATTCCTGACTGATCTTAACTTCACTGTACGTACACAGCTCAGCCAGTGAGAGATCAATGTGATCTGAAGTGCTGATATTACCCAGTTAGCATATTATTATTATTATTAAGCGCCAACACATTCCACAGCACTGACCAAGAATGCAAATTGGTTCAACTCAAAAGACAAAAGTACAATAAATCTAAGAGACAATACAAAATTTGACAAAAAAAATAAACAGGAGGTGATTGCCCTACGCCTGTGGGAACTTGCAATCAAGATGAATAGGGGTAAGAAACAGGAGGTGGGGACTGGAAATGTGAGAATGATATTAATCCAGAGTGAGATGAGGGCATTTATCATTTACATGGAATGCATTACTTTCTTAGTTTCTGAGTTGAGTGGTAGGCTTTGAGGAACAAAAATATTTCTAGGGAGAGCAGACTAGGGGAAAGTTTGACAGTGTGGGTAAGTCTGTTTGAAAAGGTTGGGAATACATGAGAAAAATCCTACAGTCTAGCATGGGAAGAGGGGATCATTGTTAGATATTAGGGTGTGGGCTGGAGTGTATTTGTTGATTCAAGGGGACAGGTAGTGGGGAGTGGAGTTAATGAGGACTTAGGAGGACTAAGTGAGCATTAAGAGGTGCAGCAGATATAAATCGACAGATAAGGTGGATGAGATGAGGGAGAGATGAAGGCCAGTTAGTAGGTTATTGCAGTAGTTAAGACAAGAAATAACAAGGATGTGGACGTATTGCTTAGTGATGTCAGCTCTCAGAAACAGACACATTTTGGAACCATGTAGGTGGTTGCAGTAAGATAAAGGATAGATTGGCATTAAGTGTGGGGTTACCAGATCCAGCCGTGAGGTAACCAGTGGTAAAGGGAAACATTGCAAGCTTGTGTTGGGATGTTGCTTCTGATAATGTGTTAAGAAACAGTCTGCAAAGTCTTGAGTGCTTAAGTTAGACAAGGGTGGTGGTGCAAGTTTGTAGAGGAGAGATTTGAAAGAAGAGAAAAAAAGAGTTTAGTGTCGGAGGAAAGAGTAGATATAAGAAGAGAAATATGTTTGATTGGCTAAGTGAAAGGCAGAATTATATGAATGGAGAACGTAATGTCGATCTGTATCTAGGTCTTTATCAAGCTTGATAAAGACCTGGGTACAGGTCGAAACGTTGCGGAACCATGAAAGCTTCTTTAAACGTCACAGTGAGTGCCTGAGATTTTTTCTTTTATAGTGTAAGTATGAGACAGGAGATGTTGAATAAGTTTGGAAAAATGGAGACAATCTATAGATTTCTGCAGGTGGGGGCGAGGTGGAAGATAAGTGGGTTTAGTCAATACATTGAGTTTATGGGAATGCAGGTACTGGTTTAAAATAAGAAAAAGGCAAGAGCTAAATTCAGATATTTTAGATCCACTTTTTTCCTCACTAACTGATTGGTGAAGGTCAGCGTCCTGAAGGTCCAATCACGAAGATAGGCGTTCTTTTAAAAATTTTATTTTCCCAGATTCTGTTCCCCTGTAAGATCCTTAACGGCGAAAAGCGCATCAGGACTTTCATAGAGTATTGAGCTGATCCAATCGATGTGGAATGACAAGCACTGAGACTTTTCTGACACTATCAGTTATACTCTTCTTTTTAAATTTATTATAATTTAATTCTTATTTTTGTTCGTCTATTTAAATTTCTACTGAAAGATCATCACTATCAGAGGTGGGAGGAGGGTATTTAGAATTTTTTAAGGGGTGCCCTCAAAGGCACAACAGAGTAGGAAATTGTATTAACTGCAGGATACGATTGCCGCTTTGTTCCCTGACTGATACACTATACAGCTCTCCTCCAGGCAAAATAAGAGATGATACAAATGTAGCATTTACAGGTTACATCTTGTTACATTTAGGTGACATATAATCTCTGCATGGTGTTAAACCAATCTTTCTTTATTTGTATTAAAGGACCACTATAGGCACCCAGACCACTTCAGCTTAATGAAGTGGTCTGGGTGCCAGGTCCATCTAGGGTTAACCCTTTTTTTAAATAAACATAGCAGTTTTAGAGAAACTGCTATGTTTATATTAGGGTTAATCCAGCCTCCAGTGGCTGTCTCTTGACAGCCGCTAGAGGCGCTTGCGTGCTTCTCACTGTGATTTTCACATTGAGAAGATGCCAGCGTCCATAGGAAAGCATTGATAATGCTTTCCTATGGACTGGCTGAATGCGCACGCTGCTCTTGCCGCGCATGCGCATTCAGCCGACGGGCAGGAGAAGAGGAGGATCGGAGGATGAGAGCTCTCCGCCCGGCGCTGGAGAAAGAGGTAAGTTTTACCCCTTTCCCCCTTCCAGAGCCGGGCGGGAGGGGGTCCCTGAGGGTGGGGGCACCCTCAGGGCACTATAGTGCCAGGAAAACGAGTATGTTTTCCTGGCACTATAGTGGTCCTTTAATTGGTTGTTTTTTTGTTCTATGTACACATGAACAGATATTTTAACAAATTTATTAAAAGTAAAGTTTTATTCAATTTATTTTTGGGGTTACTCTCTGTCACCAAGGGTTTACCTTCTAAATGGTTTCTCTAGGTGTTCTCTCTTTTTTCTTATCACCAAATTCAGATATGATTCAGATCATTGTCCTTTTATTCTTGTAATAGTATTTTAATGCCATGCGAAGAGGTCCAGGGGGCAGAATATAGGAGGGCATTGATTGACTGTGAAATCCTACTCTGTTGCATAGAAATAAAGACTGACAAAAGACTCAAGTCCACCAAGGTTTATGTTTCTGTTAATGGACCAAAAGAAAGAAAAAAAAAATCTAAATTTGTGGTGATTTGCAGTTTTCCCATAAAATGGGAAACTAAATCATTCTTAACTCTAAAATGGAAGTGAGATTTGTACTTGAATCAACAAGCTCTTACCCCACATATTAACTGTTATATAACTGAATATTATGTTTCTCAAAAAAAAGCATGCAAATATTTTTCAAACATCTGTAGAGCCTGATAAGACAACCTATTTAGGGTGATGATTCCATATCTCTGAGGTCCTTAATGTAAAGAAATCGTAGCTCAAAACATAACCACTTTAATACCGAGAGAGGAAGGGCTGAATATTAGGCTCCTTCTCAGTTAATTCTTGAAATCTAAACATAACCAGTTAAATACAGAGAGAGGAAGGGGTATTCTGGTAACTCAGACCAGGCTCTTAGCTCTATGGTAAGCAAAATTTATTTTCTGCTAGTCTAAATTTGTGACATAATTTCCTTTGTTTAGCACTGTTGATTTTATTAGTTCAAAAATGGATCAGACTAAATATTAATCACAGTGTAAGAGCAATAGAATATTCTCTTTAAAAAATACTGTACAATACACATCTCTAAGTGTCTGATGGGTTTCAGTTCAGTATGTATTGATAGAATGGCCATCAATTTGGTAATGAACCTAGTCCTCATTGGGAACTTCCATGCCTCCTCAGGTTCTCCTGGGTAAATAGATTACTTCAATGGAGGAAGAAAAGAGGTAAGTGCTTTAGCAGTATTTCTGATAGAAATACTTTAGAACTTAAAAGGCCTTTAACCCTGATTTTTTTAAAACGTACTGTCCCTTTATGACATATTTTATAAAGGAAGTTCACTATGCTGCAACATTCTCTCTTTAAAACAACCATTTGGAGTAGACATTACCTGCTAATTATATGAATATATTGAACATTTTAAATCACAGTCTAATCAAAAGAGACCTTGTAAGTTTACCTATCTTACTGAACTGATATCTAATTTGTCATGTTTATTCACCATCAATGAACCCAGTTTTGGTGTGATTAGATGTCAGTTTGACAATTAATAAAAATGTGTGCCGATGTGGGTTTCAGTATTCTGTCTTGGTATATTCCCACAGTTCTGTATTTTCCAGTAGCTGCCAGCCAGAACAGATGTATTAATTGTCCGTAAAGGCCTACATTCTAATATGTGATGATCATTAACCCCAGGAGAAGAAAAGCAGTTGTTGGCTAGGGAGCCGTAATCGAAATGATTACATGTAGAATAGAAATAAATAAGGAATTGGCGGTGATACAAATTTCTAATGAACATCACGGGATGACTATTTTATATGTATTTTTTATAGTTTCCTAAATTAAAATGCATTTCATTTCATTTAGCATTTCATGAAATATTGAACTTGATGTTGGACCATGTTCAGTTCTATCATTATTAAAACAAAAAGCCAAAGTATAATCATTTCTCATACTCTAACTTAGGGGTAACAAGGAATTACTGAAAAGAATGGACGTCAGTTCCCTTTCAACGTAATGAATTCACTTTTATCTGAATTCAAACAAAGAAACACAATGATATGTGTCCTATTGATAACATATCTATAGCATTTGTGTGCCAGAAGGAAATGAAACTGTTTTGGCTAAATTGTCAATGGAATACATTTTGAATTTGCTTAGTGAATACCAGACTCCTTCTCAGTTATTGAAATCTAAACATAACCACTTAAATACAGAGAGAGGAAAGGGTATTCTGGTCACACAGCTTCTACATTTTTATATGTATTTTACAAGAGATATATATTTACATATTTACATAGCTGAAAAGAGACTTGCGTCCATCAAGTTCAGTCTTCCTCACATATGTTTTTGCTGTTGATCCAAAAGAAGGCAAAAAAATTTAGTCTGAAGCGCTTCCAATTTTGCAACAAACTAGGAAAAAATTCCTTCTTGACCCCAAAATGGCAGTCAGATGTCTCCTTGGATCAAGCAGCTATTACCCCACTAATTAGAATTTATATTCCTGTATGTTATGTTTTTGCAAGTATTTATCCAATTGCAGTTTAAACATTTGTATGGACTTTGATAAAACCATATCTTCAGGCAGAGAATTCCGTATCCTTATTGCTCTTACTGTTAAAAAAAACTTTTCTTTGCCTTAGATGAAATCTCCTTTCTTCCAGCCTAAATGTGTGACCTCGTGTCCTATGTATAGCCCTGTTTATGAATAGATTTCCTGATAATGGTTTGTACTGGCCCCAAATATATTTGTAAAATGTTATCATATGCCCTCTGAGGCGCCATTTTTCCAAACTAAAGAGATTTACATTTTTTAACCTTTCTTCGTAACTAAAATGCTCCATTCCTTTTATAAATTTTGTAGCTCGCCTCTGCACTTTTTCTAGTGCCATGATATCCTTCTTTAGAACAGGTGCCCAAAATTGCACAGCATATTCAAGGTGTGGTCTTACCAGCGATTTATAAAGAGGAAAAATTATATTTTCCTCCTGAGAATTTATGCCCCTATTTGTACATGACAAAACCTTACTGGCCTTAGCAACTGCAGATTGGCATTAGGCATACTGCTGCCTAATTTGTTGTCTATTACAATTCCCAAATCCTTCTTGTGTGTGATTATCCCTAATTCACTACCATTTAGGGTGCAAGTTGCTTGTGCATTCTTGACCCCGAAGTGCATAACTTTGCATTTCTCTATATGTCTTTTACTTGTCTTGCACTGGAAGCCTAAAATAATAACTCCATATTCAGCCTTTCTGTATAAATTAATATAAAACGTTACTCTGGATTGTTTTGGTTTGTGGAAGCAGTCATAGTAGCACACTCAGTGGAACTTCCTGGCATTGTACATTATTGTAGCAAGGAGGTACAATGACACAGGCATAGCAATCACAGAACATGCTCCTTTTCAGCAGGGTAATCCTCAGGTCTTAGTGGTGTATCCCATACAATTACCTCTTTTGCCAAAAATAGGTCAATTCCCCTCATTAGAGTCTAAATCACCTGTAGTAATGTGAACACATGTAAAACCTGCCACTAGTTACATAGTTTTCATAAGAATGAAAAATGATATTATCTGACACATATTAAACTGAGTGCATGAAGTTGCTTGCCTTCCTGGCCTAAAGTTTTTTTTTTGGATGAAGCTTGTGTGAGTTAATACATACATCTGATGTAATGCCATGGTGAGGCAACCACTTGCTAAACAGCTGGTGTAACATATAAATTCAATCAATCTCAGTGATTGGCTAAGACTGATTCAAATGTTAGTCAACAATAGGTTTATACAGAGAGTCACCATTTTAGCAGACTTACAAACATGAATACTTATATTAGGTAGCGCCTGATATAATACAATATAGTCCTAAATTGTTTTTTTATATGAATCTCCAAATGACATTAGAAACATTTGATTGGACAATACTGACAAGGAAGTAATTGTTGGACAAAAAGGGGTGGATATTTATTAGCTACAGATGCCAGTTCTGCAGTTAATAATTGATAGGTTTTTGTAGGATTTAGAATTATTTGTGCAAATGTTCTAAATGAAAATTTTGCAACAAACAATCTGTGCATTAATAATATGCATTTGACACATAGTTTCCCTTTAAGTGAATTAGCAGCTGATTAATCTTTACTATGGAAAGAAAATGGCCAAGAGCAGACAGAGCTAGCATAACTACATGTTCAGGCTCTGTTACCAGTGAGTGTTACTAACAATCTGATTATTACTTAATGTCTAATTTGTAAATATAGAGTGGGAGTTTTGTAGGTTGAGGAATCAAATATGAAAAAAAAAATAAGTATTTATCCGTTTTAGATCAGGATAATTAACAAACAATAACTAACTTATATTAGGTAGAATATGATGCACAGTTTATTGCATGTTCAACATTCAAGAAAAGCATGAAAAATAGAACAAGAAGCATAATTCCAATTACATGAAATGAATCCCTTATTTAAAATGTTACTGAAAAATGTAAATACCTTCATCCCAAGCCATCAATAGTCTGCCTTGGGCTCACTGAGCATCTGTATACTAATCGCTTGTATGTTTCTCCAAGCTACAATGTATGATGTCATAATGATATGATGTCATGATGAAAGTAAGTCATAATGAAAATGTAGTGACATCAGATGCGTAGCAAGAGGAAAATGAATGGATGTGACGTACTTGTGGTATACACTATTTATTTATTTTGCGATCACATTTAATTGTGATGAATTTGAACATTGTCTGGGTTCTTTACTATTTTGTGAGAATTCCATGTGAATTCTAAAACTAGCCAAAGTGGAAAAATTCTTTAAGTCAGCTGTGCTTTCAGTTTGGCCACTCTGGCCTTAAATTTGAAATTCACTTTGAATTCTCACTTTAGTGAAAAAAACTGAATGTCTTAACCCAATTTAATCTTCAACTTGATCGGCATTAGTAGGACACAACTTATCTAAACCCCAGTTTTGCATCAAATGAGTGTTACCTTGTATATTTTTCTGATTAACTGAGAAAATAGCTTATCTGATGCTGCCCAGGATTTTATTTTGTGTAAAGATCATATCATTGCATGGAGAATGTCTTATTGTCATGCTCCTCTTTATAAATACTTAATTTCAATTCATTGATGTTTGTTTCCTGTTCCGTTTCCTGTGTATACGGTGTGGGGAGAATTACATTGTGAAAATGTCTGTTTGAGGATACAATTGTTTTATTATAGTCTGTGGGAGAATTTAATGGTAAGCTCTATTCTAACATTTTCACAGCTATAGAAGTCTTCACTATATGTGCAGTAATGCAATGCGTGCATAATGACTTGTGACTTGTGAAAACAATTTATTCAGATCAGCAGCATAGAACCAGGACTCAACACCCTAATTGTGAATCCCATAGCAACCTCTGGCAGAGATATCTCCAGATCCGGATAAGACAATCCCTATTAGACTTCCGATACAGATATAAACAACAAGGATACCATGAATCCCTCACCGTGAATTGATCTTGATTGCCGCTTTTCCTTACTTCTCACATTTTCTGCCTTTTTTTCTCTGAATTGTAAGTTTGTAAAAATAAAATAAAAATATATGTAAGACAGACAGACAGATGAATGGACAGATGGACGGATGGACAGACAGACATAGACAGACAGACATAGAAAGATAGATAGATAGATAGTGTACAACCGAGTGTAAAGTCAGAGTCCACACTCCTTGTTTTCGGCAATTTAATAATATTTATTAAGAGGCTAATCAAACAAATAATCAATACATATACATTTGAAATAGGCTAGTAAGGGGCGTGGCTAGCTGTACAACTGACTGGACGCGTTAGTGATTAGCTCCGGCTTCAAAAAACAAAAAAAACGACTAAATTGCCACGAAATAGTAAAATGTTTGCTCAACAAACTTACCTACTACAAATCTGACCCCCTGACAGAGTGATGGGGTGCAAGCATCATAAGCTGTTACACTCAGAGAGCTCCCAGCTGCCCGACATACGCAGGTCCTTTGATAGGCCACAGCACCAGGCCCAAACTAAGATGGTGCTCGGGAGGACACAGGACTCAAGTGAGTCTGAGGAATCGCAGGATGAAGAGAGGCTCGCGGTTCCGCAGGCCCGGGGTGGAGTATACCACGGAGCCGACTCAGTCACTGATCCCTCCTTAAAAAAATTGTTATTGGATCTACAAGAGTTCTGGAAGACAGATCTGGCCAGAGTGCAAGCTGAGGTGGGAGGCATCTCCAGGCAAATCAGGGGGGTAGAGACCCGAGAGGGGGAAAGGGATGGTCGCCTCACAGAGACTCGCTCCCAAGTGTAGTCTCTCTCCCAACGGATTCAACTTCTTACCCACTCCTTGGCCATGCTGGAGGTGTGGCATCACAGGAGGAATGTGAGGATACACTGGGCATCTGAGGCAGTAGACTAGGAGGCCTTGCTATATTTAGCTAATCAGGTGGCAGTAGTGCTGGAAGTGAAAGGAAACAGCAAAGCCTTACCTATTATGTCAGCATTCCAAATCCGTTAGGAGCCCGCTGCCCCTGCGGATGCCCCCAGAGACATAATTGCAGTCACTCGCGATGTCTCCATGAAAATTGCGATTCTGGCCCACTTGAGAAACCGTCCAGCTGTTCCAGTAGAGGGTCATCAGATCTAAATCTTCGACGACTTACTCTTTTTGGTCCTGTTAGAGAGACGCAGTTTCCTACCAGTCATTAAGAGGTTGAGAGACAATGGCATTCGATATAGATGGGGCGCCTTGGGAACCCTGTTGGTGCCTCGCGGTGACTCCCTACTCACTTTGTCAGCAACAGAGGACCCAGCAAACTTTCTAGCTGCCCTGCAGCTCTCGCAAATGCAGTCGGCTGCAGTGGGCGGATAGATGGCTCCAATTACTGAAGGCCTTCCGCTGGGTCAGGAGCGTGGGTCTGAAGCGAAAGTGGAGAGAAGCAGGCCCCAGTGGCTGAACCCACCATAGGTTCCTTGAATAGGAGAGGGCAATCATAGGTGGCCTGCCGAGCCTCAATTGGGGTTCGCTTGTGACTAGTGATGTTGCGAACCGTTCGCGAACTTGCCGTGAACGGTTCGCCGCGGTTCGCCACGAACCGTTCGCGGCAAACTCCGGTCAGCTGACACATCCCTGCCAATCTCCAGCAGACCCTCCCTCCCAGACCCTTCCACCACCTGGACAGCATCCATGTTGAAGCTGCCTTCAACATGGATGCTGTCCAGGAAGTAGGAGGGTCTGGGAGGGAGGGTCTGCCGGAGATTGGCAGGGATGTGTCAGCTGACCAGAGTTCGCCGCGAACGGTTCGTGGCGAACCGCGGCGAACCGTTCGCGGCAGGTTCGCGAACGGTTCGCGACATCACTACTTGTGACAGCATATTAATTATTATTTTATTATGTAGCAATTTACGTTTTTCGTTCCAAGACATTCCTACCCACTTTCTATGTCTTTAGAGTCAAAGAGATGGAAATTGTTGGTAGTGATGAGTGACATTACGGCTACTGCCTAAATGATGTGCCTGCTTAAAACGTGTACCCGCCATGTGACACAAGTAGCCAGAGATGGGTGGAGGATATAAACAAGAATAAATATGAGGGCAGGAAATAAGTGAGGTTCCCCTTTCCCTTGCACACCTTTCAGCAAGGTTTCTTTTTACGACAAGTATTCAAAATATGTATTTTATGGATTTAAGTAACTTTCTAACATCTTAAATGTTGTCCTTGTTTATTATTATTATTATTTAATTATTTATATAGCTGTTTGACACTGATGTATGATTCCACAACATAAATAAACAATTTAAAAAATAGGCTAGTAAATGTTGCTACTAAAACTAGTCACTGATTAAATGGAAAGTAAACTAAATTAACATAGTGAAACAGGCATAGACATGTGATACAGTTACCACGCCATTGATCATCTGCTGAGAGTAAGATAAAAGAAAGCTTGTGCTATTCACAGGGCTATTATCAGGTTAGCCCTTCCTTCTTTTGGACACACCTCCCTCAGCAAATCCCTCAGGATCTAACAGAACCAGAGTGCCTCCTGGGGGATGGGGGATTGCACTGGATGAGAATGGAGGAGGAGTTTATAAACAACCCAACTGCTTTTACCTGGTGAAAGGCCATGTGCTCACAGAGGACTCCATTATTGCCTAAAGGTAGAATAGGGCTTGAATCCCTGTGTTAGAACACAATTCCACTTTGTTGGAATACAGCGTGGCTGTTAATCAGCCCCCCCACTTATTACAAAGGCGCTTTCTGTGGTGGACAGGGGTCATCACGAGCACTCTGACCGGTCTGTGACAATGCAGCCCCATATGCAGCAAACTGCGATGCACTGTGTGTTCTGACACCTCTCTATCACGGCCAACATTACTTTTTTTAGCTACAGTAGCTCTTCTGTGTGATCGGAGCAGACAGATTAGCCTTCATTTCCCATGTGCATCAATGAACCTTGGGCACCCATAACCCTGATGCTGGATTGTCCTTACTTGCACCCCTTTTGGTAGGTAATAACAACTGCATACTGGGAACACCTCACAAGACTTGCCGTGTTGGAAATGCTCTGACCCAACCATCTAGCCATCACTTTGGCCAGATCTTTTTGCTTGCTGATTATTCCTGCCTCCAACAAAGGTAATTCACTAAAGTGGACATTGACCCAAATTCCAGGTTAATGTAAAATTTTATGCATTTTTTTTAACATAACTAATTCCGGGATTTTTTCCAAATAAGCTGTTTTGGCCTAAAATTGGAATCCCAGCTCCAGCCGTTGACCTCCGGGCTCGTCCACCGGCTGCCCCGTGGTATTCCCTACTCATTACCCGGTTATCGGGCTTCCGGTCACGAGACCGGCACGCTCATGTAAGCATCAACTTGGGAAATAGTGTTCTTCTTTCGTTAAATATTTTACCGAACGCTTATACTCACCTTACGTTCGCTTGTTTCTCACTTTCATTCAAACGAAACATGTACTAACGACTTTGTTACTAGCCTTTCTTTTAATAAAATCTATCACATGCGGTCCTATTATATTCCTCTTGCACTTTCGTTAGCTGAACGCATGAGGTTTTAAGCATTTTAATATTTAAGTATGTTCCTCTATGTATTCTTTTATAACATATGTTCACGGTTCTCGCTACGTTTTCCCTTAATCTAAACGGCACTATTCGCCACTCATTATCACAATTAATTATGCATATATTCCCAGGGGTATTCTCTTAAAGAAACAGTTAACCACTTTATTGTTTGTTTTTCCTCTCTCAAGGGGCTGAGCCCCATCAAACCTCTTAAATTTATCAAGCTCCATGCTTAAACTTTTCAGAAGCCCTTATTTCTTAATTTCTGTTTATATTGAAACACTATACTCAGGTTCCTTATTCTTACTAAATAAAAATGTTTTAGGTTGTACTACTCTTTCTTCAAGAAGACTCCAGGAGGTGGTTCCAGTATCCCGTTTCACGGCATCAGGTAAAAAATTTAAGTTTCTCCTGAGGCCTCATTTCAGCCTCCACAGCCTTTTTTACAATACCCTCACACCTCCTAAAGTGGGTTCAAATCTCTAAACACACCAGGTTTAAAGATGCCTCACTCTCCATGTTACTATTATATTAACCCCTTAAGGACACGTGACAGAAATACTCTGTCATGATTACCTTTTATTCCAGAAGTTGTGTCCTTAAGGGGTTAAGTGTTAATTCTGTTTTAATTTCTACATATCATTACTTAGACCTGCACCGTTGCGCAGATCCACTACGCCTTCAACGACCATCAGGCTACCTGGTTCCTGACGTTTCAGTATCAGGTATCCTTAAATCTTACTCACTACAATTACGTCCTTCTAAGACCTCACTTTGCCTTCATATCTGTCACAAATACTGCTCAGTTGTGGGAACCCAGGGGCTTGTCTCAAAAAATTTTGGACCAACGTTCAGGTCCCTCTGATTACACAGGTGTTTACGATACAGTTTCACTGTTACACACCATTCCATACGTTATACATTTTTACACTTGGCATACCAATGGCATGCCTCAGGCCTACTAGCATCTTTCTTACCCCTAGGTTCCTGGACTGGACCTGTTCTTCACAGTATAAATAGACATATATATTGAAGTCGCCCTGAGCATTGTCTAAATATACAGGACAAACACTCAAGGTCAGTATCTACATACGTTATATACTTCCTTCAAGAGACTAGCCCCCGTCAGGATAGAGAACTGGCTTTCAGGGTCAGATGCTGGCCCTAGCTTCCCCTAATAATACTATGGTCCACGAGGTCTACACCCCTACCTCATACACGGAGGTTCAGCCCCACGACCAAATCATAGCTAGCCACCTCGCTCGCTCTTCTTTAGGGCTACAGTGAGGGCTTCCCATGTAATGGCCACACGATTTTCAATCTCTTACAGTCAACGAGAGGCCAACATCCTGCCACCTCGTTCTGGTGGCCACAAAACCCCCTCGGCCCAAATCATAGGTAGAGCCTCTCACCGCCGCTTGGCAATAGCAGGGCCTCACCTGTCACTTGGTTCTAATTATAATTCTTCGCTTCGGCATTAGCTAGCAGGCCAGTTCTCCGGAGGTCTCACCCCACCTCCACTGTACCCTACTTATCCATATCATTATTCCTTTCAGAATGTCTCTAGAACCAATCATCGATCCCCCATCAGACGATGTACCCAGCACGCCAGCCAGGCCTGGGTCTCCGGAGGAATCCCTCACTCCTTCTACTCCCAGATCCCTAAGATATTGGACCATTCCAAAAATATCGGCTGAGCTCAGGCTTAGGGGGATCCCCTTTCCAGCCACCACCAGAAAGGCAGAGGGAGAGAAGAAGGAATTGTCAGGGGAGGGGGGGAGAGGAAATTGGCAGGGGAGAGGGAGAAGAAATGGGGAGGGTGGGAGAGGAAATTGGCAGGGGAGAGGGAGAAGAAATGGGGAGGGTGGGAGAAAAAGAAATTGGTAAGGGAGGGGAGAAGAAATGGGAGGGTGGGAGAAAAGAATTTGGTAGGGGAGGGGGAGAAGAAATGGGGAGGGGAGAAGAAGAAATTGGTAGGGGGGGGGGAGAAGAAATGGGGAGGGGAGAAGAAGAAATGGGGAGGGGAGGGAGGGAGAAGAATGGGGAGGGTGGGAGAAGAAGAAATTGGTAGGGGAGGGGGGAGAAGAAGAAATTGACAGGGGGAGAAGAAGAAATTGGTGGGGGGAGAAGAAATTGACGAGGGCGAGAGTGACAGGGGAGGGAGGGGCAATGAGAGTGGGAAGGGGGAGGGGAGAAGAGAGTGACAAGGGAGAGGGGGGAGAAGAGAATGACAGAGGAGAGAGAGAGGGGAGAAGAGAGTGACAAGGGAGGGGGGAGAGATTGACATCCATCACACACACATGCAATGCACCCCTTGCACACAGAAAAACACACAATGCATTACACACACACACACACAAACAATGCAACCCTTACACACAATGCATCCCTTACACACACGGAAACACACAATGCATTCCTTACACACACTCAAGGCACCCCTTACACACACTCAATGCACCCCTTACACACGCACTGCATCCTGTACATACACAGAAACACACCTTGCAGCCCTTACACATACAAACACAGATTCACACAATGCATTCCTTACACACATATCAGGACATCCCCTACACACTCCACCCCCTGTGAACAAACTCATTGGTGGAACATGAAGGTGGACCCTGGGACCCAGACCTTGAGCTGTGTAAAGGGCCCCCAAAAAATGGAGCTGCTTCCCGTTCTCCCAGAACATTGATTTTTGTGACCACAGTTACAAACGCCTCCAGAGAGCCTGTTCTACACCAGACCAGTGGAGCCAGACTGCAGCTAGAGCCCATCATCATCCTCATCTGGTTGTAAGTAGGCAATCTAGTATATTATTCGTGGCACTAATCTCTAATTTACCTCACATTAAAGAAACACTATAGTCCCCAGAACCACTGCAGCTTAATGTAGTGGTTCTGGTGTCTATAGCCTGTCCCTGCATGCCTTATAATGTAAACACGGCGGCACTGCAGCACTGGCGTTAGTTAACATGGCAGATCATATGGGTGGAGCATTGTGATGTCACATGGGGGGGGGCGGCAAACTTTACTTTTGCCTAGGGCGGCAAAATTCCTTGCACCGGCCCTGCCCACGTTTAAATAAAAAACTCACTATCCCACAGTTTGTTATCATGTTTGGCACTTATCGCGACGTTATCTGCACATTGTACCCACATAGGAGAGAAGAGCTTGATTTATATATGCACAAGGTGGTTGATTTGGGCATCAAGTATGGAGGGTCCTCATTTTACGATTACCACAAATCAGTTTCGGCCAAGGCAGCTACTCATCTGACACAATTCAATATTAGAATCGATTGGTGTCAGATAGATACTGAGTTATTCTGTGGTCATTTTGATGGTTTGAGGCCCCCGTCTTGTGCCTCTTGTGGTTCCACTTCACACTCCACCGATCTATGCCCTGGGGACGCAGACCCTTCCACTTCCACTTTCTCACCCCAGCACCCCCTCACCCCACTCCCAAAACAGGAAGTTGTCCAGAGAGACAAGCTGAGTAGACCCATCACATTCTTGGGTAAGGCGCAGGTGTGCAATAACTTTAACACAGGCGTATGCAGCTACAGCGCATGCAGGTTGTTGCACATCTGCTTTATATACTTCAGAGCCCACACCAAGACCATGTGCCCGACCCGTCTGACACCTAACAAATAAGCTGGTTCATCACGCACCTCCCCCTCCCCCCCATCAACTGGGCACCACAGAATTAGCCGGTCCAAGGCCCTACCCAAAGGCTCACACGGGTCTCACGACCTTCCCCTCACTCTTCAAATCACTCAACCTACACCAGGTGCTACCCGCATCTACGACATCACATACGGTGGTCCACCAATTGTCCTCAAATCATACGACGACACCACGTCCAGACCATGTCCCATCCCAGTCACATCCTAACCCATCACCGGGTGCTGCTTACTTGCGCTCCAAGTAATAAAAGTTGTTACTGAGATTTCCTTTCCCTCCAGAGATGAGATTTCCTTTCCCTCCAGATCCTGGAGTAGTTTCTCTCATAACCAATGTATAATTTTGTTGTAATTTGCCTACATTCTACTATTCCAGCATGTAGGGATACACAGTTAAGCAAGATAGATATATCTTACACCTCAATTACTACACCTCCTCTACTCAGCTGCTAACACTCTTTCATGCTCTTAAATTTCAGGTCTCCGGCCAGGCTCCCCCTCCGGCCCGCCTCCAATCAGCCAGGACACCATCGTTCCACCGGCTAACCCTGGTTTAAACTAACTTTTACTCTATGCACAAACACTCACGCACCACGCTCTGTCTCCCAACACCACTATCTCTTACGCTAGGGCACTGACTATCTTTAACAAATTCACAGCCGAGTTTTGCTTACAAGGTGACCTTTCCATTAAAACCATGGTGGCTTTTGCCTCCTTTTGCCATTTACACCTAAAACTTTCACATAATACCATCAAACTCTACCTTACCGGTGTACAACACCACAACCACTAACTTCCCTAACCACGCTCCTTTTCTTTCTTCCTACCCCATTAAGAAAATCCTCAAAGGTATTTTCAAGGTCACAGTCCCTCCTAACACGACTAGGCTACCAACAGACGGTCCAATATTCCAATATTATGACCTATTGGACAAATCCCCATTTGACCATAATACTAATTTAGTCATGAAATCTGCCATTTTTTTGGCTTTCTACGGCTTATTCAGACCTAGAGAGTTCACCGTGATACGTCAAGGAGACACAGAACGATGCCTCAAACTTTCTCACTTAAAGAAAGTAGACGACCATTATGTACTCTCTTTGCCTTCCACCAAAACTAATCACTCTGCCTATCCCACTATCATTCCCCTCTTCCCTACCGAGAATTTGTGGTGCCCTGTACATGTTCTGGATATGCTCCCGGTTTCTCACCTCACGCACTCACCAGACACTTCACTACTTCTACTCCAAGGACACCCACTCACCACAGCTAAATCTCTATTGTCAATGTTAGGCTATAATCCAGCTTCCTTCTCTGGTCACTCGTTTCGCATCGGCGCAGCATCATCAGCTTCAAGCACTAACAATCCGGTACACATCATTAAGAGACTGGGATGCTGGAAATCCTCAATATACAACTCCTACATCCCTCAACCAGAAAGGGAGCTCAGACAGGCTTTCAGAAATCTTGCAGTTTCAATTTACAATAAAGTGTGTTTACTTTGAATTCCTTTTTGCCCTCTTTTTACAGGCCTACTTGTACGTTGGTTTCGGCACACCTCAGCCAACTTTGCTTCTCCTCTACATTCCATTTACATAATAGAGATTCCGAGCACAAGTTGGAAGGCCATTTGGTCTGAATTTGTAGGAGGAGTTATGATCCTATATAAACCCTACCCCCCTACTTACCTTTGCTGTTCAAGCTGTTTTGACCCCACCACCTACACCCTCCTTTACACATTTCACTTTGTAGGCCCTCTTTTTACAGGCCTACTCGTACATTGGTTTCGGCTCACCTCAACCAACTTTGCTTCTCCTTACATTCCATTTACATAATAGAGATTCAGAGCACAAATATATATATATATGATTGAGTGGATGTGTGAATGTGACTAGTTTGGGGTAAAATGAAATGGTCCATGCTACTAGGTGGGTTGTTGAATAACAGGTTGGACATGGCTGGGAGAAGGTGGGTGTGTATATATATATATATATATATATATATATATATATATATATATGGGGAAGCTGTTTATGGTTTTTGTATTTTTGTGGGAATATTGTTTGTGGAATTGCATGGATGCGGTAGTTGATTGTTGTGTTGCATTTGTGAGGGTGGCTACTTGTGGTGTTGCTTGTTTCTGGAGATGTTGCGTGCAGGGTTAAAGCTGCTTGTGTGGTTGTGTATGAGGAGGAATGCTGCTTGCAATATTGAATGTTTAAGAGGGAGGCTGTTGTGAGGTTGTATGTGTGAATAGTGCTGTTTACGATGTAGAGTGTGTGTGCAAGTAATTAGGGTCTATATGTGGATAGGGGCTCTAGTGTGTGTGTTTAAGAGGATAAGTGCTTTAGTGTGTGTTTTAGTGGCTATGGGGCTGTAGTGTGTGTGTGACTATAGTCACCGTCACTGGAATGGAAGACAGACACTAGACACTTTTTGTATTTGGTCACCCTGTGCCTATTATTGGTGCAGGGTATGTTGAATGTATTGCTTGTCTGTGCCTCTCCCCCTCCCCCTTTTTCCTGTCCTATTGTTTCCCCAGCAGGGTGTTGTCTGAGGGACACTGCCAGACCAGTTTAAACTAGCTGCCCTGTCCCTCCTCAATCTCCCATCAGCCCTTGCTATTGTCTGACCACACCCTTCTTTGTACTATAGTGCTTTATGCACAATTATATGTAAATTAGGTTGTTGGGGGTTTAAAATATGTGTGCCATGTATATTAAAGTTAGTTGTTGTTTTAACCTTCACCAAGTGTCGTCTGGTGTTTGGTCCACGGTGGAAAAGGCCCTCAGTGATCTCATTCAAGCCATGGCGACTCGGTCTGAAGTGTTCCAGGGTCCCTGATAGCTACGAGGAAGTGGACTTGGCAGAGGTACTCAGTTGGAGTACTGGAGATCCGTCACAGTGTATTTGGTACGAAATTGTGGCTGTAGTGTGTTGGGGAGGATTGGTTGATGTAGTTTGTGTCTGTGGTAAATTGGAGCTGTAGATCATGTATGAAGGTGATAGGGACTTCAGTGTGCGTTTGAGAGGAATAGGGACTATGGTGCATGTTGGGGGTAGATGGACTATTGTTGAGGGGGACATAGGAACGGTAGTGGGGGGATAAGACTGTGGGCAATAGGAGATGTGGAGGGGTATATTCCTTAAAAGCAAATGGTTGTTACAGGCTCACAGATAGTCAAATGCACACATACATTTAAAGTGACACAGACATGAACACAGATACACATTCAGAGATACATACATATACATTTACTCACAGACATGCACTCATAGTCATACGTAACTCATTATTATTATTATGATATTAATAGAGCGCCGTCAAATTCCGCAGCGCTTTACAATGGGTGGACATTGAGGAGGGGTTGAGGGCCCTACTCAATGAGCTTACATGCTAGAGGGAGTGGGGTAAAATGACACAAAAAGGTAAGGATAGTATTAGACTAGTGACAGTTGCAGAAGAGGAATCAGTCAGGAGCTATTAACAGTTTATTTGATACTTTTTTATGAAGAAGTGGGTTTTTAACGATTTTTTGAAGGAGTGGAGACTGGGTGAGCATCTAACGGAGGAGGGAAGCGAGTTCCACAGGAACGGTGCAGCCCTTGAGAAATCTTGAAGGCGAGCATCAGAGGTGGGAGTACGGACAGAAGATAGACGTAAGTCTTCAGCAGATCGTAAGGGCCTAGACGGGACATACTTGTGTATAAGGGAGGATATATAGGTGGGAACATTATGTAGAGATTTGAAAGCAAGAACCAGAATTTTAAATTGAACACACCTATACAATTACAGGCACAATAATGCACGTAGACACAATTCACAGCAATACACATTAAATACACTCTCTGTTCTTGTCCTCCCATATCTGTCTCTCCAGTAGACCCATTCAGCATACTGCTTCACAGAGCTCTGTGTATGAGGAGAGAGTGGGAAATGTAATGTCACACACAGAGCGCCATGCAGGATACAAGAGACTGTCTTCATCAGTGGGCAGTGTGAGCGAGCAGCCATCTTGCTGCTCCTGAGGTCTCACTGGGGTGGTGCCTCTGTCATAGGGAGATGATATCATAGGAACCCTGGGGCAGCATTGCTTGACAAGGTGCTAGTCAAATTGATCGGCATTAGACCAAAAAAAAATGCATAAATATATGACAGCTAATAGGGTCAAATGCCACCCCAGCCCACTTGGTGCGCCAAAGCAATGGCCTCAGTGGCCTTGTGGCAAGTACTGTACTTAGATGAAATTCTGAAATTAAATTTGCCATTTTTATTGTGTTACTTTCCAATAGCCCTTATGTAGGCATGTACTGCCTTGTGCTACACACAAATCAGAAGCTAAATCTGTTTCAAATAAAAATGAAATACAGCTAGATCTCCAATTCTATAAATCCAATTTAGTCAAAACATCTTCCAAGCCACACTTAGTCCAGAGATGGTGGTATTGACATCGGTAGAGTGGTCTTAGAACAGATCAAAGATACAAAATAACTATTATGATGATCAGGTATGTGAACGTAAAATCTGAAAATCTCATTATGTTAATACACTGTTCTCCATTGTGATGAAACACATTGTTTCTCTCTTAATGCAAACATTTTCTATTATTCTTCAATAATAATAGAACCATATTGTAAAGTGAAGATGTGTAAACAGAGATATTTACATTATCATCGGAATGAATACGCCTCTGATAATGCATTCATAGTGACAGCTTCACATATGTGTTTATTCCATTGTGCTGTTAAAATATGGTGATTGTAAGATTAAATAATAACATAGGGCTTCTACCTAAACATAGGAGTTACAGGTTGCATCATCTGCATTGTGTTTAAAAAAGAACTCTGAACTACTTATTCACTAATCTGGAAACCAGGAAGAACTAACAAGAGAATTGAAAAATCAGCCGGTAGCAATGATAGGGCTAGAATTAAGTATATTTTTCAGTTTAGCTATGTGACCTGGAATTTAGAATTTTCACAATTCACAGTTTAGCGAACAAACCTGACACTGCTTACCTTACCATTAGTTATACGTATATATACTTAATCCCCTCTCCTTTGTCTTGTGATTAGTGTGAGGCAACGATGTTTGGAAGAACAGAAGAGGAGGAGACAGCGAGCAACAAAAAAAATCAGCACGTTCATCGGCACTTTTTTGTTGTGTTTCTCTCCATATGTCATCACCAGGTAAGTCTGGATTCTCTGAATATTTCTAGTTTTATCCATCTGTAAATATGTACAACAGGGATGGATGTATCCATCATCTCCACTGCATCTGTGTCCATTTGTATTTATTCTGAATTAACAAAATCAGGAACAATAGGTAATAGAATGTACAGAGAAACTACAGAAAAAATACAAATGAGATTATTCACTAAAGTGTTAATGGTCAGAAATTCAAAGTGATTTCAAAAGTATTTTTAAAGTAATTTTAAAGGAACACAAACATTCATTCTTGACCCTATAGTATTAAAAACACCGTGTAGCCTCCCCACTACCTTCTTGTCCCCCTAAATATTGTAAGTCTGCTGGTGCTAGCTCTGCCCCTTATATGCATCCTTGTCTGCCATCATCAGAAGTGATGTTCTCAATCAATCAAAATGCTTTTGGATAGGAAAGCATTGGATTGGCTGAGAGTGTCAATTCTGATGATCTCAGCCAATGAGGTGAGTCAGGGGGCAGATCCAAATACCACCCTGACTAATCAGCATCTCCTCATAGAGTTGCATTGAATTAATGCATCTCTATGAGGAAAGTCCAGTGTCTCCATGCAGAGGGTGGAGACAATGAATGTCAGTGCTGCACATTGTCACATTGTGCAGCACTACCCCACGAAGCACATCTAGTAGCCATCCGAGGAGTGTCAACTAGAGGTGTCCCTAGGCTGTAATGTAAGTGCTGCCTTTTCTCTGAATAAACAGTGTTTACTGAAAAAGCCTGTGTGGACTGACTATACTCACCAGAACAACTACATTAAGCTGTAGTGACTATAGTGTCCCTTTAGTTTATAAGCCAAAATAGTCAAACCATATACAAATCTCATTTTTAGATTTGTTTCCAGTTTCGCTATTATGACCTAATATTTGAAGTTTATTTTTCTACCTCTTTGAATTCCTGGAAGTTCACACTTTAGTAATTGTCACGACAGCAGCCAAATTAGTAATACAACGACTACAGAATCAATAAGTCTAGTGTCTCAGCGATCAATGACACAACAGCTGTAGAAACCTAATCCCTAGCTTCTATTCTTCCAATAAAATCACCCCAGCAAGTGTCAGCAAGTGCCTGGACATTTTTAATGTCCCTGCAAGTGAAAATCAGTTTGCTGGAAACTGTAGAATTAATAGTAAATAAAAAAAAAAATCAATGAACCAAAAACTGCAGAATTAATAGTAGAACTGCAGTTCTAATAACTGAGATTTAATAATATAGCAACTGCAGACTCAAACTATAGCAACTGCACAAATAATAGCATAGTGACTGCAGAATCAATTATACATCTGCACAATCAATAGGTAAAACTATAAAATTTACAACAAAACTGGTGAATCAATTATAAGCAGTTACTGCAGAATTACTAAGAAACACGCCTCATTTCCAAATTGGAGCAGTAATATTCCTGCATACTGAAAGATAAATGCATTGAACATGCCTTGAATGGAATGTGCTATATCACCAGATGACTTCCTATCTGGTACCCTTAGTCACTGCTTGCAAAACAGTTAAAACAGAACTAGTGGAAGAATTTTGTCTACAGAAGTTACAGATCTCTTGCATGCCTACCGTTAGAACATCTGGTCAAGGAGTGAAGGTTGTGTAGGGCTAACAACACCCTTATACCTCTCAGTCTCGGCAGTAACTATGTATTGCCTCTCTTCTACAGGCTCGTTGAGATATCCTCCTCAACTCCGATCAACTCTACCTGGGGCATTGCCAGCCGGTGTCTAGCCTACAGCAAGGCTCTGTCCGACCCCTTTGTTTATTGTCTCTTACGGAATCAGTATAAAAGTTGTTGTCGAGATATGGTCAACAAAATCTTAAAGCGCAGTTCTTCTGGTCAGTCTTCTGCAGAGAGGGTGAACTCATATGTAGGAAATTTGGTGCCAGCAACTGAACAATAAGGTCAAGAGATCCTTCAACCAAATACAGATGGACCAAATATAACATGAAAGATCATTTTGAAAGCGAAGGTGAATACGTATTTTGAAGGCACCTTGATGTGCTAATTATACCAGCAGGCTTATCATAACCCTGGTAAAGGATATGGCTATGGACACCAAAAAAAGGATAATGGACTGTGAAAATGCTGCTTAAACTATTATAAATATCGGTAAAGAACCATTCCAAATAACAGATAATATTGTCACTTAAAGACCCCAAAAGAACAGTAAGAATGTCTAATTTAGGGTGTGTAAATATTTGCACTATGAAGTGTCTACGTAATTAAGAAACTGGAATGTTGGCAGGAGAAATGAGGAAATGTGGAACTGATAAGGTGCAAACGCACACACCTGGCCTTGCACATAGAGAGATGTAAATGTATTTATGTACTCACATCTATTTAATAATTTACACATGGAAGAACCAAGACCCATTCTCCAGTCTCTGAACATTTGTGCTCCTTTTAAAGCCAATTGAAGGCTGATACTGCTATGTTAAGTCATAATAAATTGGAGAATAAAGGCACATAGATGTGGAATAATTATAGGAATTGAGGTACAATCATTTACTTACTTTGGGGTGAAAAGCAACACTGCGAAAAATGTCTGTAAACGTGATTGTTTCATTGTCGATGGCATTGGGGGATTTAGTGCAACATGTATGTTCTCATAAAAAGAATTAAACAGTGGTATTACAAAGCACGTGAAAAAAAAGCAAAACAGAAAAGCCTGTGGGGTGTTAAACATTTACATGTTCTTCCAGTATCATATTAATCACTGAACGTGGTGACTTTGAAGTCAAATGCAGTCAAAGACAATTGTATTATTTGTTGTGAAGGAAGGGACATGTGGGAATTATTACAACATGGTAGGAGATCAAACTACTCCAAAATTCGGACCGGATGCCTTTGTGGTATGATGTAACAAGAAACGCTAAGCGGTCTCTTTTTATACAGTGCGATTACCGTTAAAGTAAGTGAAGTAGATAATTAATATTGGATCTCAACATCATGAGAAGAACGAAATCTGGCAGTAATCCCTTAAAGTCTTCCTGGAACAAAAGAATATCCTACATGTACAGGGAACAAAACGATTTAATTAAAAGCAACAGTTGGTGTTTCAGAAGAAACATTGTATATTTTCCACTATAGTTTTTAAAAATGGTTGAATGTCTACAACCAACAGAAAAAAGCAGAGCACTGGAACCAATGGATACATGGGTTGATGGATGGATGAGTGGCTGGATGGGTGGGTGTTTGTGTGGATGGATGGACAACTTGATGGGTGGGTGGGTGGCAGGATTGGTTATATTTTTAAAACATGAACTGCATGATTGGAGATGTCATACATGTAATATTTTTCCAAGGGAACAGGACCATCCCATATAAAAATATTAATATTCTTTATCTTGACGTTAATTTTTCTATTTATAAAGAAAGTACTAAGGGGATTATACACTAAACCTAATTTTGTTTTTTTTTTAATTTGAGCAATTTCAGACAATTCATAGGCTTGTGATGGATACATGTTCCATTTACTGCCCCTCCAAAGTTATCTGATGTCAGTGACATAGCCGTGAGACACGGCCAAATACCTGCCTAAATCTTAGTGTGCACGTTTCCTGAACATCTTCACACCATCTAAAGGTAAGGCTGGTATAATTCAAGCCTGGTAACTATTTTGATATTATTGATGGGAGAAGGTGCAGGAGTGACCAATGACAAGCTCCTGTGGTGGATAGGGGCCGCAATAATTAGTTCCTCAGCCACCGTATAACTATTGCTCTGCTTTTATTTAATTCAGGCATCTCTGATTGTATCTCCATATCATAAAATTTAGACATTTTTTAGGCTTATTTTTTTAGCAGACTCATAATTACCAAGAATTTAGTAAGTGTTGTCAAATTTTACTCTGAAGTGTCTTGAGTTCCAAATCACAGTTTTGGCAAATCTGAATTAAATTCAATAATTATCACCTACATTTAATGTTCACGGGCAAACAAGGAGCCTAATAAATAATTCCTTGTGCAAACAAAGAATGAAATGGAGCGAGTTTAGAACTAGCAGTGAGCACAAGTACTAAATGCCATCTTAAACTTTTCCAATCTATCAATTGTAAAACAAACTATATAAAAACACAAAAAGCAGGAAACAAAAAATAAACAAATAATGGTGCTTAGCACATTCTGCCTATGTATTTTTATTAGTGATAAGAGCATTTAACAATATTTATAAGCCAATATGCTTGTCTCAGGTTGTGAAAGCTCCCAGACTAAAAAGCTTAGTCTTGTGCCTTCCTTTTTGGATCAGCTCTGCAATATAAAATAAAGTGTTTTCAGTAATTAAATAATGTAAAGAAGGAGTGAAAAATTGTACTTCTAATTATAGAAGCCTTGACGGCTGTATAATGGTCAGGTAGAGTGTAGGTGTCACTATTTGGGCATCACCCACCCGTGGAATGCCATGTTTAGCTCGAGAATAAATAGAAGGTGCCCTTTTATGAAAATAAATCTGACTTTTATTCTTAAAATATATATATATATTTGTCGTCGGGGACCAAAGCCATATCTATGATCAGTTATATCTATGAGCAAGTCGGTTGTGGTGTGTCGAAGCCGACGTATCAGGTAGGCCTGTAATAAAAGAGGGCAAAAATTGAATAAAATAACTTTATTACATATCTTTACATTGCAAGATTCATAAAGGCTTGTCTACTCTCAACTCTAGCTCTGGTTGTGGTGTGTATCTAGAATACACTGCGGATTCCAGCATCCTAATCTTTTATGATGTGAGCAGGGACATTTGTCTAGAAGCAGCTTTTGCTGCCCCGATTCTGAACTAGTGTCCCGAAAAGGCATTGGGGTTGAGTCCCAGCCTAGTTAAGAGGGTTCTGATGTACATAATGAATTTAGCTGTAGTGAGTGGTTTGCCCTGCAGTGTAACTAGGGGCATAGTAAGGTTTAGTCCAGTGAGTGATAACCTGTAAAGGTCTAGCATTTTGACCGGGCACCTTATTGTCCGTAGGATAATATCTTATCTCTGTGCGTTCTTCACAGGGTAACAGGATGTGAACTGTTTGGTATTAGGATAGGCACTTAAGATATGGTGTTGTATTCCAGTCAGGTAAAGTTTTATAGTGTTAAGAGAGAGTTTTAAATTGAGGGGAGTGTCACAACGGCGTCTAGTGAAAGAATATCAGTGTTATGGTAATCAGTGGTAAACCATCCATATATCTGCAAGAACTGAACATTAACAAGATATAGAAAAACAAATGTTTTGTAATAAGTACAGAACAGGTCTGAATGGAGTGCTTTTTTTGAGGTTTCGTATTAATCAGCAAGATTCTTGAATCAGTTGCAAGCTTTTCTTTTTCCTAAATCTTTGGTTTTGGTGATGTGATGCACACCACAGGGAAATCATCAGATGGTGCCAGTGGTGTGATATCATTTCAACATACATGGCAATAACCAAAAAACGCACACGCCAGTCAAGAATTTAGAAGTTATTACCAGACCTTTGACCACCCATATACTGTAGATATATTTAAATTGTACCACCCTTAAAATGTTGCACAGTAATATAATTCCTTTTTTTTTTCATAACCATGAACAGCATAAAATGTATTTTAGCATGCATTTTCATGGTAAGATATATCTGTATCAAAAAATAGTTATGGTATTTTTTTTAAATAAATCCCAAACTCTAAATTCACTTGAATCCCCATATCTGTTAAACATTTGGCTCTACAGCTAGCTGAGAATTATGGGAGTTGTCACTTGAAAGCAGCAAAGATCTGTGGGTTTGCCATTATTGTGTATTGTATTGCTTCAACATTGCTATCTATCTGTCACAATGGTTTTTCACACCTGCAGATTCACAGTCTGCTATTTTTAAATCAAGATAAAAAGCGAAGCATATGGTCGTTCAATATCTTTCATGAAAAGCATTATGTTCAAATGAAAGTACTTTGCTGTTTTTTGTGTTAAATATATTTTGAAAATAGGGCACATCGCTTCTTTTGCTGATCAGGATTGCAGGATAGAATGCAGCTATTGTATCGCTGATTCCTGTAAACCCAAGCAGGTCATTGAATTGAAAAGCATGCAGAGCGTTCATTCAATCGAAGCCATTTATAGCTACTCCTGGAACAACCCAAGTTAAAGTAATGCTAACCCATGGAGACAGTGGTTTTCCATTGTTGGCATCCAAAAGGCCAATTTCCATGCTATAAATTTTATTGACATATAATTTTGTGGAATCTTTAGCACTCCTAAACCAGTCATGCCTAATCTTTAGCATGCTGTAACTGATGGAATTCTGACTAAGTATCATGGGAAATGTAGTCAGTGCTGGCCTTTTTGGTGTGCATACTGTCAGTTGCTTGTGTTTTACTTTAAAGGGACAGTGTATGCACTATAACCATTTCATATAATTCATTTGGTTATAGTGACTGGAATCCCAGATCCCCTGGAATTGTGTACTCATATACAAAATTATATTAATACAGAGAGATAAAAAAAAAACACAAGGTTACTTACTAAATTCTGAATTGTGGCAAACTGAAATCTGAATTGTGAACCTGTGAGTATGGCTCTGTTGGAGAATTTGCCTTAATATGGCAATTGGAATTTCAATTCAAAACAATTTTCATATAGTGAATAACCTCACAGTAATGTTCATTGTGAAACAGAACATTTTATGAAACACTTCCTTTACATAATCTTACAGTGTACTGCCTGAGACTGGAATCTGGACCCGTCCTTGTTAGGGTGTCCTCACACAAGCTGCAGCAATCAGTAGCACAGCCATTTTTGTGGATTACCTGTGTTAAGGTGGGGAGGTTCAGAAATTCTGCATCAATAAAGTAAAAATAACTACACACACTGATCAGCAGCAACATTAAACCATCTGCCTAAGAATGTGTAGGTCCCTCTCACGCTGCCTTATAACGTGTAGGTCCCTCTCACGCTGCCTAATAACGTGTAGGCCCCTCTCACGCTGCCTAATAACGTGTAAGTGCCATAACAGTTCTGAACATGTCCTGTGATATCTGGCACCAAGACATTAGCAGCAGATCCTTTAAGTCCTGCAAGTTGTGAGATGGGGCCTCCATGGATCGGATTTGTTGTTCCAGCACATCCCATAGATGCTCAATTGAAGTGAGATCTGGGGAATTTGGAGGCCAAGGCAACACCTTGAAATCTTTGTCATGTTCTTCAAAACATTCCTGAACAATCTTTGCAGTTTGGCAGGCTGCATTATGCTGCTGAAAGAGGTCACTGCCACCAATTAACACCATTGCCATAAAGGGGTGTACATGGTCTGCCACAACCTCTAAATAAGTGGTACATGTAGTAACAGTAAGTTACATTCAGGTGAATGCCAGGAGCCAAGGATTCCCAGCAGAACATTTCCCGGAGCGTAGCACTGCCTCTGATGGCCTGCCATCTGTTCCCCAGCTAAATGACGCACAGCACCCGACTATTCACCTGATCTAAAAGAAAATGTGATTTATCAGAACAGGCAACCACCTTCCATTTTTCCATGGTCCAGTTCTCCATGGTCCTGTGACACCTTTCTATCATAGCCTGCATTTAGTTTTTCAGAAATTCGTGCTACTGCAACTCTTCTGTGTGATCAGACCAGATGGGTTAGCCTTCATTCCCCAAATGTATCAGTGAACCTTGGACACCCATGACCCTAGTGCCGCTTCACTGGTTGTCCTTCCTTGCACCACTTTGGTAGGTACTAACCACTGCATACTGGGAACGCTCCATAAGACTTTTTTATTGATGCTCTGACCCAGTCGTCTAGCCGTCACTATTTGGCTCTTGTTAAAGTCACTCAGATCTTTTCGCTTGACCATTTTTCCTGCTACCAACACATGAAATTCAAGGACTGACTTGCTGCCTAATATATCCCACTCCTTAAAATGTGCCACTGTAGCAATAAAATCAATGATATTCATTGTCATCCTGTCAGTGGTTTCAATGTCGTGGCTGATAAGCGTAGGTTCGGGAAATATGCAATGATTTCTGCACACCTATTACATACATACGGGTCTTTGAAGCAAAAATCTTCTTGTGGTTTTTTTGCATAATCACATTCATATGGATAGATCAGCATTTCAGTCCATAAAGAATAGTGTCTTAATGACCTGAAATGCTGATATATTCAGCTATCTGTTTGTACGTGATTATGCAACAAAGCACTGTTAGATTTTTGCTAAAACGGACTGTGAGTGCTGCTTATTTTTTGCATTTGCTCTGTTTTGGACTTGGTAATGCTATGGCGTGCAAGGCTTTGGTTAGATAGACAGTTAAATAGATTTGCTATTATTATAAAATAAAATGTATTTAAAATATGGCTTTGCATATATGTTTATTTTATTTTATACATATTATAGATAGTTTTGTGATTGATCAATGCCCCTGGATGCCATGTTATTGGAATGTTCGTTGCTGTGACCAGTTCGGGTTACCACACTCCCACTTGAGAAATTATTCTTTCACAGTGGCCCCATTTGGCACCCTTCTGGCACAGTGAAATTTATAGAGCATGATAAATTTTGGGAAGGGGCCTTTTGCACCCTCTGCTCACTTGTCTACACTAGCATAAACTCCTCTTGGTTGGGCAAAGTATAATGTTCATGTGTGTCTTTTAATTATTTTTAGGTATTATTTTTTTGCTTCTTTCTGTTTCTTCTGAAATATTTTTTTTGCAGTTTGCCTAGTCATGGTGGTCTGCAGGTCCACAATTGCAATCCTTTTGAATAGTGAATATGGAATTGAAAATGTAGTGTCCTTTGACTAGGGCTTTGGCCATCTCTACATAAACACTGTAGTTTTTCCACCAAGAAGAGGTTAACTTAAAACATGAAAGATCTGTATTTGCTTCAATATGGGAACAGGATTAGTTCCACATTTGGAGTGAGCCAGTGCCAGCACATCTGCTGAGAGTTACTATAAAGGAAGGGGGGTATTGAGGGCGCATTCCGTCCGAAATTCGAGCAGCTGCTGTCTATTCAATGTTAACACTACCAGTCAGGAGGAACTATGAATTATATTACAGCTGGGTCCACAGGATTCAATGGTAAAGTCTGCATTTTATGCAATAAATGTCACCGCATTTACGGCCTTGGTAGGTGACAATACGCCAATATGGAAACTATTTATAAAGGTAACACCAGTTGGCTGAAAAAAAGGAAGCATTGGCATTTGCTACTTATTTATTGCTAAAATATCTCTTAAAACAGATTTTATTTAAAAAAAATTCTTAAAGAAAGTTAGAGATAGGCCAATAGCATATCGATACTGGACTAATGTACTAATGGGATCTCTCCCAGCAGTCAAGGGATTAAATGACTGATGTATCATTTTCTAACAATGAAATGTAATTGATTACATAGCACAGTAATGAAGAACAGTTTCTTGGCTAGAGCAATAAAAAAGAACTGGGGAAGACAATTAAAATAAAACATATGAAGAACTATATTTGAGGACAAATATAGTAACCACAGAATAGTGTCTTCTAATTTAAGCGTAATGTGGTTTAATGACTTCTCTTTTTAGGGCCGTACAGCTCAGTCAATTCTCATTTTAGTTTGATTACGTTTCATTGGAGTACCAGACATTTCAATTTTCCCTTTTTGCGATCATTAGGTTCATCAGCCTTGAAAATAACATGTAGTTCCAGAGATACTATATACACTCAAAGTCTGTAAGCACAGAATATATAAGGAATGCATATTCTCATTACATACTTATCCTGGAATTTCTTACGGAACTAGGTCCAGAATAGCTAAGCCGAGTATGGCGTGTATTATTGAATAGTCCGCTCTGTGCTATGAAACGTTCTTCCATAGAGTATGTTCACTTAAGAAAGTTCACATAATGTCACTGTATTTTTTGGAACAAGCTAAAGAACCTTACTGACAGTATGAAGAGCCCAATGTAGATTATATTCTACTATTCAGAGATCTTAATTCAGATAAGAGCTTTAAATTTAGATATGACATAGTAAGGTGTTTTCCAGTTTCAAAATTTCAGATGTTTTAGGTATGTTGTCTTGGCCTGGTGCGGATTCTTCTGCGGCGTAGACCCATGCTCACTGGCTGTTTGCCAAACTTCTCCATAATCTCTCTGATCCGAGCCAGGTTGGATTTGGTGAGGGTAAAGTCACACCGTGTGGCTCCCATTTCGTATCCCACCGCACAGTTCTTAGTGGAGGGTGTGAAACCTTCAGCTCGGGCTATCACTGCATATTCTCCTGGATTAAGCAGCCTCCAGTAATCTCCATCACTGGCTAGGGACAATTAGATTACAGCAAGTTACGTAATTTCAATGCTGATTTACATGCGAAGGATAATGAAAAAAATTATTAGCAAAACTATGAGGATGTGTTTATCAGGATTACTATTCACCATTGCTCGTGGTTTTAATAATTTGTTTTACTTCGCATATAATAAATAATAACAGTAATGGATAGTCTGGCAACAAAATAAGCATAATTAAAATTCTTCATGGAATGGCAGGATTTTAAGATATACTTATGAGGCATTGGTAATAACTGGGTTGTTTTTGTAATTGATAATTTTTTTAATGTAGAACACAGAAGAGTCCAAAAATACCATCAATTTTAACCATTACAGATTAAAATTACCAAGAGCTATGCGATTAACAGCTTTACATGGAGAGACTCTAAAAGAACAAGAGGGACAAATGGTAAAAGTGTACAGATAGAAGCAGAAGAAAGGGTTTTAAAGTTTAAATCTGTCTCCTAGAAGGACTAAGACTTTTGATAGGATGCAAGTCTTCTGGAAGGAAGCCATAGCTTCACATAGCAGATTTCAGATTTATTATATAGAGAAGAGTTCAGTGAACATGTAAAAAAATAAAAATGCTGTTTTTTGGAGGGACTACATGGTATGTGTGGGTTACCATTTTACATGGTATGAGTCAATAGGAAAATAACACTGGTAAAGTTGGGATGTTTTTTTCTGGAAGACCAATTCTGGAAGAACCATGGAAAAGGTGGGGAACAACGTCACATGGCAGGGCCGAATATCAGTAGAAGAGGTAAAACGTCAAAGTACACAGAAGGAAACACAGTTTGACATAGGAGTAAGCTACATAGTACCTCCAGCAGAGCTCTGCACATATCCACATCAAACAGCAACAACATGTAATGAAGATAAAATGCCCAACACACTTTTTTTTAATTAGATATAATGTACTGCCTCCAAGAACTTATCAACTGGAATGTGTCTTCCTGGAGTTCATATTCAGATGCATTTCTGCCTTGATGACCTATAGTTTTAGATTTTGCTAAAATGAATCCCCTAATCTAAATTAAATAGATACAGGTCTTAATATCAGGTCCTCTAGAATGTAAGCCCATTGAGCAGGGCCCTCCACCAATCTGTTCCTGTACGTCCAATTGTCTGGTTAAAATTACATGTCTGTTAGTCCACCCATTGTACAGTGCTACGGAATGTGATGGCGCTATACAAATAATAAAATAATAAATAATAATAATATTGCCACACTTATATATATAGAGAAACAGTTATCTATCAGAATGAGATGGCCTCCAAACACTCCCACAAAGCTACTTTTTTTTTTTTCATGAATATAGCATTTCCCAATGTAGCTCAAAAAAGCAAAATATATTCACAGCAAAAAAATTAAAATAAAATCTCTTACTCTTTCACACTGTGAAAGCTCATTAAAAATTCTCGCTAATAAAGCAACAACAAATATGTTCGACTCTTTTATTGTTTAATACTTTTTAAGAGCCTGCCAGCATACAGTTCATCCGCACTACGAGAAACTTCAAAACTGTACTAGCCACTTCCTGGTTTGGTAAGTCCTCACCTACGGAAGTCTATTTTTATTTATTTTATAAAAAAAAAAAATTTTTAATTAGTAATATAACACATAAAAAATTACAATCAATATAAAAATATATCTTTGCCTTTTTATACTAAATAATAATGAAAAAGTATGATGTGGGGGCAGGGGTTGTTATGCACAGGGCACCTGAAAGTCTAAGGCATGGGTGCCCAAAATGTAGATCCCCAAAGGGTTTAAGACTTCAGCTTCCACGATACATTGACATTCTAAAAGCATTCTAAGGGCATGCAAAGCCTCATTGGAGTTGTAGTTCTACAACATCTGGGGCTCTACCTTTTGGGCACCCCTGGTCTAAGGCTAGTCCTGTTTACATGTCTGCTTGGGCACTTATTAGAGTGTGTGGATGTGGTAGACAGCCATAATCCAGCTGCTTTACATGTATGCAAAGAATGCCATTTGTTCTAAGAATTGCAACACACATGATGGTTAATGATCGAGGAAAAAAAAAAAGAATGATGTGGAACTCAGAAATTGAGAGCAGTAATAAATAAGATATAGCTCTGCTTTTTGTAAAAAAAAAAAAAAAGGAAAGGGAAAAAAAGTAGAGCGTGGGAGGTTAAAACTAATCTTGGCAACGGATGCGCTCAGCATGTGGTGATTGGCGCTTGTCCCAGCATTACTGTAAGTTTCTAATTACTGAACTGTTAATTACATTGGGAAATATACACTTACTCCTGTGCTCAGCAAAAGAGAATTCAGAGTTTTAGAAAAATGGAAGGCTGTGTCTATATAGCGCTGAAGCTTTTTTTTTTAGACAATGGATAAAAATTATTACGATTAAGAAAATTAGCAGAAAAATAATCAGGAATAGTTCTAGATTTTTTTTAAGAGACTTAATTCACTAAAGAGTGGGTTGCAGCGAGTGGAATATTAAAATACAAAATTTAAACCAGGATAGATGGATTCAGGAGAAAAAAAAAACAATTTGTCTAAGCAGACATTTTTCCTGAGTTCATGTTAGGACTTTATTCATCAAATTATGGTGAATTGAAACATTGCAAAACTGATCACAAAAGAGCAGATTTGGAAAAAAAAACTAATTAAGAATATGGCAATTTGGATTTTTTCATATGCTTAATTTCTTTGTTTAGTGAACAGACCCATCTATTTTGAAAGTTAGACAACAATTTTCTGTTTAGTACGGTGACTTTTGAATTATTTTTATGTAATGGTTATGGTACTTGTAATGTTCGTTAAATAAAATATGACAATAACCTTGTAAACTATGTGAAATTCATAGTACAACACATGACAAAGTTGCTTTCTTGCCACTGTTACGACAGTTAGTATTTAGAATTATCCTGAAGAGTAAATTCATTGAGAGACAAGGTGTGGAACTACTGGAATTGCAGCCAGTGTGCCTGCACGAGGGCCACAGGGGATCAGGGAGCCCACTGATGCCTGCTTCTATCTAAGATACCATGGGGCCCTGCCCAGCTGTGCTCACATCACTAGAAGACAGGCCTCCAGGAAAACTTACATGGGACCAAGGGAGACATTTAAAGTGCTCACAGCAGGAGGGTGAGTATATCTGTGTGTGTATTCTGTATGTGTGCATATGTGCATGTGTGTCAGTGAGCAAATCTGTGCATATGTATGTTTATGTGTCAATTCATTTGTTCATGAGTGTCAATCCATATGTGTCAGTGTGTATCTTTGCTTTGTCTGTGTGTTTCTATGTGTGACAATGTGTATCTGTATATGTGAACACATACCTGCGTGGAAACACCAACATAATACACAAAACCACTTCTGCATTCAAACACAAACACTGTTTTTTGCAACAGGGCCCTCTCTACATTAGTTCCTTCACTTCATTTGAATGCTATGAGGTCCGGTCAAATGATTCATACATATTACCTTTCACTAGTTATTTTCCCAGAATCATGCAAAGCGTGCCCTTATGCAGAGAAAGAAAAAACGATGCTATGAGTTTTGCTCAGAAAACAGCCTGCAATCTTTTGTAATCTATATCACATATCTCAAAACTGAATTCTGAGCATAAATTCTTTCCTTTTTTTTTTTTTTTTTATTTTAGCACAAACTAATAAGTGGGTAAATAACCAACTTTGGAGAGAACAAAATATAATATTTGGAATTGATTACATATATCCACAGACGACTTCACCAAAATCTATCCGACCTCTGGAATGCAACAGGTTGTTCTGTTATGGCAAATGTTTTAAAAATACCTAATGATTTTGAAAAAAGAATAAAAAATACTATTGCAGACTATTGCAAAATACTATAGCAGTGTGTTATTATGCAAAATGAAAAATTATGCAGATTTAAAGGGACACTATAGTTACCAGAACAACAACAGCTTATTGTATTTGTTCTGGTGAGTATATTCATCCACTTAAGGTGTTTTTGCAGTTAACACTGTCTTTTTTTTAGAGAAAGTGCAGTGTTTACATTACAGCCTAGTGATACCTCCACTGACCACTCTTCAGATGGCTGCTAGAGGTGCTTCTTGGAATTTATTCAATGTCTCCACCATCTGCATGCAAACACAGAATTTTCCTCATAGAGATGCATTGATTCAATGTATATCTGTGAGGAGATGTTGATTGGCCAGGACTGTGTTTGGCTTGTGCTGGCTCTACCCCTAATCTGCCTCCTTGACAGTTTCACCCAATCCTATGTGAAAGAACAACACTTCTGATTATATCAGCCAAGCAGGTAGATCAGTGGCAGAGGCAGCAGCTGCATATTTGAATACAAGTAAGATTTTACTAAATTTAAAGAAGCAAGGGGGAGACAGGGGGGCTAGATAGAGGTTTTAACACTATAGGGTCAGGAATATGTTTGTGTTCGTGACCCTATAGCGTTCCTTTAAAGTCAGGCTACTAAGATGTTAGTGTTGCAAACTGCTGAATGAATAGCTGAAATATTGATTACCTGAAGCAATAATGTATAAAATGTCTGCAATTTGTGCACATAGAAGAATTATCACTGCTTGCCAGGAAAGGGCCATTAAACAGATTTAATATGATAAAGTATCCATTCAAATGGAAAATTTGAAATGTTGAGTACGTAAATAGTGAGTTTGTGCATTTAATATATAATCAACCTGCTCACTGTGCAAGTGAGTGATTCTACAGCTCATTAAAGTTTCATATTGTTTTTATACTGAAAATAATTCATCACATAAAGCAGAATATTACCCACGTTGCTTTTTTTGTGGGAACGTTGCAAGGGGCCAAATGCAAAAGTTTGTTACGAAGGTGTTTTAGAAATAATAGTGATTTTTTTTTATGTGTTATATGAATATTGTATTATACGATATTTCCTGCAGAGATTTCCAGTCACATGCTAATATTATTTTGGGTTTGAACTCTTTAACACCAGTTGTGCCAGCTCATTTGGCAGTGAAGAGGTAGAGCCTGGAAAGGACTGCGAGGAGCTGAGCATTGTGCGGGAAACTGGATTTGCCAGAGGTGGTGTGCTGGCTGAGAAAGTAACCAATGTAATATTTCCATCAGGTAAAGTCATTAACAAGTGTGATCTTTCCAACGAACTTGTAAGTTTGGATCCCTAGCGTCAAGGAGGTCAGGGGAGAAACGGGCTCTAAAGGAAAGTCTATACATGCCAGTCAGGAGCGTTGGCATATATTGGGTTATTTTGGAAAATTAGGGATGCAACATAAAGACCAGGAAAAAAAGACATTAAGAGCAATATAAAAGGCAATCTAATAATATGAAACATAGCAGATTCTCTAGGAGATAGAAACATGTGCAATTATTTTTTTCTTTTAAAACTGTAAATGATGCTATCAGGTAAAATGAGAAACAGGTCATTATACAACCCAGCGGAAAATGTAAGACCTTTAACCCCTTAAGGACACATGACATGTGTGACATGTCATGATTCCCTTTTATTCCAGAAGCTTGGTCCTTAAGGAGTTAAAGAGATGCTCTAAGCACCAAAACCACTTCAGCTTAATGAAGCAGTTTTGGTGTATAGATCATGTATCTGCAGTCTCACTGTTCAATTCTCTGCTATTTAGAACGTTTGTTTCTATTTATGCAGCACTAGCTACACTCCGCTGACTGAGACTCACAGAGCTTCCTTGGGGAAAAAAATGGTTTTATTTTCAATCAGATCATACAACACGGTGTGTTTACTTTAGAAATTCTTATCTGCTGCCCGTTAATTAAATTTAATTACATACAGGATGCTGCTGTAGGTTCAGGGAGGTAATTAACAGAGAAGGAGATAAGAAATTCTAAAACAGGGGTGGACAAACAGGATCACAGTGTTGAATAAGGAAACTTACAAAATTAACCTCCTAAATGACAGAGAATTGCACAGTTAGACTGCAAAGGTGTGATCTAAACACCAAACCCACTTTACCATGCTAAATTTATTTTAGTGCTTAGATGGTCCCTTTAATAATTAATTGTGGCCTTCTAAAGCAGCCACTTGAGATAGGTCAGAAGATGTTGGAGAAGGGAGGATATTCAATTAACAATATAGATATAGGTAGTGCATTTGGTCCAGATAAAAAATGCAGGAAGTGGTCTTCGTTAGTATTTAAAGTAGGCTCTGTTAATCAAGAGCTTAATGGCGGAAGTGAAGCTATGGATAACCCAAGGCGAACATGAGGGTATTAGTCCAGAATGGATCTGTGTAAGTGCTCTTGATCATGAATGAATGCGCACAATTTTGTACAAATATAACAAATATGGCTAGTGAGGAATGAAGGACGTGAAAGGATATTTCTAGATCAATAAAGTTGTAGGAGGGATGATTATAACTGTAGAAGAATTACAGTCAATCAGGATTGAAAGTGCAGGAAATAAAGGCGCTGTGTGAATTTTAATTCATGAATGAAAATGCTGACCGTTGAAAAAAATGTTCAGTAGGTAATATTAATTAGGAAGGAAAGTGCTGATGGTGCTTTTAGTAGGAATGAAGGTGCAGGCAGTGCGTATGGTCAGAATGAAGGTGATGGAAGAGCTGTTAGGTATAAAGATGCTGAAAGTTCCAATGAAAGTGCAGAAGGTACTGTTAAAGGAATGCAGGTGCAGGAGGTGCTGTAAATCTGGGATAAAGGTGAATGATAATGCAGTTACTAGGGAATGAAGTTTAGAAGGTGCAGCTAGTGAGGAATGAATGTTAGTAGATGTTGTAAGTAAAGAAGGAAAATAGATGCAGACTCAGCAGGTGCAGGAATGAAGGTGCAGGAGGTGCTGTATGTCTGGAATGAAGGTAAATGATAATGCAGTTACCGAGGAATGATGTTTAAAAGGTGCTGCATGTGAGGAATGAAGGCGAGCAGATGTTTTACGTAGAGAATGAAAAGAGATGCAGATACAGGAATGAAGGTGCAGGAGGTGATTTGGAAGTGAAATGGAATAATGGTAATCTATAAATAAAAAATGCAATGCTGCTAATAAGAGGTAAATGTAATAAATTTGGTAATTGATACTTGTATTCTTGAGCAGAAGTGCAGTAAGACTAGCAGGAACACTAAACATCACGTTACTGCTGCAGGATAAATGTGCATAGAATGAGACAGTGAAATTGTGATCTGGTAATCACACAATCCACTGAATGAGACTGCTCTTTGTCAGATAATTCCATCCCCTGGGATTATCTTCTATTGAAGAGTCAACGAATTGCAGCTGCAGAGCCAGGCATTGGTTTTATCCCCTAAGACTGGGTATTACTATGGCTGATCTCAGTGACCTGAAAATGGGCCAGGAATTACATCACTATGTTTTTGCCAACGCAAAAAGTGTCATGATTTTAGGAAGGAGGGCATGCAGTAGGGTGTGAACAAATTTTTGCTTTTGGTGATTGAAAAGAAAACACAATATGGCACGGTGCTATGGGCATGTGTTATTGTACACAGCAATTAAGGCCGTCGGAAGTGGTACACAAATGGTAAACTCGTGAAAAAATAAAAAGAGAGAGAGAGGGACGTAGTACAAAAGTATTGCAAAAGACTTGTATGTAATGTGATTAGTGTAACAGACTCTTGCCATCTGTTGCCAGAGCAGTCTGTGATTTATTGGACCATCTTCATTCACAGACAAATGGAAGCTCAGAGTTATGTTGTAGTAAGCAGAAAGAATGGCTCTCTACTGGAAGATAAAATCTAGTAAACATTGACAGAACGAAGAGGTGAGTAGGAGGGGTGGAGGGGAAGTACGTCAAGCACACTAAATGCAAGATACATCTCAAAACACTTAAAAAACCATAGTTAACTACAGAATATCTTCTGGGGATGGTAAAGAAAGGAAAGAGACATGTTTACTATATCCTACTCCATCTGGAGTAATAGAGACTGTAGATGTTCCTACATGTGGATGTTTCTAATAACTACAAATAGCATTAAGATTAACATAAACATGTCCGTTGCATGCATTAGATTTACCTGTCCGTATATCATGATTAATGCCTTCCACAGATATAATGGCATTTGCAATCCCTCTTCCATGTACATCCCTGACAAGCCCTCGAATTCCACGATGAACCTTGGAGAGATGAAGAAGGAGATGAAAACTTCAGAGGAATCCAAGGGAAATGTGAATCAGTAACTTAATTGCAAGATAGATGAGGGGCTATTAACCTCTTTGGCGCCACAAATTAGCATATTTCATCATTTATTAACTGACGGTACAGTGGTATGAAATCACCAAGGGACCAATGCAAAGCAAATCTCTAACTGATGGTAAAAGAAAAGAGCAACATTTAACAAATTAATTATTCCACTCCAGACTGGACCAGTCAGGCAAAGATGATCTACTCATGGTTGTTGTTTGAGATGTCTCAACCTATTCTTTGGCCAAATGTCGAGACAAGAAGGGGAACTGATCCAGCTGTTGCTGCAGAGGTAATGTCAAATATAAGATTTGAACTCCAGAAAAAAAAAAGAATCATTGTTGTAGATGGTGAAATAAATATATATTGGGAAAAAAAAGTGAAACATGTATAGAACTTATCACATTAATGATGTCTCCTGTTCTATACCATTACATTTTCCAGACACCATTAAAGGCTGACATCACTCCCTGACATCACTCCTACAGCAGAATTAGTGCCATGTGGCTTACTAATCTTATTTTAACGTCTAGGATCATTTCTGTTTGTGCTACATTTCTGAAAATAGGAGACTAAAGAAGACTCACCTGTTCCATAAAAACAATTAAAGACTCCCTGTTGTTTTCCCACTGTTCAGCAAGCTCGTTCTCATGGGGGAATTTGTCACAGTCCAAGTAAATTGAGATCTCAAAGCAGTTGGTGTGCAGGTAACTGAAATCGTTAATACCTGTTAATGGGGATAAAAGGCCTTAGGAGGTGTAGAGCAGGGATCATTCATGATATGTAAATAGATTAAAAAAATTGTGACAAAAAGACAAAGTAACGCATTGTTTAGCTCATGTAACAAAACATTTTATCATCTTCTTCTCTTGTAAGCTTTCCAACCAAAGTGACTTCTCAATTCCTATCCCAAAATAAATGAATACATTAAATATGATAAATGGAATTCTTGCAGAACATCACTGAGCTTGCTTTTTTTGTCACATGAGATTGTGATGTCACATGAGTCACAGAGATAGCATCAAAGTTTCCTGTTGTCCAGCATGATATATTGAGTAACAGGGTAAACTGTGATGTCACATGTAAAGATGGATCACATGACAACTCTGAGGCCTCTACATAAATATGGTTCTCTGCTGGACATCAGGGATACCACCACCCACATTACATAGACAGAAGCCATTTGAATGTGTAAGAGAGCACTAAAGAGTGTCAGGAAGTGCAAGGTGTAAACCTAATGAAAGCATTATGGGAGAGCAGAAGACAGATAGTAAGTACATGGCACTGATATGGAGGGACCAATGGAAAGAGGAACAGAGAGATATGCAGAGCAATTGAAAAAAACAGGGTTTCAAGAGAAATGGAAAAAACTGGGAAAATCATTGAGAAGATGTGAAGAGAAAAGAAGAGAGAGGGGAGAGAGAACTGCTAAAAGAGAAATGGGAGAAAAGATATGGTAGTTTGAAATAATGAAGGTCTGAAGAGAGGCCAGGACGAGCCATTACATTGATACAGTTGACAATAAATCCAGATAGTTAATATAAGTTGCATACAGGCAAAGTGTCATAAATCTCCAGAGCTACAATGATATTTCTGATGAACAATTAACATATTTAAAATAATCACAATTCTACCAATCTGATCATCTGCAACATCACATGTTTAACGTAACATCTAAAAGAACTTTAAATGTTATCGAAAACACTTTTCTATTAACTAACCTGCATCCCAGAAAACTGTGTTTTGGGAATGAACTGAAAAACCATGTAAAACATCTCCGTGAGTTGAAGATGTGTGTACTAACCTTAAATAAAAATTCCTTGTTAATCAGTTAAGCCAATTAAAGAACACGTAAGCATTGTAACTACAATATAACCATAGAAACTGATAACTGAATACCAATGTACACTATACCTAAAAATATTTGTAGAAGACACACAATAAGTTAATGAAGCACATCACATATCACCATGACTGCCATTTAAATGGGGTCAAACAGACAGGTCAGATCATTCCATGATGGAACCATTTTTGTTAACCTCAAAATCTCTAGATCGTATGATTAATAATGATGACTGAAGTTAATCCCGGTTTTAACTTTTTATTGATTTCGAAGTTCAGCTGCATTACTGGCAGGGAAAGGGTATAACATCTTAGATTGTGTTTGCGTTGAAAGCATCCATACGATAACGTCAAAGAACCGTAAAATGAAAAATGATCAATCAAATACAGATGCCGGAAAGTTTCTTCTTAGATGCCTAAGACACATACCTTATCATACCGTGACTATTTCTGAATGTTTTATTATTTATTTTCCAAAACAATTTCTTTAACGATACTGTATCAATATATTTCTTCTGTCACCTCACCACTCAAATATTTATTTTATAGAAATGTAAGATAGGATCTAAATTGAGACCAGCTTTCAATGCATAGTTAACTGCCAAGATCATGCCTTCTTTTTATATTTAACGGCTCACACATGTAGCCAGTTATCCATATGTACACTCATGCGGTATTGCAGTCTAGCTCAACACGCTAGAAACATGGGTGCTGTAATACAACAGATCAGATTCTCTAGAGAGAAAAATGTGCAAACTTGGTACAATGTATTTCATGGTATAGCATGTATCAGTATCTTTAATAGCTTTTTATTTGATTCTTCCTCACGGCTAACTATCAATGTTCCTTTTCATTTTTACATTGTGAAGTTATCTCACATCTATTTTCCTTTTCTTAGCTGACATATATCTAACCTTTCTAAACACTACAGATGTATAACCAATGCGACACACAGCTCTCCCACACAAGCCTCACTACGACTGTCTTTTGTTATAATGAGAGACATCTTGAGACACAGATAGAATCTCAGATCCAACCATTACCTTGGCAGTATTTTAAAGATTACTTTTTGTTCCTGTATTTTGTACTTTAACAAAACATTTAAATTTTTCACTGTTTAGTTTCTCTATCTGGTCTTTTATTACTAAAGTCTTGGATTATGCCCTGTGATCCTCACCCGTCATATCCTCCATCCTAACTTGTGAATGTCTACGTATATCATCTAGCTCTTCTTGCTTTTTAATTATTAACCCCTTAAGAACCACATGTCACATTATACCATCATCACATTCTGGTCCCTAATGATTTTATGCCAACAGCCGGCAATATTTACTTGAATAGGACATCTCTTTGAAGAATAACAACAGAAAGCTGTGGCAGCGCAAACTATTAAAGGACCACTATAGGCACCCTATAGGACCACTATAGGTACCCAGACCACTTCAGCCCCCTAGTTTTAACCCTGCAGCTGAAATCATTTTCAAAGAGACTGCTATGTTTACACTGCAGGGTTAATCCAGCCTCTAGTGGCTGTCTCCCTGACAGCCACTAGAGGTGCTTCTGCGATTTACACGGAGTCCTCATGGAGTCCTGTGTCAAAAAAGATCCCCATAGAAAAGCATTGAGTAATGCTTTCCTATGGGCGGGTTTGAATGCGTGCGCGCCTGGCTGCGTATGCACGTTCGGCTCCACACGGGAGCTGACTTCAGTGGAGGAGGAGGGGTCACCAGCGCTGAGGGAGCCCGGCGCTGGATTAAGGTAAGCAAATAAATGGTTAATTAACCCTTTATTCAATGTGGAACAGGGCCCTAGTCACTTAAACGGTGACTAGGGCTCTATAGCGTTAGGACTACATATTTGTATTTATAGTGTTCCTTTAAGGGTTAATGGTAAAGCTATACTTTTGTCTGCTGAGCACTTTCAGAATCAGATTTACCCCCTTCCACACAGTGAGCTTTTGTATTCATTCAAACATGGTAAAAACATAAAGTTTTTTTTTTTTTTTATGTAACCACTTTTTCTGGGATTGCTACATACGCATGTCTTTAATAACACATACTTGCAGTTAAATGTAAATTACAGTTTAGGGATTCAATTTCCATTTCACATTCATTTGTATTTTATATTCTAATTAATATAAGCTAACGCAGCAGGTGGGCTATAAAATACAATGCTTTTTTGTCTTTAAGATTTAAGAGCGTTTTGAATTTCACTTTTTACATTCCTCTTAGTAGTTTGAATTTTTTTCAAATGAAATGCAAATAACCATTGGATAACCCGCCAGATGTATAGCAAATGCTTTAATAATCTCAGTTATCCATGCCCCAAATAACCTTGAGCTGTGTTCACAAAACAATGAATTGTACTGACTTGATTTCAAATCATTTCACTATTGTGCATATCTGGAATGGCCATGAAAAACATTCAGATGCAAATTAACAAATGTATTTAGAAGGGAAAATGCCTCAATACATATTTGTTTATTTTTGAGTAGGTGCCTGTTTGGATTGATTAGGAATCCCAAATCCCTTTTTTAGGATTTCAAACATTTATCTTCAACAATGCTTGCTAATGCACATACAGAAAATACAATAATTCAAATGGGTAAATGTGGAATAAATGTTTTAAATATACTTTCCTCCTTTACTGTGTTTATTACCTTTATGTATTTACATGTATTATAGAAACATTTAAGTACATAAAGGGAATCAACACAGTAAAGGAGGAGAGTATATTTAAAAGAAGAAAAATTACCACATAGTCTTAAATTAGAGGGGCAAAGTTTTAAAAATAATATCAGGAAGTATTACTTTACTGAGAGGGTAGTTGATGCATGGAATAGTCTTCCAGTTGAAATTGTAGAGGTTATCACTGTGAAAGAGTTTAAGCATGCGTGGGGCTAGGCATAAGGCTAGCCTATATACAGAGGTGCAACTAGAAACCACTAGGCCCTGGTGCAAAAACTGCCCCGGGGGCCACATGTGTCTCATTCTCCCCCAGGCCTTGCATGTGTCTTATTTCCCCCTAGGCCCTTCTTGGGTCTCATTCCCCCAATCCCTCCATGTGTCGCATTCCCCCCAGCCCCTCCGTGTGTCTCATACCCCAAGCCCCTCCATGTGTCTCCTTCCCCCCAAAGCCCCTCCATGTTTCTCATTTCCTCCCCACAAAGCCCCTCCATGTGTTTCATTTCCTGCCCCCAAAGCCCCTCCATGTGTCTAATTTCCTCCACTCTAAAGCCTGTCCATGTGTCTCATTTCGTCCCCCCTATAGCCTGTCCATGTGTCTCATTTCCTCCCCTCCAAAGCGCCTCCATGTGTCTCAATTCCTCCTCTCCCCTATACCTTCCAAATTGCCTCAACCACAGCCCATCTATGTGTCTCATTTCCTCCCCCTAGCCCTTCAATGTGTCCCATTCCCTCCCCCCAGGCCCTCAGTGTGCCCCATTCCCACCCTCCCAGCCCCACCATGTGTCCCATTTCCTCCCCCCTCCTCTCTGGCACCCGCTCTCACCATCGCAATACCCGGTCTGACAGAAAGAGCTCTCTCAATGAGCACCTCCTGTCAGTCCGCTCTGCCACGCTACAGACAACTGCAGGAGAAGAGCAGCACAGTGCTCCCCTCCTGCCAGTCACCTGGCAACCTGTGGCCCCCCGGCCGGTGGCAGGGTTCGCAGCTGTGGCTGGTCCCCCTAGAGTGACGGACCCCTGCGAAAGTGGTACGTACTCCACTGCTTAGATATCAGATAAGGCTAATGAAAGTATTTAGAAATTGGGCAGACTAGATGGGCCAAATGGGTATTATCTGCTGTCATATTCTATGTTTCTATGTTTAAAGGGACTCTCCAGTGCCAGGAAAACAATCTGTTTTCCTGGCACTGCAGGCCCCCTCTCCCTCCCACCTCCCATCCCCGTTTGCTGAAGGGGTCAAAATCCCTTCTGTGACTTACCACAGACAGCGACGATGTCCCTTGGTGCTGCTTCTTGCTCGCCCACACTCCTCCCCGTCACCACGTCAGTCGGCGGGTGAGACTGATCACGCCCGACGGCGGGGGAGACCTAATGGCCCGCGCACGCACATTAGATCTCCCCGTAGGAAAGCATTTAAAATGCTTTCAATGATTTCCTATAGGGATTTTAGCGACGCTGGAGGTCCTCACATAGCGTGTGCTATAATCCCGGAAGTGCCCACTAGAGGAGGAGTTAACCCTGCAAGGTAATTATTGCAGTTTATAAAAAGTTGCAGGGTTAAAGGGAGTGGGAGTTGGCACCCAGACCACTCCAATGGGCAGAAGTGGTCTGGGTTTCTGGAGTGTCCCTTTAATACAATGTTGTCCTATATTTGTTGTTCATTCTTCAAGAAACATCTTTGATCATCCAAAGAGAATAGACTGACCATGATTAATATTTTCTAGTATTAGGGATGTCTGCAGTTAAATTCCTGGACAATAACCTGACATTTTTCATGCTAAGTACCCTTGATTTTCATATTCTGGAACTGCTTTTGTAAGTTCGGTCTAAAAAGGGTGTATATTAGAATTCTGGACTGAGTCTGGGGTATCACATTTTGGTTTCCTAAGACAATAACTTGACATTAATGTTGGGATCTCTAACACCAAAACAGCATGGTTTAAAACAAATCATGGAGAAAGGATGTGAAGTAAAAAAAACATTCTAAAACCTCAGATATATTTCTTTCAAACTTTTGAGTACAGGGTATGTAACAGCTGCGTGAAATTGATTTTTGCTATTCTAAAATATTGACCTGCCTCAAGAAAACATTGATTTCATAATTTAATTTAAAAAATCTAATTAACAAAAATGCTTGGAAATATAGCTGTTCTTTAACCAAAGAATATCTGCTGTTGGATGAAAGAATTCTAATTCCTAAAAAAGACAGGTCAGTAAATAAAGCACATACTTCCAGCCACTGTATGCCAGGAGGCCCCATTCACAGTTCCTTCTTCTTTGTTGAAGTCTTCAGAGTGGCAGGGTCGGCGGCTCGAATCGGTCATATGACGGTGTGTGGAAGCATAAGAATAAGCCAACCAACGGAAAACATGGTCATCTGGTGTTGCCGTGTATTCTTGCGTCTTCCATGGGGAACGAACCATATCATACGGATAAGACACCACCAATTCTCCTCCTTGGAGGTTTGCCCCCAACACAAAGGGAATCTTCTCCATCCATGCGATGAGGGCACGTGTTTCCATGGAAACCTAAGAAGAAAAAAAGTAACATTTAAGATAATTTTATTTGCTTACTAGATAGGTCAAGGAAACAAAAATCCACAATATTTTAACTATTTTGCTACTAAATTCAAAGTAAATAAGCGCAATTTAGAAATGTACAAATAATATAGGCACTGGCTCCCGTAGCTGATTGATACTGGGACCTGTACATTTAAAAATAATTCAACAATTCTTAAATAGGTAATTTAAAGTATATAAAGCATTATATATTTAGCAATTTAAATGTTACCCCTCTAACCCAAATAGAAGATGTATTACTACACAGCTGAGTCATTTGTTGACTAGCAAAGCATGAATTATAAACCGCATTGGAGACAATCTAAACTTATAGCAATCTTGACAATGACGTCAACTGTTTAATTCCTATAGCAGACCACAGATCCACAAAGCCTCTTATTTATATGAATATATCATTTGCAGGAAGCAGTCAGTGAATGTAGTCGATTTGTACAGGTTTCTGCCTAGAAGTGCGGCTTCATTCTACCATTTTCTATGTCTTACGGTAGCATTCTGGTACTGGTACCAATCCGGGATTGGAATGTGATGATTGGGGGCCCTGTGGATATTTCTGAGTCGATCTTCTGCTTCCCATAGCAAGCTATTTAAATCTGGAAAGTTGTTGTTTATGTCAATCCCATCAACTGTCCAACGTCCGAGTGACCAGCCTCCCAATTCCGAACCCTGGGATTTAAAGGGCATAGATCTTTAGTTCGAAAATAATAATGAAATAAGTCTACTATGCAGACTAATATCTATCTTTATCACCACAGTAGGAGTCTAACATCTACCTTTATAATCACAGTATGCCATCTTGAACTATAAGAATAAAACTCATAACAATATTGTAAAACATTATCTGTTAACTCTGTCAACAAACTCAGTGTTCCGTGTTGTTTGTGTACAGATATATCCTTATGAAAATGATTCTTTTGACAAATACAATTAATCAAGTGCAGGAAATATTGCCTTACCAACTCAGCAGCCTTCTCGTAACCATCTGGGTTGACACTTGGAAGAAAATGAAGACGTGTATGGGTAATTAGGTTACGGATGCGTTTGTTCCCAGCTAAATACTCTTGACAGAGGAACTGCATCAAGAGCAGAATGAGTTCTCTTCCTAAAACTTCATTTCCATGTGTTCCAGCTATGTATCGGAATTCCGGTTCTCCTGCATAAATAAAACGAGAACAGCACAAGAGCAGTGCATGGTTACACACAGAAAAAGAGAAGGCTTGCTTCTATAAAGCACATATGACCAGGCAGGGATTCCTCATACAGAGGCACATAATTGCTCAATCAATAATCAGGCAGGGGATATTGTTGGGAAACTCAAGGTAGGCAGCCTAGGTGTGTTCAAACGTATCAGTTTAAAGGCAGAGCACCTGTATAGCACATGCGCCGTGGAATAGGTGAGAATTTCTAACAAAGCAGCATAGTCCCTGTACATTGCAAGTGCAAGATGCAGTCCCAGGCACAGATAAGATGTGAAAGGTCACACAAATAAGTCAATATCACAGCAGGGGACAACGTCAAAGTAATATAAAGCATTCAGGACAGATATAGAAGAGACAGGTGGGACTTGGCAGGACATACATAGAGCTTGTTTATTCTCCTAACCAACTTCGTGCTCCCCAGGGTTATCAGACATCTCCATGGCATACATCTTCAGTCCTTGGTGGCTCCGTCCAATGTTGTATACACGTGTGATGTTGGGACACATTTCATTCACTACCTTCATCAGCTGTTTTAAAAAATATATATATAATGGGACAGGTCAGGAAGATAAAAAGTTTCCTGAGATAAATGCAGAGGAATGTTCAATGTTAGAGATTAGTGGGTACTATAGCAAAAGTCAGACAAGATATTCAGAGGAATGCACATAAAATGAAATATTGGCAAGCTTTTGAGAAACTTACAGCCAGGCCCTTTCTGTGACCATGTGTGTTACATGTGTGTTCTGACAGATATATTGCTATTTATAGACTGAAGGAACCATTTTCTAACCTATGATCACAAATATTACAGTAGACACCACTGTTATTGTTTAACCTGTATCCTCAACAAGTTTTAATCTGTATCTGCAGCCTTTGAATTGTTTGTTTAGAATTTGAATGGTTCCTATTGCCAATCATCTTAAGCCAGCCACCTTACAGTTTCTTCACAGCCATTTTGGGATGGTCGATACTGATGGAGACTCAGATAAATTGTATGTCAGAGATTATGGTTACTGATTGTGGGTTATGGATATAAGTCTTAGAGAAATTGCAGACCGAGTCAGAGGGCTTGAGTTGTCAGCCTTAGGGTTAGGCTTCATGGTTAAACACCTATCCAGGGTCTGTTTTATGATGTTTTGAATATCTGGACGGATTTGTCACATTTGTTTGCTTTATGACCTATCCCTTTTGATACCCATTTCCTACACTTTCTTATGTGTAAAATGGTGTACCCACAAGCTTGTCCTTGTTGGGTGCTGCACTAGTAATCTAGGGTCAGGACAGCAAACAAGACTGTATGCTCGTTTTAGCAGGGTCCTCCATATTGTTTCTGTACGTTTTTGTAATTGTCTAATTTATTGTTAAATCTCCCACTCCAATAATATTATAAAGCGCTACGGAATTTGTTGGTGCTATATATATGTCAATAATAAGAATAATAAGAATAATACAGGCCTGTTCATTCCCAAAAATCACGTAGTCAGAGAAAATGGCCAATGGTGAGTAATTTTTAAGCTTGGCAAGTAACTTCAGATGTTTTGAGCCCAACAATTTGTATTACTGTGGCAGACGTGTACTACTAGTATAACCTGAAAAAATATCACTGAAAGGAATATTTTATAATCCTGAGACTGATATAGACTTTGTGAAAACATGCATAAGAAGATGGGCAAAACACAGAGCAGCTAAAATAAGATTTATTTTTCTAAAGCCTTAGTACACTGTTCAAACATGACTACCTGTCTCATCTCCTTATAGTTGTGATGTCTAAAGTCGAGATTGTCCGATGTTGTCATCTCGTTGCGTCTGTGATAATAATTATTGGGGTCTGAAAAGAGCAGATTAGACATTGTTAGTCCAATATATTACATGGGGAAGGGTTATTCCCTAAACAATCCATTATGCTAAAGTAAAAACTGAAAATGCTGTAAATTTAAGCCAACATAATTAAACTGAGAATGTAACTAAATCAGATTTTATTTAAAAAAAAAAATGTTTTAATATCAGCTGTTTTAGTCTGCATTATGCAAATTTGTATTTAGTTCATCACCAGTTTCTGTTTAGTGAATAAATGTCCATATATTTCAAACTGTCAGACATGTCCAACATGTATGACCTAGGTCATGGGTGCTCAAGATGTTTTAAAACTACAGCTGCCATGATGCTTTTCATTCAAAAGGCATTCTAAAGGCTTGCAAAGCATAATGGGAGTTGAAGTTCTTAAACATCTGGGGATCTTACTTTTGGGCACCCCTGATCTAGGTAGCTGTATTTTTAACTTAAGAGAGCTAGGTCCAGAATCAGACAGGAGCAAGTTTTGGCAGACATCAATCCATGCATGTGCATTCCGATCCTTGGACGATATTCTGTATGGATCCAGAAATCACTGGATGTACACACAGTGCAATTAAAACTATTTTTGGAGAAAGTTTCAGTTCCCGTTCTGTTTGAAAATCACATTAAAGCAGCTGTCGCCTCTGATCGCATTATGAATATTTCAAAAGGATAAAATCTTTATGGATTACTCATGCTGACTGTGTTGGAACTTCATTGAAGAAAAGTTTGTCAAAAGCTGACAAAACACAGTGCTTCCATGATCAACGTCTGATAATCACCACAGATGTCACTGTAGTGACAGTTGTAAGAAAGAGACATCTTCTTGTGCAGTGGGCGAGTTGGCCTGTGGACATCCCATGCTTGCAGGAAGATAGTCCTTTGTGTTGCATGCTCACATCTGTGCAACACAACAATAGTGACAAGGGTTCCTAGAAGATGAATCCCCAGAATTGAATGAAAAAGATAGAGGAGCTTCATGGGAGACCTTCAAGTGTGTATATCTGCCTTTAAGGATACCCTCCAGACTCCTTAAGCACTTTATCTCGTTGAAAAGCTCTGTGTGAAGAGTGAGTCCTCTTCATAAAAAGTACAGATTTCAAAAGAAATTGATAATTTTATAACTTAACCTGGTTACACCCCTCTGGCTGCCAATCAGATAACTGATCCTATTACTTCCTGGTTTAGTTAGCTCAGTGGAGCTAAACTCAAGAGACATAAAATGCTTAGAGCAGGGGTTCCCAATTATTTTTTCCCGTGGAACCCTTTGACATAATGCGCTAACAACATGGAACCTCAAAAAATGTTTAGCACTATAGCGCAAATAGTAAACAGATAGTAGTACTTAGGAGCAGGTGGATTTTGTATGTAATGTGTTTGCAGGAGTGTGTTTGCATGTTGTGTTGGTGTTTGATTGCTGGGATGTATGCACATATACTGCCACGTACATACATACACAAACAAATGAACACACAGACACACCTATAAAAACATTGACACATACACACACACCAATACACACACTGGCACATACAAACACACTGATACAGACATAGTGACATATACACACAGAGATACACACACTGGCACATACACACACTCAGATACACACACCTTGACACACAGATACACACAGTGTCACATACACACACTCAGATACACACAGTGACACATACACAAACCTTGACACACAGATATAGACAATGGCACATACAAACATATACACATACACCTTGACATACAGATACACACACTCAGATACAGATACTGGCACATACACACACTCAGATGCACACAGTGACACATACACACACCTTGACCCACAAATACACACATACTCAGATACACACAGTGACACAAACACATACACACACCTTGACACACAGATACACACGCTGTCATATACACACTGACACACACACATACACATTGGCACATGAAAACACACTGGTACACACTGGCACATACACACACACACACACACTGGCATACACACACACACACACACAGTGATACATACACACAGTGGCACATACACACACACAATCTGATATACATCAGAGTCACCCTTCTGTTAACTTACCTTGTGGTCCTGGTGTTGGCTGAGGCTGATGGGAGTGAGATTCTGCATGCTCACTCCAGCGTCTCCTTTGCCATGCATGGTGCTCCCTCTTTGCACTGCCGTCTCCAGTCCTCTCCTCCAACAGAGTTACTGCGCGGCAGCAACTCTGTAAAGCTGGGAGGAAGTGCTGTCACTTCCTCCCAGTCGGCCGATACTACAGGGGCCCGTTCATGCTCATAAAGGGCCACGTCACCAGAACGGGCCCCTATTAAGCAATCAAATCGCAGCGGCCATTTTGTTTGGCAAAATTATGTCAGAACCCCATTTGTGTTCTCACGGAACAAATGGGAAACTCTGGCCTGGAGCACCTGCCTTGCAAAGACTTCTCATTGAGCTGTATTGGGGAGTCTGCGATTGGACAGCCACAGAAGGCTACGTAATGTTACCATTGATTTTACAATTATAATAAGCAATGTGCTAAGTGGGGGAACCCTTACCGCAGTGAGGGACTCAACAAGAGGACATGAATATTTGAAGCAAGTCATCACTCGAGTAAGATCAGAAATCTAAATCATCATTTAGACATTTTTGGCTTGTTCTGAGGCCATTAATACATAGCAGCCTTGTTATGTGGGATGCTGTGGAAAACTAATGACAAATGCGTGAAACTCCAGCTGTTATGGACTACAAATCCCATGATGCTCAATTTTAAATTGGAAGTAGGTGGAGTGTGCAAGTTTGCCATTTTCTTGCAGTAAACGTTATGGTTTGTTTAAAAATATTTTTATAGCCTTATATGTACTTTATGAAATAGTTGTATTAATATTCCGTCAGTCATGTGACATGTTAGCAATCCAGCTGTTATTTCAGCTGAAGCATATTACTGGCTATGAACTACAAGCTCAGCAAAAATCGTGCTGTTTCTAGTAGAATTGAAAACTGAGCCAAATAAGTAGCTTGGCTGCCAATCATTAGATATGTTATATTGTAACCTCATCTGGCTGGTGTCACATGAGTTTCACGCGGCTAAATGGGGGCCAGAGCTGTATTTTCATAAGGACAGAATAAGCAATAAGATAAGTCCAACGTCCCAACTTTGTTTTTTTTATAGGGAGAATGTAAAGTAGGAATATGAGAAAATTCTATGTACTAACTGAAAATGTTGAGAGCAGTTTAAAAGTCATTGACACTTTTGGTTTCCTTGCACAACTAAATAGTTAACTGAAAGTTGACTATTGGTTGTGGAATTTTTTTATTATTATTTATTTATTTATTTATTTAAACATCGTACTTCTTTTCTTTTTATTTTGATTTCACGCACGGAATAACAGGCAAATAATGTAAATGATTTAACACCTGCAATGCCATACACACAGCACTGCTGGGGAAAATGCCAAGCTCGATACATGACGCCCAACTGTGCATAAGCAAACCCAAGTCATCATGAAATGATTTTATTGCCCCTTACCCGGAGTTTTGCTTTTTTTTTTTAAACTTATTTCCACTGGTTTATTTACTCTAATAAATGCAGAAATTGTGTTTTCGGGGCTGATGGAAAGAAGGACGAACATACACAGAGGAGTGGTGCTAAAAGGGTGGGAACTTACTTTCTATATCAGGGGTGCCCAAATGGTAGGTTTACAGATATTTTAAACCTACAGCTTCCATGATGCTTTGTCATTCTAAACACATGCAAAGGCACGTAGAGCATGGGGGTTGTAGTTCTACAACATCTGGGGATCTACCTTTTAGGCACCCCTGGCCTAGATAGAAGGAGTTTAAAAAAAAAAAGAGGTAGGGGCTGCAAGGGTGAGAATGGTGTTCACACAGAGTGAAATGAGGACATTTATTGGTAAAGTTTAATGAGTTGGTGTTAGTGTTACTCCAGCGACAGTAATCACTCATATTTAGGCGACTCCATAAAAAAGGCATAATGCTGTAATTATTGGCAGAATTAGGCATTTTACTACACATACTCCATAACTCCACTAACCTGGTAAAGGGCAGCCCAGTATCTCAACTCTCATGCAGATGCTCCCCTCTTCATACCATGACCGCGGATTAATCCGAATATAACGTCCAATCAAAGGCTCTAGAAATTCACTCAGAACAGGAATCTCTTTCTCGTTGTTTCCCTGAAAAAGCTTGAATTGCAAATAATACATCTTATTAAAAAATCCCAAACCAACATGTTACACTGGCGCGGAACATCAAACCCCATAATTAAACACTTGTTAATTATCAGCACAGTCTGCAGCCAACAAATGATCAGAATGATGTGTGCCTTGAGGGAATTCATGCAGTGTGTTCCTCGGTCCTTGCAGATCTTTAACTTCATTTCTCATCAATCCAAGAAATGCATATTCATCTCTAAATCTGCCATATACTTCAAGGCTGTCATAACCTGTTGCTTGTATGACTCCATGAATTATGTATTAGATATACCTGTGATTATTTTATTATTAGCATTATTTAAACAGAATCCTTTTAAATTATCAGAGATAAAAGTTTGTTTCTGGTAATGAAACGCATCTATTTAAATCAGTGGAATTGCTTTTTGGTATAAAGCAGGGGTAAAAATACATTTAAAAGACTATAGTGGGTATCTTTTTTGACAGTCACTAGAGGCGCTATCCCCTCCAGAAACGAGTAGAACTCAATGTTTGAGTGGAGAAGCGTGGCAAATATATATATATATGTAACAGTTGTAATATATGAATATATTACAACTGTTCAGCAATCAACGGGTCTTTAACAATTAAACCACAAGACAAATTTAGCTCAATTAAGCAGTTTTGGTGTATAGATCATGCCACTGCAGTCTCACTGCTCAATTCTCTGCAACTTATGAGTTAAATCACTTTGTTTATGCAGCCCAAGTCACGCCTCTCTGCATATGAGTCACACAGCTTTCCTAAACAATTCCTGTAAAGAGTCATCTAATGTTTACACTTCCTTTATTGCAAATTCTGTTTAATTTACAATTTGTTATCTCCTGCTCTGTTAAAAGCTTGCTAGACCATGCAGAAGCATCATATAGCATGAAATAAAAACTTTTGAAGTAAGTTACATTTGATTGAAAATTAAACCATTTTGTTTTCATGCAGACTGTGTCAGTCACAGCCAGGGGAGGTGTGGCTAGGGCTGCATAAACAGAAACAAAAGTGATTTAACTCCTAAATGGCAGTGAATTAAGTAATGAAACTTTAGGGGCATGATCGGTACACAAAAACTGCTTCATTAATCTAAAGTTGTTTTGGTGACTATAATGTCGCTTTAACAGAAGGTTGTGGTGACATATTTAACTATATAGCACAATTTAAGTTTTTCACAACATTTTTGCCTATATGCATGTTTTTAAACTTTACCACAACTTGCTATAAAGACCGTGCTGTTATATTTTCAGGTTAATAGTCCATTTTCTGAACATCAATTCTTACAGTTAAATATCGGATTTTATAAATGGAAGGTTTAGGGATGTATTATTGTTTCCAGGGACGTTTTGGCTGAATTTATACCATTCTAAGACCTTTTTCCAGATTCTTTGGAGTGGCTGGAACCATAAAATAACATTGTATCCGTGCCAGTGAAGTCACATTTCATTGCAGAGCAATATACCAGGCAATTGTTTTTTTCAATAAATTCACCCAAAGACTCTTGAAAATATTAAGCTATTCTTAAGTGGGGAAAATAACGATACAAGTCCATTGGGTAAGAATGTCTCCTGAACTCCAATAAATTTTCTACTGAGATTTTGTTTTCAAACATTGTATTTGTTTTAAACAAATGAAAGAGATCACAGTGGGTGCCTGACTTACATAACCAATAAAAACACTCAATAAAAACATAACCAAGGTCAAAGACATTGAAAGAAAAATGAATAACAAAATTACATTAATTAAACAAACATTGAAAATAAGATGATAATTTAAAAAAAATGGCTCCATATGAAATGGCTCCCCCATTTCATAAAGAGAAATAAAACAGTTGTCAAATCTAAGTGTTGTTAATAAATTTAACTCATCTCTCCGCTATTCAAGTTAAACTGGAGCTTGCTCAGAGCAACTGCCTTGCAGAGACTTCTCTGGAAAGTCAGTGTGATTGGATATCCACAGAAAGTCTGGGCTGGGTTAGAAAGGGAGGGCTTGCAAAATGTCTGTGAAGGTTGCAGACAAAAGATCTGCAGCTTTTGGAAGCTGTTTTTAGATGTACCCCCAATGAAAATACACATAATTAGACATGCATGTTTTTCATTAGATTATATATTCCAAAAAGTGCATTTTATTTATTTATTTTGCATTGGGGGAGTGAAGTGTCCTTTTAAATTAAGACTGGTTTAACAACAACACCGTTTCAGTTTTAAAATTAAATGAATCTTGTGAGTCAGGGTGAACTCCTGAAGTTTCCAGGTTTGATTATACTCTAGGCCAGTGATAGCTAACCTTGACACCATAAATTGTTTCTGGACTACATTTCCCATGATGCTCAGCTAGCTTTTAGAGTCTAAAAGCTAGCTGAGCATCATGAGAAATGTAGTCCAGAAACAATTTATGGTGTCAAGATTAGCATCACTGCTCTAGGCTTTTTGGGTGCTAGCTGGTTTGTATATATCATACCTTGCTCGCTTGGTATTTCTTTTTCCTGCTGGTTATGGCATATAAATGCAAATGCATGGAATTTCACTAGACCTGGCAGAGCGAGTGGTTATAACACTTAGCATATTTGCAGATTGTCAGGTCGTCTTTAGAGCTAAAAGTTTTAACTGGATTTCAGTGTGTCAAACAAACCTGTTACAGTAGGCGCTTTTCTGAGAAAAAAAAAAAGCATTCCCATGCGGTATAAACATGAACTCAAACAAACATATAATTATAGTAACTGCATGAAAAAAATAGATAATTAAAAATATACTTAAGTGAATAATATCCTCCGTGTTCCACTTGTAATTATATAAAACTAAAGAAATAAAAGGGGCAAATGTGTTTGTATGACTTGACTATATGCTGTAGAATAGATTACCCTCACGTGTTGTAGAGCAACATTTTGCTCTAATTTTAAAATATTAATGTTCCATACTTGATATAGATAGAGTGGAACTTTTCCAACCTCAAATGGAAAAATGTGGAGAAAACAGAATAGAGCATGATGTATATAAATCAATAGAAGAAGTACATTTAACCAAATATAGCAAAATTAAATCAGCGCAAACTCTGTTCGTCAGCTGTCATAAAGCAAGATCCCGATGATCTGGCATACAGCCTCCCTTTTTGTGGCACATGCAAACCTGAAAAAAACTAGTTGGATCCATACTGCAAAGCCACACAAGATGTCAACTCCGGATTGCAAAATAAACATCCTCACACAGTAGGCTTTTTATGGAAATGTGTTACCCTTAATATAGACTTGGAAAAGGGAGGTAGCACAAAGTAATAACTAAAAGTGTGCCAATAATTGTGCCATACATACATTTAACGAAGATTTTTTTCATTTTATTTTATAAACCTGTGTTATGTTAGCAATTGTTTGATACCCATGAGAGCAGAGTATTTTTGTGTATTTTTTCAACAAAATATCAAAAGGTTACACAAAAACCATCAAAACCAAGAAAGAACCATCTTTGCTCATATTTACCAAGTGTGCCACTTTTAGTGGATGGCATTGTATTAGATTCTATGTATTCTTGGGGGGGGTGGGGGGTTATGGTTACAAATGTAGAATTCATTTAAGTAGATTTTTGACTGTTACAAATCAATTCCAGTTTGCTACATTGTGTGCACAAAATGTGTATTATTATATACACATCACATTGTTACTTCTTTGTGTAGAGAATGAATCATACAAAATGATATAGATTTGTCCTAAGGAATGAGATTGCTTGTCTGTATTGTACATAGATAATAACTCATTTATTTTCAACACATATTGTGTTTCATTTGTTATATATTATTTCTAATTAGTTGTTCCTCACCCCTTCTCCAGTTTCGTTCTTAGCCATAACCCAGCTGTGGCTGTCGTTGCTCACCATCACCCGATAGGACGTCACCCAATCGCTCCTGGGAAGAGAATCACCAACATCAGGCAGGGGAAGGCTAGCTAAAATTAAGAGCTGCTGTGAAATTACTATAAAATCTACAAAACTAAGTTTTATTGAGCAATAAAACTGAGCTTTTTTTTTATTGCGTAATAAAATTGTTCCATGTCATATCTGTAAGAAGAAAACATATATTTCCAATGTAGCGTGCTGCTAAAATGCTTCAGTTGGTAGTAGAGCTGGAGTGATATTATGGGCTAGCATTTATTAGTAAATACTACTTTAGCTAGTATTTACTGGCTGGGTAGCAATAATGTACTATAGTATACCGTATAGCAGGAGTGCCCAAAAGGTAGATCCCCAGATGTTTTTAAACTACAGCTTCCATGATGCTTTGTCATTCTAGAGCGTTATAAAGGCATGCAAAGCATCATGGGAGTTGTAGTTCTACAGCATCTGGGGATCTACCTTTTGAGCACCCCTGCTCTGCAGAGAGCAATACTCTAATTAGAATTGTTAATGATATGTTGAAATGCGGCTGCATCCTAAATGTCTAGTATTTGTGACAAACAAATAAAAAACATAAAAATAAATATTACAAAATCTAATTACTGAAATGTAATTTGGATACAATAACAACTTCTGTACATTTGTAAATGTATTACAATGCTTTTATGGAAACAGATTACAAATACTTTCAAAGATGACAATTTACTTCTACGCCGTGAAGTCCAACTTTGTATTCAACCTTAAAATTCACTTTACTTTGGCCTTGAAAGAGCCCAGTTAAAACTCAAAGATTCCTCCATTGTGAGTATGTGTATTTTTTGCATAATGAAATGCCATCAAGACCCACGTGTTGGTCTGATTTGTTCCTACCAATTTTGTCACACTAATAGGTGCAAGGTCCACAATGTAAGTGTACCTCACATGGTTTATTTTTGCTTATTTATTTTTTTGGCACAGCTTAGTCATTCTATTTAAAAAATATCATGCAGTGAGCATATTCTTGGGTGCAAAAAAAAAAAAGAGTTTGCATTTAAGGAACATGTATCACTTGACAATTATTTTTTTCAAACCAACAAACAAAAGCATTTAAACAAACATACAAATGAAAATAAAGCAAGAAAAAAATTAAAACTATGTAATAAACATTTATAAACTTACAATAAAGTTTGACAGATTGCATTGTTGGGCACGCCTTTCAGCTACGGGAGTTTCTTCAGCCTCCCTCTTAATCTTAATCTGTAATATCTCTTTATTCCCCTTGCCCAAAATGTACCAATTGTTTGTGTCTGCATACAATCCATGACTACTATGATAGTGTCAACTTTATATATATTTTATATATATATATATATATATATATATATATGTGTGTGTATATTTATATATTTATATATACATGTAAAACTAGCAGCACTGAGCAGGTTTATTTTTAAATTAATCCCTTTTTGTCCCTTTATTTTTCCCTTAATATTATTTTTCTTAAATTCAGCTTTGTTATTAATACATAAGAAAACGTAGGGACAATGTTTTTATTATGGGAGGCGTGATTTTTGGCAATCTTTGGAAATGGTCTGAGCTTAAACAAAGTTCCATTTCAGTTACCAAGGTAATTTACCCACAATCCATCAGTCAAGACATAACATATGAAGGGCAAACGTCCCGCATTCCGAATTGTGGGAAACAACATGGTGGCACCCTGATGTTGACATCCAGTGGAAGGAAGAAATATAAATAAAGTTAAAAAATAAACGTAAGTAAAGGAAAACTGAAAGAAAAAAAACACGGCAGTGCTACTTTAAGGATGTTTTGCGTGACTAGACACAATCTCTCAGGAATTCATCCATGCATGATTAATATCAGTTTAAAGAGCGCGCTTTGTCGAAACTGTTTTTTTATTTATTCCCCTTCTCACACACACAGTCACGCTCTAACATGGTAGAAAGGATGCAGGAAATTGCTTCTCTTTTTTTGGTTTTTATTCCTTTTTTTTTCAGGATGCACCGGAGACGCTGCAGTGAGAATTAGCAACTATCTACTGCTAATATCTCAGGAACAGGACCAGAGGCTTACGTCTGTTTTCTCATTTGTGTGTCACATCTCCAGTCTGTTGTATAGAAACAGCCGGTACTTTGTAAATAGAACAAGTGAGAGAGACAGATAACTCCCCCAGGACACCTGCTTCAGCCCACGCACTGTGTTCGACGTACAGGAGTAGAGACAAAAAAATGGCAGCTTTATTAAAGACATGACTGGCAAAAGGGTTAATGTACTGTTTGAAGATCATTTTGCTGGAGGTAGCATTTGTTTCCTAATGATAAAATAAATTATAATTTATTTGACAATGTGGCAAATACTACTCTCCAGAGCAATGACTGTACCAGAACTGTCGTATAATATTGGCAGGGTTATTTACTAAATTGACAATTCAAAGTGTATTCAAAGTGAATTTCACATTCAAAGACAGAGAAGCCGAACTGAACGCATAGCTGATTTCGATCTTTTTTCTAGTTCGGCTATTTTGATCTTAAATTGAAATGTACTTTTAATTCTCAATTTCCCAAGCAGGAAAAAGAGGCACTTCAACAAGAAATAGGGGACTTAATGCAGACAGTAACAACTGAAAACTGGATGACGACAAGCATAGAAGCAGACAGCAGAGTCGGATTGCCTCTAAAAATCCAGGAAGACAGTTTCAAAACATCAACAACATCTCATGCATTGATCTGAGCAGACAGCGTTTAGAATTATCTATGAGATAGTCTGTTTCCAAGAAGAATAACAAAAGCAGACAGGGACTAACCACAGAAGCCACCAAGTGACCTTGGTCTCTGCTCCTTTCGAATACATGATCTTTTGGTCAAGGTTCTTGTCAACTCTTGTTTCTGTATCCCTGAATGTGTTCTTCAACTGGTCCCATGTTTTACTTACTATCTCTAGTTTGTTACATAATATGATAATGTATCATTAAAATGATAATAATAATATTAATAATAAAGACATCACCAACTCGTCACCAATAGCAGTTTGCGAAACTGTGGTGGACAGATATCTGAGTGGAATAAAGACAAATTCTCTATTTCTAAAGAGTTTTAGAATTCTGAAAAAACTTTCCGTTTTGGTTTTATAAGTATATTTTAAAGTTATGGGGGTGCCACACATGGTATGAATTCTGATTCACAAAACACTCAAGTAAATGTAAGTGTTACGGACTCACCATTTAAAGTGTGTCTGAATTCCTTCCAACGCTACAGGAGCCACTGCCTATGAACAACATAGCCATGAAAGAAACACCTTATTCAAATGCATGTTGAAGCTGCAAGCTCCATTGCATAAATCCCACTGTTCCCACACGTCCGTCCCACAATCAGGAAATAGATTGCAGCTGCCCTAGGCCGAACCTACTAAGCAGCCAGATGCTGCTATGTGTTTTAGAAACTGCTTTCCTAGTAGTGCCTCATCTTGATCTTTTTCCTGTAGTAAAGATGTGTGCTGTAAGACATTCAGCCTTCTCAAGTCCTAATCTATGCTATTCCCGTTCATGTCTGATTGCTCCCTGTACTGATTTTTACCTGTTTTTCATCACTCTGCATCTGCCTCCTGCATTGACCTTAGGCCTGAATATTGACTTCCTGTGTCTTTCCATTTCTGACTTCAGTTTGCCTGATGTAATTCTTTTCTAATTCTATTGTCTGAGCTACAGTCTATCGTGATCAAGAATTCGATCTTGGGTGAATTAACCAGCTGATATGTCTCACCTACTACATTCAGACACACCTGCAGCTACGTCCAGACCAAGCTGCAGTGTGGGGAGCTCATGTGCATGCACAATGACAACTGCAAACTACTACGCTTTCCTGTTTCCTTTCAATGACTGTTTTTTCAGTGTACTATAAACTATAGACTACTGAACTATAAACATCATGATTAATGACTAAGAACCTCTAAAGGTGACTTAAAGGAACACTATAGGTCAGGAACACAAACCTGTTCTTGACCCTATAGTGTTAAAAATACCATCTAGTCCCCTCCACCCCCCACGCACCCCCACTTGCCATCCCTAAATATAGTAAAATCTTACATTTGTTTCAGTCTGGTGGTGCTGGCTCTGTTCCCCGATCTGCCTCCTTGGCTGACATCATCAGATGTGATGATCTCAGCCAATCACAATGTTTTTCAATAGGAAAGCATTGGAGGCAGACTGGGGCGGAGCCAAACCCCTCCCTGGTCAATCAGCATCTACTCATAGACATGAATTGAATCAAATCATCTCTATGAGGAAAGTTCACTGTCTGCAGAGGGTGGAGACACTGAATGGCAGTCCAGCACAGTATGCAGCACTGCCCAGGAAGCACCTTTAGTAGACATCTGAGAAGTGGCCAGTGGAGATGTAGGGAGCAATGTAAACACTTATTTATTATTTATTTATTTATAAAATATTTTATTTATGTATAAAATATTTTACCAGGAAAGATACACTGAGATTTCTCTAGTTTTCAAGTATGTCCTGGGTATGAATTATTAATATTTTATGAATTATGAAATCTTTATTTTTAGAATTTTGATGTGTGACTCATATTTTTTTCTTTCTGAACTTTTCCTGCAAATACACAATATCCAGTGCATTGGCCACTTTACAGAGCTTCACAAACTATACAGGAAATGCTATCATAGACTGGACACAAGGAATTATGGGAGTAGTAGTTCCCGCGATGGAAGTGAAGTAACGCACGTCAAGCCCGGAACCAGGAACTCAACGGAAACACAAAAGAGACCGCCCAAATATCAAGCTACAACTGACCAGGAGATCGACGATTGGATTAGGGGAACAGAAGGCGGGATTATCACATATATACAAACAGCAACCCAAAAATACAGCATTCACCGATTGAAAAAGCCTAACTACTGAATCAAATCATCTGACTGGATGTCCTCACGCTTTCTGAAACTTAACCTCTCTAAGACTGAACTCCTTGTCTTTCCTCCTCCTAATACTGATCCTCCTCTCTCGCTCTCCCTTCAAGTCAGTGATATTCACATAAGTCCATCCCTGCAAGCGCGCTGTCTTGGCGTCATACTTGACTCTGGTCTCACCTTTGAGTCTCACATCCAGTTTGTTGCCAAGTCCTGTAGCTTCCAACTCAAAAACATAGCCAGCATTCGCCCCTTTCTTACGCAAGATGCTACCAAGGAGCTTGTCCATGCTCTAGTAATTTCCCGCATGGATTACTGTAACCCTCTCCTGATTGGTCCCCCCAAAAGCTGTATTGCCCCGCTACAGTCTGTAATTTGATTTTCCTCTCTAGTCGGTCCTCTCACACCTCACCCCTCTGCCAGTCCTTACATTGGCTCCCTGTATGCTATAGGAGTCGATTCAAAGTGCTAACCCATACATTTAAAGCACTGAACAATTCTAGCCCCACTTATATCTCTTCACTAATCCATAGATATGCCCCTCCTCGTACCCTCCACTCTGCCCGTGACCACCTCCTGACCGCTGCTCGCACCCGTACGGCCAACTCGCGCTTGCAGGACCTCTCGCGGGTGGCTCCTCTCCTATAGAATAGTTTGCCTACTGCCATCAGACTATCCCCCAGTCTTCAATCATTTAAGAAGGGCCTTAAAACCCATCTCTTCAGGAAAGCTTATGGCCTCCCAGAGTAATCTCTACCTTACATACCTGTCTCCCGCTCTCTCCTATGGGACAGTGCTTTGCTCTCTCCTCCAGCTCTGCTTCACTCCTACTTGATATTTCTTGTCCTAATGTTTCTAATACCCCACCTCCTATAGTCTGTAAGCTCGTTTGAGCAGGGTCTTCTTCAACCTATTGTTCCTGTAAGTTTTCTTGTAATTGTCCTATTTATTGTTACATCCCCCCTCTCAAAATATTGTAAAGCGCTACGAAATCTGTTGGCGCTATATAAATGGCAATAATAATAATAATAATAACTACTAGGCGCGACGTGTCTCGGAAGTCAAAAAAAGAGGAGAATACCCTTATATTTTTTATGTCTTTATATATTTTTTATTTTGTGTTTTTAGAAGTATTTTTATTTTAATTTTAATGGTAACAATAGGTATATTTCAACTTTTACCTATCCTCTCCTTGGATTCTTCATTTGAGTTCCTGTTAGGGGAAGTGTCTACCGAACAAAATAGACACAAAGCTATTTAACTTGGAGTCAGTTTCTTAAAGACTCCAAACCAGGTGAGCAGTTTGATGTTGGTGTGTATCATTTATTACCAGTATGCCAAATACTGCACCCAGAAGTCTTTTCTTTGTTTTATTTTTACTGCATATTAGAGTGACTGATTTACTAATCCACTAATGAAAGGTTGTGTATTCCACCTTAAGGCACAGACGCCCTTGAGCTTAGAGCCTATACCAGGGATTGGCAACCTTTGGCACTCCAGATGTTGTGGACTACATCCCCCATAATGCTCTTGCACCTATAATGCGGGCAAAGCATCATGGGAGGTGTAGTCCAAAACATCTGCAGTGTCGAAGGTTTCCTATGCCTGGCCTATACCCTGAACAGGCTCTAATCTATGTGAGTTAATTTTCACTCACTTTTGCAATTCCTATGGTATCAGTAACGCACTATATATCTTTTCTGTATTTTTCTATTTTATGTACATCTATTTTAAAAAAAAACCACATTTGTGAGGGGTAAGTCCCCACTGTTTATTTAAAGCACTGCACTTGAACTTTATGTTATTAGGGGGTTATCACCTAAATGTTGAGTGCCTGTTTAAAGCAATGTAAACACTGCCTTTTCTCTTCCATTCATTTTGTTAAAGTCTATCGTTAAAGGAACACATCTTACTGAAGTTGTTATAATGCATTAAGTAACCCCCCTCCCCCCCCCCACCCACCCGTGTCTTAGCCTCCAGTACTGTATATTTTAATCATTTGAAGGCTTGGAAGCATAGCTTAAAGGTGCCCCTACAAACCCTCTGGAGAGGCAGGACTATTACTTCCTGGTTCTCATACCCAGATATACCATGATGTCGCACACACCTGCGCAATGCCGCTCTTGGCTTTTCATTGGAAATCCTTCAATGATTTTCTATGACAAGATTTTGATTGGTGGATAATTGGAATGAACTATCACCCAGGACACGCCTCCAGGGTGATGCCAAGCTTGGAGGAGTGGGCAGCAGCATCGAAGGAGACTCGGTGCTGGAGAAAAGCTAAATGACTTATTTATTTTATCATTTACAGTGCACATAGGGGAGTCCTAAATCTGACATGGCATAGGGAGACTATAGCACTAGAAGCACAGGCTTGTATTCCTAACACAATATTGTTATTTTAAGGGTCTTACAGTTTTGTTTTTTACTTTACTGCTTCATGTTTTTTTATTTCCTTCTACCCTGTACAATCAGTCTTTATGTTAAATTATAGTTTTCAGCTGATACATATCTCTGTTATTTTAGATCTCCATTAGAATAAATTATTATACAAGTTACAATGTTATACATAATCAGTATGCAGGTAATGTTACATACTTGGCAACTATATAATATATAAAATCGTACAGATGGGTAATATCTGATGCTAAATAAGATGATTTTTTAAAATATTTTTAGAAAGAAAAAAAGTTCTCTTACAATTTGAGCTAAAAAAAGACAATGTGTGAACAGGCTGTTAGGTTGTGAAGAGTTAGGTACAAAAAGAGATTGGTGTGCCCTGTCATTCTACATACTAATTAGAAAAATGTAATATTTATAGCCTGATAAGATAATTTTCTCATCTCCAGATACAAAATTGAGATTGCTGCTGCCTCCTCCATACCACACATTAATGTCACAAAAAAATTAGAAATTAAGATAAAAAATTAAGGAAGTTTAGTTCCTTATTAGACTATTTTACGGATGATAGGATCAATGGTATTTTTTTTGCAAAGTGTGCAAAGTGTTTGCAATGTAAATGTTAATGTTGAATTAAAAAGCCTATTGTGATAGCTTTGGCTGGCAGTATTGTCAGGAATTAAATGCAAATGCAAAGTGAATTTCAAATTTTATGCCAAGACACTCGAATGTAGGGTGTTTGTAGCAGACCAATTAGTCGTATAACTTATCCTCAACTTATGTCAAGGAAATGGAATGTTATGATTGGATTTTGGTAAAGCCCAATGGTATTCTATTAACAGAGAATTCCTTGAAAGCTAATGTTATGCAGTGAAGGATGAAAGGATTGCTACAATCAGTTCCTAGAATGGAATACAAGGAGAACTAAATTTCATAAACAATCTGCTATCTATAGAAAAACGATTACAGAAGAATTGGCTGTTATGTCTGTTTGGTAGACTGAGTGCTAGTTTTAACTTTGCTATGCAGGGTTTATTGTTCCGGCTGACTTATTGGGTTTATTGATCCGGCTGGCGTTGTATTTTACTTCCCTGCTCCTTTCAATACTCTGGGGAATATTTCTTATTTTGAAAGTATCTTATCTAGAAGATTTAACTTGTTTTGAATTAAGTCCTAGCAGTTAGAATTCTGTATCCAAGAATAAATAAATGTATAAATAAAAAAATATATATATATCTATATATATATAGATATATATATTTTTTTTCTCAAATTGTTTTTATTTATTTTTTATGAAGAATATGATTTTGCCACACTGATACCTGATCCTAGCAATGTTCTCACACCAGTGCTAACTTTGACGGCAAAGTACACTTTAGTTTTAGTCATACTCTTTTGACTAAAAAGCCATTTTAGTTTAAGACGTATTTTAGTCATCAGAATTGTTTTAGTTTTAGTCAACTAAATCTCTAGTAGATTTTAGTCAACATAACTAAATTCTAATGGGCTTAATTGAAGCCTTTATCTGTCTCCTTTGCCCCTTCCCCAGCCCCTCTGTGTCTTTATGTGTCCCTCTCCCCCCCCCAGCCCCTGTGTCTCTTTTGCCCCTTCCTCTGTCTGTCTATTTTGCCCCTTCTCCAGCCCCTCTGTGGCTCTTTGTCCCCTCCCAATCCCTCTCTGTGTCTCTTTCTCTCCAAAGCCCCATTTGTGTGTGTCTTCCCCCAAGCACCTTGTCTCGTTCTCCCCCAGACCCTCTATGTCGCTTTGTCCCACCCAGCCCCTCCATGCATCTCATGTGTCTTAATTGTTGCCACAAGCCGCTCCATGTGTCTCGCTCCCCCAAGCCCCTCCATGTGCTCATCCTCACAGCCTCTTTTAGTCTTTTGACTAACAAGCAATTTGTTTTAGTCGTATTTTATTCATCTGAATTGTTTTAGTTTTAGTCTAGTTTTAGTCAACTAAATCTGACAAAAATTGTTAGTCGACGAAATTAACACTGTCTCACACAAAATGTTTTGTACCTCTATATTCTTTATTTATAAATTTTTTTATCTTGTTTACAGAAATATAGCCATACTCGATTTTAATTAAATCAAAAGGTTTGGTAGGTACACATTTAAAATAGCAACCGTGCTTCCAGTCCACAAGTTACCAAACCCAAGCCATAATATACAATAAAGAAAAGGACTGGGCACAGGTCTAAAATTCAGACAGAATTATTGGATGACGACCAACAACATTGCTCTTCAAGCAATAAATAAGCATAAAGTTTAAACCTGTGGCCAATCCTTTTCTTTAATGGCCTCGATCAAGGGAAATAAAAAAAATAATAAAAGCAAATATTATATATTAGAAACTGTTATATAAAATGGCCAACGAAATTGTTCTTCGAAATCTTTCCAGTACAGGGATTCCAATTTTCAGTTTTATGATATAAAAATGATATCAATGTATTTAACCAGGTAGGGTATAATGAAGGGTTTAAATGTTATTCTTAGCCAACATAATGGTAGTAATTTTATTGACCGGGGAAAGATTCTGAGAATCATACCCGATACTCTGACATAAGCGTAAAATGCAACTTTATACTGATCAGCCAAAACCTTAAAACCACTGATGGGTGAAGTTAATAACATTATTATTACAATGGCACCTGTCAAAGAGAGATCTATTAGGCAGCAGGTGAACAGTTAGTTCTTGAATTCCAAAATAGTGATAGCTAGATGACTGGGTAAGACCATCTCCAAAAGGGCAAGTCTTGTGAGGTGTTCCCGGAATACAGTGGTTATTACCTACAAAATGTTATGCAAGGTAGGACATCTGATGAACCGGCGTCTTGGTCATGGGCACCCAAGGCTCATTGATGCACATGGGGAGCAAAGTCTAGCCCATCTGGTCCAATTACACAGACGAGCTGCTGTAGCTCAAATTGCTGAAAAACCTAATGCTGGCCATGATAGACAGGTGTCAGAACACACAGTGTTTCAATGGTTTGCTTCATATGTGGCTACATAGCCGCAAACCAGTCAGAGTGCATACGATGACCCCTGTCCGCTGCCTAAAACGCCTTTAATGGAGATCTGTCAGAACTAGACCATGGAGCAATAAAAGAATGATGCCCGGTCTGATGAATCACCTCTTCTTTTAGATCAGGTGGATGACTAGGTGCATGTGCATCATTTACCTGGGGAAGAGGTGGAAGCAGGAGAAGAAGGCAGATTAGCAGAGGCAGTGTTATGCTCAAGCAACGTTCTGGAATTTGGTTGGAATTCATGTGACAGAATTGTGACCAGATTTAACTTTATTAAAGGGGCACAGAGATTAGGCTATTATGTATACATTTAGCAGTACACTGATAGACTAATTTTTGCGTCCTTTTAGTCCATCTGAAGTTTGTTTCCTAAATTGTTTAGATAGATGTAATTTGTCCGTTAAACTTGAACTGTCGCAACAATGTAATTCAGTAAACCGAATGAAAAAAAATAAATTTCAGCCGAATCAAAACTGAATTTGTCCATCATGCACAAATTTTGAACAAAGTAACAAAAAATAAATGTTATCTTCTCATTTTTAATTGCTAATTTTCATTGAAAAACATCCTAAATTGTATTTTTTGGGGGGGAAGAATCTGAACCAATCTTAACTGTGAAAGCATAATATGTATATTTAAAATATTCATAAAATATCAAGTTCTTTGTTTACTATGTACACAACAGAACATTGCACTATTTTTTTAAAAGTTTTCTTTCTTATTAAAGGACCACTATAGTGCCAGAAAAACATACTAGTTTTCCTGGCACTATAGTGCCATGAGGGTACCCCCACCCTCAGGGACCCCCTCCCGCCCGGCTCTGGAAAGGGGTTAAAACGTACCTTTTTCCAGCGCTGGGCGGGGAGCTCTCCTCCTCCGATCCTCCTCCGTTCCTCCTCCTGGGCTGAATGCATGCGGCAAAAGCTCTTGTGCGCATTCAGCCTGTCCATAGAAAGCATTCATAATGCTTTCCTATGGACGTTTGCGATGCTCTCACTGTGAAAATCAGTGAGAAGCACGCAAGCGCCTCTAATGGCTGTCAATGAGACAGCCACTAGAGGATTAGGGGAAGGCTTAACCCATTCATAAACATAGCAGTTTCTCTGAAACTGCTATGTTTATGAAAAAATGGGTTAACCCTAGCTGGACCTGGCACCCATACCACTTCATTAAGCTGAAGTGGTCTGGGTGCCTAGAGTGGTCCTTTAATTGGGTTTTAGCAAACTAATGTGATTTCCTAAAAATTAGGATAAATCATAAAATATAATTTGTGAGGGTAACTTACAAAAAGCACTGGTATTGGAGTTTAAAGGCTTCAACTCACGTGTGACATGGTCTTACAACTAAAAGGGTCAATAGAATGAAATGAGATGGCGCTATTGGCAATAGAGCACCCTTTAAAATAAGCACATGTGTACAGTTCATACATATACGTATATATAATGTCAGTGTAAATACAATTGTAAGTAAATAAAACCATACTGTCAGTATCAATGTGCGCATGGATCCCAATAATGTGGGGGAGCTAGGTTAATGAAAATTGTATCCAAGTGATCTTTGCGCAACAAACAGCCTGTAAAATTGAAGAACAGAGTTGGAATGCCTATTACAGACACACTTAGAGAGCAAGCATTGAACTCCCAGAGATGTAGCGAAGGAGACACAGAAACAGCAAGAAGATCAAACAAAAATCAATATGCTGTCGCAATGAAGGTCAGGGTCACAAGCAGAGAAAGGAAATCCAATACGCTAGTTAAAGTTAGTGACACGAACAAAGGATCAAAATCAGGGTCACAAGCCAAGGGTGTAAAATCCCAAAACTCCAAGCAATAGAAAAATCCTTTCAACTGTAGTAAACTGAAAAACCAACCTTCAGAATTGTAGTTGAGTTGAAGAATTTTTTTTATTGAAATTTTTTGCTTACATTTTGCAATTTTTTTTTTTTATTCACTAGAATCCAGAGTGTAATGTATAAACCCTCCCGTGTGTACACATGGTTTTTATTTAGATCATACGTTAGAGAGAAAAACATAAAAACAAAAAACGATGATGTTGTTTAACTAGAACAGCAGAACAAACTACATATGTGACATGTCACTCTTACACACTTAGGTCCATATGTTCATGTAAATTGAAAAATTCAGGGAAAATACCCAAATGTGACCCATAACTGCAATTTGAGTATTACTTTATTGGACCACTATAGGCACCCAGACCACTTCAGCTCAATGAAGTGGTCTGGGTGCCAGGTCCATCTAGGGTTAACCATGCAGCTGTAAACATAGCAGTTTCAGAGAAACATATGGGTTAATCCAGCCTCTAGTGGCTGTCTCATTAACAGCTGCTAGAGGAGGCGCTTCCGTGCTTCTTACTGGGATTTTCACAGTGAGAAGACGCTGCGTCCATAGGAAAGCTTTGAGAAATGCTTTCCTATGGACTGATTGAATCCTGTTATGTAAAATAAAACCATTTGAAAAGAATCTCTAACATAGTGATCTATCGCTGCCAGCAGAATAGATCATGGCTTTGACGATTCATTGCTCAATTCTTTGTCATCTATGAGCTAAATCAGCCCTAGCCACACCTCCCATTGCTGTCACTCAAACAGCCTCCATGAAAAAAAAAAGTTTAACTTTTACAACACTGGTCAATTTTATGAAATTTAACTTTAATCACAAACAGAAAGGTGCTGTTCACTCTAGCACGCAACTAGCAATAAAATTCTAAATTAAACACACTGTGCAATAAGGCAAGCCCCCCCAAAAAATTACAGGGTTATTCACTAACATGAGAATTCAAAGTAAATACAAATAAATTTCAAATTTAAGGCCAAAATAGCTGAACAGGAAAAAAGCCTCTAATACAGCTGTGCAGTTCAAGTACCTTTGGCCTTAAATTTGAATTTACTTTAATTTCACTTTGAATTTTCAAGTGTTTAGGGAGGTTGTGTGAGTCACAGCCGTGAAATATATGGATTAACAAAGCAATTTAACTCCTAAATGGACAAATGAGCTGTGACACTGTAGGGGCATGACCTATACACCAATATTTCTTGATTAAGCTAAAGTTGTTTTGGTGCTGAGAGCATCACTTTAAAACAAATTTGAAGACAAGATCCAATGCCTTCCACCAACCTCTGAAAAATATGAGCATATACTAGCTTGCGAGCTGAGTGGAAACTAAGTAAAGAATAAGATATTATTTTTCAATGTTCTCCTGCGAAATGTCTGTTTTCGTTCTGCTAAAGTTGTTTTAGTAACCATAGTGTCTCTAAGTTTAAACTACTTTCACAAACTCATTCTCTTTAGCCTACACTCTTAGGGCCTAACTGGATTTGTCATGGCAAAAATACACATTGACAAGAGAAGGCAATGGAGAGCAAATGGTTACTACTTCATTGCGGAAATAAGTTAATTACAGAAAGCTATTAATTAGTACAGTAACCATAGCAGCTGGGGAGTGTTTGATGAGAAAGGATTCAGTGTTCCATGTTATATAGGTTTATTCGCCTGGCGTATTCCTTCTGTGTCCCAGATCTTCGCTATTGTGCTTAATGTTTGCTGTGGTATTGCTCATGTTGTATTATTTAAATAGAAAAACTGTGATTTGTCCTCGATAAAAGAGAAACTATGTGAGACTAATACATATCAATGGGGCAGGGGCGTACCTAGAGCATGTGGCACCCGGGGTGGGTCATGGGTTTGGCACATCCCCCCTCCTCTCCAACACCTACTAAATTTAAAAAATGTATTGAACAAATTTGTAAACTTTTTCAAACCCCTGCCCCTTCTACAAAATCCCTGCACTCCCTCACACACAGTTACAGGCAGACAGTCACACACAGGTACATGCAGACAGTCACACGCACACAGTCACATGCAGACAGTCACACATATAGTCACAGGCAGTCATACACACAGTTACAGGTAGAGAGGTAGAGAGTTACACACACACACAGTCAGTTACAAGCTGTTACAAACAGTCACGCACACTGTTACAGGCAGACAGTCACATATACAGTCACAGGCAGACAGTCATGCACATAGTTACAGCCACACACACACACAGTTACAGGTAGACAGTTACGCACACACACATTTACAGACAGACCGTTACATACACGCACACACACAGTTACAGGTAGACAGTAACGCGCACACACACACACAGTTACAGGCAGACCGTTACACATACGCACATACACACACTGTTACAGGCAGACAGTTTCACACACGTACACACAGTTACAGGCAGACAGTTACACACACACACACATATTTAACGGCAGTCAGTTATACAAACACACACACACAGTCAGTTACAAGCAGTTACACACAGTCACGCACACTGTTACAGGCAGACAGTCACATATACAGTCACAGGCAGACAGTCATACACACAGTTACGCACACACACACAGTTACAAGCAGACCATTACATACACACACACAGTTACAGGTAAACAGTTACACACACACACACAATTACAGGCAGACCGTTACACACACACACACACACACACTATTACAGGCAGACAGTTATACACACACACACACACACACACACACTATTACAGGCAGACAGTTATACACACGTACACACAGTTACAGGCAGACAGTTACACACACACACATTTACAGGCAGACAGTTATACACACACACACAGTTACAGACACACACACAAGACAGACAGTCACAAAGTTACAGACAGTCAGTCACACACACACACAGTTACAGACAGACATTCACACACACATATTTAGAGGCAGACAGTCACACACACAGACACACAGACACACACACAGTAACAGGCAGACAGTTACAGACACACACACACACAGTTACAGGGTCAGACAGACAGTAACACACACAGACACACACTCTTACTTACAGACAATGTGGGCTGGAGGAGTGTATTCCCTGAAGTCCTTCCCTGGAGCCTGCTAGGTGGAGGAGCAGGGATTTCTTCTTGCTGCACCTCCATGTGCAGCAGTTACAGCAGCTTGTAAGGGCCGTGTTATGCGCCGCCCCCGCTCGTGGTTAGGCTCCGCCCCTAAACAGTCATAGCCCTCTTCCATCCGTGCGGCCAGTTAAGCTTGCTGGTCTCTCCGTGTGAGCTGTGCGACACCCCAGCTGCCATGGGGCACAGCTCACACGTCCCCCATTAGCCCTCAGACCATGATCTTGGCACCCCCCTACCAGGTGGCACCTGGGGCGCACCGCCCCCTCCACCCCCCTTAGTCCGCCACTGCAATGGGGTTATACTTTGAAGGGACACCAAAGTCACCAGAACCACTACAATTAATGATGCTGATTAGTGCAGCGTTTTGCCTCGCATGTGCAATAGCCTCCCAAAACTTTCCTATGTGAAAGCACAGTATTGGCTGAGATCTTTAAAACTGATAATCTCAGCCATGGAGACTGAGCCAGGTAACCAGTATGGCGTGGGATAAAAGGTGAATAAAGTAATCTTCACTCTCATGAGAGAGGGAGCCAGGGACCTAATGCTGTATTCCAGCACTACAGTGTCAGAAATACATGTTTGTATTCCTGACACGATAATGTTCCTTTAACATTTTGACCAAGATACACAGTTTATTTATTATGTACAACAAAATTGTACCCCTCTGCCACAGAAATAATGCATATGTTTCACTACTGTATTATAAATATAATTTCAACTAAATTTGGATGACATGATAGGCTGTTGGCTGTGCTAAGCCACCTCCAGCACTTGCTATTACCACCATGTAAATTTGGATGGATTTACACAGAAAATATAGATTTAAGGTATCAGCATTATCTTAGCCGCAGCAGAGGGTGTTCAGCTTTCGATTAAAAATTGGTTTGCTAATAACACTTTGCATGTACAGACATGAACTTCTATGCTAATAAAAGAGAAAGAACAGTTACAATGTAGCTTATATAAAGAATAATGATTCAAATGTTTTAGATGCAGTGCTAAACACACTTCAACATTTCGCTAACACTAATTTCCCATTCATTAATTAGAAATTGAAAGCAAATCCAGCAAAAAGTATTCACAATTAAAAAGCAATTTGATTAAAACTCATGGTAGCAAATCAAGCTAGTGAGGTACAAATAAAGATTCACAGGGTATAAGGGGTCTATAAAAACTCCCTTACAGGAATATGGGGGTCTCTTGGACTCCTAAAGGCGTGTTGCCTACAACATGAGAATCTATATGAGTGGCTAAAGACATGAAGAGAGAGATTTTCAAAGTAAAAACAGCTGCACATCGTGGGAAAAGTGCTAAAAAAAAAAAGTCCAGTCACCAGGAAAACCAATAGAATGTCTCTGGACATTAGTACTTTGTTCCAGAATAGCACCTGTATTATTCTAGATAAATCTTCCCCTAAGCACGCTAAAGGATATGACTGAATCATTTCTCTATTAAACTCTGAAAGTCATTTAAAATAAAGTGGACCCAATTACTTAACTTTTTTATTAAAACATACTTTTCAGATTGTGTACGTTAAAAAGTTGTAAGGTACAAGAGGCTAATAAAGGCCTAATCCTCTAAAAAGCATTTGGAAAATCGAAGTCAGTGCCGATTAGTTTTCCACCAAAAAAGCCATCATCAAGGCAAAGGTTACTTGGAAAATACATATTTTATATGTTAATTAAGGAAGCAAATCGGAATGACATACTTACAGCCAGAGTGAGTTTCTCCCTTGAGTAATGAGTCCCGTGAACTTAGTTAGCCGCCGGGCATCAACCTCTAACCACTGGTGTATATCAGTTCTCCCAGCACACCATGCTCCATCATACAGGTCGTTCTCATTCACCCCCGCCTGTCATAAATAAACATAGTGGACTTATAATTGACTCATTTTTACTACACGATCGAGCTGCAGGAATTGCGGAGGGCCTAATGTGAGTATGTAGGAGTTTTTTTAGCTTGTGTTTTAATTATGAGTGATCATCTACCTAAACTGAAACTTAGAACCATTCTTAGTAAAGTACAACTGTCACCTCAAAATAATTTTTTTAATATAGTAATCCATTCATCAAGTTTTGAAAGGAAATATATATTTTAACCCCTTAAGGACCAATCTTCTGGAATAAAAGGGAATCATGACATGTCACATATGTCATGTGTCCTTAAGGGGTTAAATGAAATATATGCAAAAGCAAGAAAATCTCATCTCAACTTTTAGTGTATGACAGGATCCTTCAGCCATGTACATGCACCTTTGGTTAAACCAGAGACAGCTCTACAATATGTCTAGTTGTGGCCATGGCCCAAACGGCACCTTAAGAGGTGGGGAGGCCAGTGTGCCATCTTCACCGTGTCCAGACCCATTTTTTGGAACACCAAATTTGCACAAGAGCGCCTCCCCCCTCATGCTCTGTGTCACGTGAAACCCAGCACTCAGTCTGAAGCGACAGGCAGCAGATCAGAAATCAAGGGCCCCCGTCCTCTGCCCTGACAAGTAAAACAGCAGGGAAGATGAGGACACCAAGCAGTGCGAGCAAAGGCTCTGTGATGGCAGCAGCTGACTTCCACACAGCTGAATACGGAGAGACACATGGAAGGAGGAGAGCAGAGATATGTAAGGGAGAAGAGAAACATAGAAGGGGGAAGAGAGATATGGATGTAAGGAGGAGAGAGACTAATGGAAGATGGGAAAAGAGACATGGAAGAAAATGGGGGGGGTACATTATTATTATTATTATTTTATTATTTATATAGCACAAGCAGATTCCGTAGCGCTGTACAATGGGTGGACTAACAGACATGTAATTGCAACCAGACAAATGGATGCACAGGAACAAAGGGGTTGAGGGCCCTGCTCAATGATCTTACATGCTAGAAGAGTGGGGTATAGTGACACAAAGGGTATAAGTAAGGGTGATGAAATAGATATTGAAGAAGTGTAGACCGGGTGAAAGTCTAACGGAGAAGGGAGTTCCACAGAAAAGGTGCAGCCCTGGAGAAGTCTTGGAGACGAGCATCAGATGTATATGTGTGTCTGCGCCATTGTGCTTGTGTGCGCGTGCATCACTGGAGGGGGGGGGGGAGGACAACATGTGAGTCTTGGAACCAGGCAGTACAATGTCTTGGGTTGGCTCTCGGTCAGATAGTGTTTGAATACCCACAATTCGTCTCTATGGTCTAACCCTGTTTCTGTGCAGGGAGTAAAGCATAGAAGACCATAAAGACTAACTGCTGGATTCAAGCACTGTCTACCCCAAGGTAGAAGTATATGGCTGTCATACGCTACAGGTAGCAATGAATTTGTCATTTTCTTTACATATACTGAAATTAACAAAGGACCTATTTCCTTTCAAAATTCACTAAAAGAATTATTACATTAAAAATAGATTTGAAGTGACAGATTGTTATATATCTAGCCTGACACTGCATACTTTCACTTTCTTGTAATCTGGAGGGAGTGACCTAGGAACTGAGGGTCACATGTGCATTGATGTTCTTCTCTATCTCTATCTATATGTTTCTCAATACTGTTCACTGACATGCTGAAAATTCTGCATTCACATTTAACAACGTGTGGACTTTATAAAAATATTATTATGGACTTTATACCCTGAAACCTGATAGATATTATGTGCCTGGTCCAAAAATTGATGACCCACGGTAATAGCACTGAATTATAGGTTCCAACCAGTGATTAAGAACCAAAGATCTAGCCAGGCTGCAAAATCATTAGCACTGAATTTCTTGTAATGTTTCAAGTAGGGACCGGCAAAAATGTCATCTTCGGAATAAAAAAGGCAGTAACCACTTTTTGACTTAGTGAGCACTGTTCAAGAAAAATGCTGGTTTTCTCTCTTTAACTGCCTATCTATAGCAAATATATTTTTTTCTCGTACGCACATGGTAAAATACATTGTACATGAATGGGTGCATGAAACTCGCATAAAGAATAAATATGTCGGTGTCTAAGCAATGTTTTTTATTAGGCACATGGGTGCAAGATAATTTAATTTTAGCATAGTCATTTTTGTTGAGCTGTGTGACAATTTAAAGAAAAAAATAGGATTTTTCTAATGAAAAATATGCATGAATATGTGATTTTTGCCGTGAGCAAAACGAAAAAAAAATAGCCTTATCTACAATCTCAAACGTACATCACTGCCTGTCACTTCATTTGCTTTCTGAACTATAAATCTTGTACCACAAGTCATCATTAGTCTTTTGAAAATTCTGATATGAATACAGGTAGAATAACGAGCACCTTCATCATTCTGACATATGTGTACAAGAGAAAGAGATTTTATCTGTAGCATGAGAATTCACCTGAATATTTAGACGGCCACGGTGTGCTCCTAATCCGTACCGCTTCACAGTCGAGGCATGCAACTGGAAATCTGTTACTTTTAAAGTCTCCAATCCAAGAGGAGGACAACCTGTTAAATTACACATAATGTTTACTTGTTGTATTATTTATTTATTTATTACTGGTATTTTTAAAGCGCCAACAGATTCCGCAGCGCTGTACAACTAGTGGAGAACATACAATATACACACAAAAACCATGTAGTAAGCAAACTTTGACTTTAAGCGAATCTGTCATCAGAACTAATATCATTTAGAATGTTAAATATACTCTTTATATTTTTCATTATCCTAGAGTTTCAAAGAACACACTGTGCAAATTACAGACTCTGAATGACTGATGAAATTATATATTCTATGCAATACAGTCTTTTGTCACCCGTAACCGCCAATGAGGGTTTAGTTGTGAAGCAATACATGGACGGCCTTCTGCTTAATAACTGGCAGATATTAAAGTGGCTCTGTGAATCCCTCCCTTCTCCTCCCCCACTGAACAAAAATGAGTATTTCATAAAGATAACATTTTTATAAAATACTTGCATTTACTGTTTTGGAATTTCACTAAAATTTCAACACAGTCAACAGATATCACAAGACAAAGTAAGATCCAGCATTGACAAATCTTGACAAGAGGCAAAGCTACCTCCTCCAGTCAATAATGAGGAAAAAAGTAGGTAACAGGAATTGCACTCAATCCACAAGCCAATTAGTTGCTTAGTTAGACCATGGACCAGCATTCGCCCATCAGAACATAGGTTTCAAAGAAGAAGGTCCATGCACTCTAATGCTTTAAGACACATTTATTGGAACTAACAGAACAATACAGCAACGTTTCAACCAAGAATAGGGTCGAAACATTGCTGTGTTCTTCTGCTGGTTCCAAAAAAAAGTGCCCTAAAGCATTTGCATGCCTGGACCTTCTTCTTCGAGGCATTGTCTATGGAGGTTCCTGTGATCTCAAGGGATCCTCCGTAGACATCAGTCTTGTACTCTTGCACATTACAAAGAGTACAGTACTGACATGGGATACTGGTAGATAAAACACCAAAAAAAAATACACCAGATGGGAATGGCGGCCGCTGCCATGGACAGCTTCAGATATGTAAACTTAACATCCCCTGTTGGACTAGGCCACTGCAATCTGAGTGGGGATGTCACCATTGGGGGCCTTTGCAAAATATGCAGAGCCTCCAGAAGGTTACACAGTCTCTTTAAAACATAGTACCAGTTAAGCATCCCATAGCTTGCTTAGGTGAAAATGATATGAATGTATATGCATTATCGCTTTAAAGTGTTTAATGGAAAGATATTTTCGGGTAATGCTGGCACTTAAACACATGTGGCATGAACTCACTAGAGAGTTATTTCCTGAAAAGTCCCCAGACTGCAAAGAGAATGTCTTATCAGGCTGTTTTTTTCTTGATAAATTTGGAATATTCTATTGTTGCTTAGCCAAGTTAATATAGCATGCAGTCACTTGAATTATTAGCTTAACGCTGAAATCACGACTACTGCCCCAGACATAAGATGCAGAATAAAACCTACAATGAACCCTGCCAAAAATAATGCTCTGCTACACAGTCTGTCTGCAACTAGAATTGTACATTTTAAACATAGTTACTCGAATTTACGTAATGTTATTTCACAAGATATCATACAGAACATTTAATAAAAGCTGTTGTTATTCTAACATCTAAATAGTTACGTATAAAAAGTATCTGTCAGACAAAATATGGAATATGCCATTGGTTTCCATAGTGATTGCTCCACTTTCAGAATGTTGCCCCATAATTGATCCATACACATAATCTCCATAGTATAAGTTAAAATTCTCCTGTCAACATTTTACATTAATCAATGGAGCGTAAAAATTCTTGTTAAGGGTTTTTTTTAAATTGTATTTATTAAGTGTTCACTGTCTTAAATTGAAACTGAATTTTTTTTTTTAAATATACATACTATATGAACTAAACAGGGCTAATACAGATTGAATTAAAAGCACTGCAGTGTGCAAATCCCTACTACATCGTGCAGGTAGATAGAATGCAGCCACTGCACTTTGAGCTTCGTACAGTAAATTAAGAGGGAGGGTGGCATTAATAGTCCTTTTGTGAGATGCAGAAACAATTATCGCAGTCCCAGCATAAAAAATGTTTCTTGACCAATTTAAGAGCAGCTGTGGAGCAATGGGGAAGGTTAGTGGAGTTGTTGGGAGAGATGGGGTCAGTACCCTAAATGCCAAAGATGTTTATTCTACAGATGCATATCACAATATGTATTGAATTAACCCCTTAAGGACAAATGACATGTGTGACATGTCATGATTCCCTTTTATTCCAGAAGTTTGGTCCTTAAGGGGTTAAAGGACTAAATGTCAATACAGGAAAAGATTTAATACAAAATTTCAATCTTTTGGTTCAGCCCCTTCCACAGAGACAATTACGTGAACAAAAAGTTTTGTAAGAGAAGCTAAAATCAATGAGCTGGAATACAATATACATACGTTATCAATGTGTAACTTTGAGACCCCTGTCTGCTAATTTATTTTAAGATATGTTTTTAAAATGAATATGTTGAAGTTTTTTGTTACTGATTAAATACCAGTTTTGTTAACGTTTTAACCTCACACACTCGTTTTGTCATTGTGCATATAGAAACATTCATGATGATAATTGTTTAGAGACTGTTTTACAATTGCTATATTTAGGCCAAAACTCATTTAAAAAATTAGCCGAATTGGGCCTTAATGTTGTGTTTCAATAGTTTTCCACAATTACTAAATAAATAAACCCACTTCTTACAACTGGCTTAGTAAATAAACCCACTTCTTTTAAAAGGAAAACTAAGGAGGTTGAGTTTATAATTATTATATAACACAATTATCTAACACAGTTGGACTTATATTTATTTTACAAGGGTCATTTTTTTTCAGTTGACCATGTTCTGCCTTTATATATGGTAAACTGAGGAACTTATTCAGTTGTCAGTGCCAAAAGATATATTTATGGAAGATATTTTGAGTATGATAAGTGAAAAGTAAGCAGGGGGGAGATTTAAGATATGACAGGGCCGTTAATCTATTCCACCTTTTTAAAATTCAACTTTAACCGTTGCAACATCTCACCTCCTCAGAAATCTGGAGGCTATGTGGAATCATAAAGTTCATTAACAGTTCACAATGATTATGCTCAGGGAATAAATTCATCATCAGCTCCTAAACAGGTCTGGGGCATTAATAACTCAATGTCTGTAGAATAGATAAAATTTGTTCTATTGATATAAAATATGTTTGGCAGTTTAATTGACTGTGGGTTTTTGCAATAGAGATAGGAAACAGGTTTAGAATGTGCTAGCTATTTGAGTGAAACGTTCAGGTATAAAAATGCTACCATTATAAGCTGAGGAATTACAGGAGATGGGTAGATTTTCACTGCACTTTTTATGAAGCCACCATGTCTGCAGGCATGATACCGTGGCAGGTGGACACTTTATTGAAATAGGAGGTACATGGTGGCTCCCTTTTGGTTGGTTGATTGGTTGATAGAAGAACCATTGAGAAGGTCCCTGTGGTTATTGGGAATTGCAGGAGAAATGGATTTAGCTCTTTGCTATATGCTATAGGTTGGGTGAGAGAACATGGGAACTATCACATTGTCTTCAACTCCTTGGTTATAATAGGATGTTAGCAGGAGTCCAAAAGTGTAGTAGAAATAATGATGTGTCTGCCTAAATTCATGGGAAATTGGTGCATGTAACAGATGGTGGTTGTATGTTCCTAGGTGAGTGAATAGATGACGATATTCTACTTAGGTGAAAGGGACAGGTTGAGAAGAATGTGACTAGTATTATATAACTGGGTGAGTGGCTGGATGGGTAACTGGGTAACGGTATGAGACTGGGTGGCTGGATGTATCTGAGTAACCTGTGCAATGTATTTGTGTTTGTGTATGCTCCTAGGCCTGTGTTTAGATGAGTGTATACGGATAGATGTGTTTCACTGGCCTCTCCCCAATTCTAACTACATCAAAAATATTTCAACAATATGACCAATATCTATATATAATACACATGTGCCTCATACATATATAGAACACAACATTTAGTCAGCAACTATAATCCTGGCTGCTTTTGTTGCTGTTAAATATTTTCCTTCTTCCAATAGAATTTGAAAAGGCTCTTTCTAGTTATCTCTTGTCAGTTTATGTTATTCCCAGCAGAAAACAGATTTTAAAATATTAGAACCCACACTCCAATTAGATACTTCATCCCTGTGATTAAATTACCATTTATTTGTCTGTCCATTAGCTCAAAATACAGAAAGGGGCAGAACAAAGATGGGATCCTGGGCCTTAACACTTCATGTCCTGCTATGTCAATGGTCCTGAAGGGGTTAAGTGCCAACCATAGAATGGAGAGTGTTGGGAGCTTCCTTCTCTCCCTAATTGGAAGCATCACCCAGGCAGGTATGAATTTAAGAGCAGGTATATTTATAATTCAACATCAAGCTTCTGTGCAATTCTCTCTCAGACTAACCAATCCACCAGGCATCATCTTCCCCCTTTCTTCATCATGTCAATTATAATTTTTGGTGCAATATATGTGGAACAAACATATCCTGCTGATTTCATCATCATCATCGTCATCTTGGCATTCCGTATTATTATTGTGCATTACACCAGCACCCACACATGTCAATATGTTCATTAGAGGCAGCCAGTGGAATTGGCGTGTTCCAGCACTCAGAGGATCAAGCCAAGAATGACTTGCCCTCAGAATAGCAACCCACCTAAGATATCTATGTAACAGCATGCAAGTATCCAGATTGAGTAATACAGTATGTAAGATTTGTTACATAGCTTAGAGAAGCCTCCTGTTTATGGATGGGAGCTTCCACATATAGAATATTTTAATAATTTGCCAATGTGTCTCAGACTCTTAGTTTAGTTTTAAATGAACACATGGAATTTTTGTATTCTCACAAAATAATCTGTGATTTAACCATTTTATTTATTCCCGTAGTGATGATGTAAAAAAAACTATAACCAGCACTGTGATGTTCTATGAGTGAGGATGTAGGGAAAAATCACTAATAATAAAATTAAAATAACTTTTGTTATTTCATGCCTGCCACTTGTGCACGATAGTGTCAGTAAAAATAACACCCAACAGCTCAAATGTATTCTCTGAAATCCAGGGAAAAGGGAAAAGAATGAACTCAACCTGTAAGATTGGGATGTAGACCAGGGCATAGAACCAATATATTTATTAATAGTCTTAGGTCCATGTTAATCTGCCATACTTCCAGGAAAAATTATTTACAGAGTCCTACTCCTTCACTATGCAATGGCATCTACTTAGCTGTCGCTACTTGTGGCGAAAGTGACCTCTCCACTGGTTTTTGGAGGGGCTGTTTGCCAGCCTCCTGCCATGCGACTATGGCCCGGGGGTGTTTGCCCTTTAAGAACATTATGGGGGCTTATGGACTTTCACTGGACTGGTGCTGGCCCTTTAAGCACATTTTGGGGACATGGGGAAAATTGGGACAATGCTCCTTTAAGGCTGTGTCCCCAGGCGTGTTTGTGACACTGCCCCTTTAAGCCTGTGTCCCCAGGGTCCCCAGACTTGGATAGAGTACTTTGTTCATGGCTTCTTTACACTTGGTTCAGTAAATGGGGCTTACTGAACCAAGTACCAAACAGGTGGACCCCCCAGAAGTGGAAGTGTTGTACTGCTGTAAGTGTTGTACTGCTGTAGGTAAATTGCCTACCGCTGGGTGGCGGCGGCCATCTTTGTTCATTCGAACGAGGTCAGCAGTATGTGTAGCCAAATCCATGGAACTGAAATCGGCTACACATTTCATTGAACACCGCTGACCCTTACCTTCTCCTGCACTGAGTATTCAGCCACAGAGACTAAGTGCCGTTTGAAGATTCAAATGCTTGCTCGAATGGGACTTAGTCATTTTATCAGTGTAAAATAGACGGACCGCACAGCCCAAATCCATGGAACTGTTTTGGGCATGAAAATGTGCTTGCGGTCGGTCATGAAGGACTTCCAGACAACTTTTTAAATACTGGACGGATTTGGCTGAATTTTGGCTATGTTTATATTTCAAGTATGCTGGTTCTGAAAATGTATGTATGTTTGTGAAAATTGAATGTATATTTTGAAAGTTACAATGTATGTGTAAAAAGTATATTTTTCCTGCCTGTGATAATTACTTTAACCCATTGTGTTCAGTAATTAAATCACTGGCAGAGGGGAGGGTTTGTGTGTAATTGATGGGAGTGTTTGTACTGTATACTACGTGTTTATTGGTTGTTCTGTAAAACCCTGTGGGCGGTCCTGTATGTGTTAAATCTGCATAAAAGAAGGCCCTTTGGTGCCAAGTAAAACAGAGTTCTACTTCACCCTCAATCTAGAGTCCTGTCTCTTATTGGGGGAATTGCTATATCACTACAAGGGATAGCAATGCTCTGCATACTCCCTTAGCTAATCACTACTAAGCTCTTTTAAGAGCTTGTTCCTGTTTCCCTCTCTTGGAGGAGAGGTTCACCCACTGGAGCCTGTTGCTTTGTACCAGGTCCAGGGTGGGTAGGAGACGGTGAGACCCCAACCAAGCTACGGCGGTTTGTGGGGTCTGCTGTGGTTGTGGTGTCTGGTGGATGCTTGGAGCCCTCTGAAAGCGCTAGGAGCATCCTTCAACGGAGGTACCCAGTCGGGGTGCCAGGTAATCCGTTGTACTCCTAACCCTCTCAAAGCAGCAGTTAGGAAAGACAAACTGCATGACTCCTCTTTGCAGATTATCCCTAGGACAGGGGGACAGGGGTAGGCAAACTTCAACACTCCAGATGTTCAGGACTAAATCTCTCCTGAATCTGTGCCAGTATTATCACTGTAAGGGCATCATGAGAGATGTTGTCTACAACATCTGGAGTGCCGAAGGTTGCCTATCCCTGCCCTAAGAGATATGCAGTCTGTTTTGATGTCAATAGCATTCAGGAAGTTGGTGACCTTCTAAGCTCACCCCTTATCTTCTTTTCCAACAGATGAAAGAAGCTCTGGACATGGGTACATATATCATTGTGCATGCGCAATGGATATCCAGACGAGCCAATGTAAAATCACTAATACATGCTCACAATAGCAGTGGTTGCTTCCATTGATCTGAATGGAAGCTCCTGTACTTTATTCTGAATAGATCTGGTGTCATGCCAAAAGCATGAGTTGGTGTTTGATGTGTGTTTATATATGTTAAGAGTTGTTTTTTGTGTAAACCTTGGGATGACGTTTATTATGGTCTTTGATCTTGCACCAGGCCTAGACCATAAAACATCTAGATAGCCATCACCAGAGCTGGACACAAGGAATTTCATAGAGTGGGCAATAGACTGCCAGACCAGCCCCCTCTGATCCCCCCCAGGGGTCTGCCCACTGAGAAACAACTAGTTTAGATATATGAGGGTGTTGGACTATCCAGGGAAGTCAGTTATTCATTTTTCTTTTTGTCAGTAACTTCTAGGAGACCTATACCATCTAAGACTCCCACAAGAATTCTATATGGGGTAAATATATGTAAGGAATTTCTTGTGTTTTCTCCTATTTTATTTTATGTACTGTTTTGCAATTTGTTATCTGTATGTCATTTATTTCTGTATTTTGTACTCAGCACTGTGAATCCTTTTTGTCAGATTAAATGTTTACTTAATCAGCTTGTGTCTCTGTTCTCTATGAGCTTCACTCTCCAGAGGAAAGCTCAGGTAAACACGTTACCAAAAGGGTTAACTATATATGTTTTATCAGTAAAAGTAGAACGGTGATACTATAATTCTCCTGTGTGTGGGGTAACCTAAGACGCCCGGGTTTAAAAGTCTTGGTGGTGGCAGTCAAGTGTACTAAGGGAGTTAGTGTAGAAGGGATTGCAGGGGTTAATTGAGTGGTTGCTGGGACTAGCAACAGGTAACCAGGGGTCTGGTGTCATTAACCCTGTCACTTCCACACTCTCCCCACTGTCTCGGCTGGGCCTATAGCCCACGCACGTGACAAACTGGCGGCAGCTAGTGGGATATATTTAGAGATTTTTAGTGCTTGCTAGATTTTACCTGTAAAGGGGGTCTTAGCACTAAAAGAAATTGCATACTTGTTTTTGTGTAATTTCCAAAGACCAAGCTCAGTGCTGATTTAAAATACATACAAATTGCAAAACAGTTCTCCCCTCCCATCTTTTGTTTTTCTTTCTCTATCCGATTTGTGAATATGGAGGCCTATCGCAAACAATCAAAAGAGGCCTTGGAATTGTTGTGCCAAGAAAAGAATTTACCAACTTTTGGCAAAAATAAGGCACAACTTAATGCTGACCTTGTGGAGGCTGACAGCCATATTTTCCAGCCAGAGACGGACACTGAAATGGTTACCGAGCTCCCTACTACTGCAGGAGTGTTGCTTACTGAAATGCCTGGTGGTTGTACCCCTCAAAACATTAAGGACATTTGCTCAACCGATTTATTTCGGCAACTGATGGCTGCAAATCCTCAGGAGGCCCTGCATGTGATGATCCAACAGCAGGCTGCAGAAAGGGAATCTGCAGAGAGGCTAGCCGAAAGGGAGGCACAAAGGAGACATGAGCTGGAACTTGCTAAACTGCAATTTACCCTTCAGTCCTCACTGAACAGCAATGCATCAGAGTCCAGCACACATAGGCTCCGTAAGGATGATTTTCCTTCCCTCGAAGAAGGGACAGATTTGGATGTATTTTTAAAAGGTTTTGAGAAAGTATGCAGGCAGCATCAACTACCCTCAGACCAGTGGGGCAGATATTTAACTCCACAACTGAAAGGGAAAGCCTTGGATGTGTTTGTGTCCCTTCCCCCAGAGACTGATAACAACTATGAGGCAATCAAATCTGCATTGCAAAAAACTTTTAACCTTACTCCTGAGTCTTACAGGAAAAAGTTTAGAAGTATGCAGCAATGCCCATCATCCAGCTGCATTCTATATGTTGCACAATTAGAAACCACGTTCCGGCAATGGGTAACAGGAGTACAAGCTACTACCTATGAAGCCCTTAATGACTTACTGGTCCTGGAGCAGTTCTTGCAGACCCGGAGCCCTAATGTACGAGCGTGGATTTTGGAAAGAAAGCCAAAAAATGCTAGGGCTGCTGCAGAACTGGCAGATGACTATGCCGACATCCATGCACCCACATCCAGGCGTGGACTTGTGTCAGCTGCTACTTCGACCTGGAGAGAAGCTACAGTTCAATCACCACCTGTAAGATCTGCAGTGAGAACTTCACCGCCGACTGCCAGCGTAGCCGGGGCTATGTCAAGTGAGTCAGATGCCCGCCATTGTTTTCGATGCAACCAGATTGGTCATCTGAGCAGGACTTGCCCCACTAGGAATATGCCCTCACCAGTCTGTGGAGGGGCACCATCAGTATTGCTTGTGGGTGGGTCCGTGGGGAAACAAGAGGATAACCTGCAGAGTGTAATTGTGGGTGACCGAGTGACCATGGGACTGAGAGATTCTGGAGCTTCCTTCACCCTGGTGCGACCTGAAGTGGTGAATACGGAGGACATAATCCCTGGAAGAACCATGTCCATCAAAGGAATTGGGGGTGTATGCCCCGCTGTGCCCTTGGCACGTGTGTACCTTGATTGGGGTGCGGGCAAAGGTTTGCGGGAAGTGGGGATTTCAGAGGATATCCCTGTTAATGTTCTGTTGGGGAATGATTTGGGCAGGATGCTCTGTCACTATGCTCCAGCGGACACTGTTTGTGAGCCAGAAGGGATGACTGCTCCACCTAAGGTATTGTGTGAAACTTTGGGAGACATTGTGAAGTGTGATTGCTGGGAGGGAGAGCAGGGTGTGGATAAAGATCTACCTGTAACTGAACCAGTGATGTCTACCAAATGTGAGATAGGGGTGAGTAGTGATGTGCCTGTATTAAAATACTGTGAGGCTGGGATGTCAGAGAGTAAGGGAGAGGAGGAAGGTGAGAGCCAGAGTATCAAGTCAGCAGTGGTAACAAGTCAGCAGTGGGTCACGGCTGCAGAGTCTGAGGGGCTATGTGAGATTGCGAGAGGATGGCCTGCCTTGGAGAAGAAATTATGCGAGTGTGTGCAAAATTCTGTATCTGATCAAGGGGGTCAAATGTGTCCTGTGAAAATGTATGGGAAAAGCCTTCCAGCGAGAGGGGGCTGAATGAATATATGTGCCAATATGTGCCTGAAGCAGATGTATGTGATGTGGTGGGTGAAAATGTGAAGGGACAGCAAGGCTATGAGGGAGGGCAGAGGGTGTGTGAGCTTTACTCTGCGCCAGACTTAGCCAGTTTCCAAAGTTCGGTATGTGTGATGACCCGGAGTGAAAGTGAGCGGCACAGACAGACTCAGCTTGTGGGTCCAGGAAGGATGGCTGCAGGGAAACATACTGTTGGAGGAACAAGGAACCTTGTCAGTTTATCACAACTCACGCATACACCTAAGCAACTTTCTGATTGTGAACCAAAGGTTCAGAGTCTGATAGTGCAACAAGCCCAGCAGACAGACCGCAAAATGAAAGAGATGATGGGTGTTGATACAGTGCATCTATCCTGGGGGTGTTCTCTGTCTGCTTTTTTGTGTGCTTACCGGGGAGTGCTGCAGAAATCCATTGGTTTCTTCCCCTTACAGCTACTACATGAGCGCAGTGGGTGTGGTTTAAGGGATGTTACCAGAGATCGATGGGAAATTGAAACAGGCAAATCAGGCATGTTTGTTGAGGGTGTAGCTGTGGTATGGACTGATCACAACCTGCTGCAGGTGACAGGTAACAATGATAAACTGCTCCATTGGAGCCCTATCCTCCAACAGTATAATTTCACTGCCCGGCACAAAAAGGGCAGCTTGCATGGGAATGCAGATGGCCTGTCTCGGCAACTAGAGGGTTAATGGTAGACAGATAAATCAGCCTGTGGCTGAATTTTTCTGTCCACCATCTTAAGGGGGAGGTGTCATGCCAAAAGCATGAGTTGGTGTTTGATGTGTGTTTATATATGTTAAGAGTTGTTTTTTGTGTAAACCTTGGGATGACGTTTATTATGGTCTTTGATCTTGCACCAGGCCTAGACCATAAAACATCTAGATAGCCATCACCAGAGCTGGACACAAGGAATTTCATAGAGTGGGCAATAGACTGCCAGACCAGCCCCCTCTGATCCCCCCCCCAGGGGTCTGCCCACTGAGAAACAACTAGTTTAGATATATGAGGGTGTTGGACTATCCAGGGAAGTCAGTTATTCATTTTTCTTTTTGTCAGTAACTTCTAGGAGACCTATACCATCTAAGACTCCCACAAGAATTCTATATGGGGTAAATATATGTAAGGAATTTCTTGTGTTTTCTCCTATTTTATTTTATGTACTGTTTTGCAATTTGTTATCTGTATGTCATTTATTTCTGTATTTTGTACTCAGCACTGTGAATCCTTTTTGTCAGATTAAATGTTTACTTAATCAGCTTGTGTCTCTGTTCTCTATGAGCTTCACTCTCCAGAGGAAAGCTCAGGTAAACACGTTACCAAAAAGGGTTAACTATATATGTTTTATCAGTAAAAGTAGAACGGTGATACTATAATTCTCCTGTGTGTGGGGTAACCTAAGACGCCCGGGTTTAAAAGTCTTGGTGGTGGCAGTCAAGTGTACTAAGGGAGTTAGTGTAGAAGGGATTGCAGGGGTTAATTGAGTGGTTGCTGGGACTAGCAACAGGTAACCAGGGGTCTGGTGTCATTAATGTGTTTTACACCCCACCTCCTATAGAATGTAAGCTCGATTGAGCAGGGTCCTCTTCAACCTATTGTTCCTGTAAGCTTATTTGTAATTGTCCTATTTATAGTTAAATCCCCTTTCATAATATTGTAAAGCGCTACGGAATCTGTTGGCGCTATATAAATGGCAATAATAATAATAATAATAATTAACCCTGTCACTTCCACACTCTCCCCACTGTCTCGGCTGGGCCTATAGCCCACGCACATGACATCTGGGTTCGCTGTTATTTTATTATCTTTCTCAGGTTACTGTTGTCTAGATGCTTGAAATAGCTCTTCTTTATATCTTTAAATCAATGATTCTTATTGTAATAAATTCCTTTGAAAATACCATTTTGCATGTGCCTTGCTGTAAATTTACATCAAGAAAATATATTCATCACAATGCCTCACTGTGCCATAACTAAAACAAACAAACACAAACAAACACAATGAAAGAGACAGAGATTCTCACGAACTTTCTCTGACGTCGTGGAAAGTCGATTCTTCACTGGCTCCAAAAACATACTTCTCAGAACTCTTCTTGTTTTTGTCTGTCTTCTTGCTACCGTTCTTGGCTGCGGGGGAACAAAATGTGTCACTTAAATATTCACCAGATTACAAACTCTCTTAATAGAACTTTAGATCAGAATGTTGGAGACAAACACATGGACACATGTCAGAGACCTGTCTGTACATGTATAAAGGAAGTATATTTAATTGGTATGCATTACAAGTAAGTTCCTATGATTAGGGAGGAAGCCTATCTAGCAAGAAATTACATAGATCACTTACTGTTGTTACCGGTGTTTGGCTGTGTGCATATAAGATCAGGTCATTTCATTGAGTTGAGTGTGTGTGTGTGTGTGTGTGTCTCATGGCATATATACAAGAAATTATCAGAATAAATCCTTTTCTATGCCAAAGTGCAAGTGTGTGTGTGTCATTGGCGGATCCAGGGGGGGGGGGGCAACGGGGCAATTGCCCCCCCCCGAGATTCCCCCCCCGCCGGCTAACGCAGGGCTGGCATTGCCCAAGTGCCAGCCCTGCAATGTGCCTGTAGACCGGGGAGGGAGATCAGAGATCTCCCTCCCCGGTCCGCAGGCACTGTGCTGACAGCCGGCGGCAGAGGGAGAGAGTGAGAGAGAGGACCCGGAGCTCAGCCTGCAGCTCCTCCGGGTCCTCCTCGCTCGAGATTTGGAGCGTTGCCGCGGTTACCACGGCAACGCTCCAAATCTCGCGAAAGTGAACTCTAGCCCGGGAGCACGGGCTAGAGTTCACTCTGACCACCTGACTACCAATGAATTCCCCACCGGACCACCAGGGAAATGTCCCCCCTCCTCCTAAATAAAGGTAAGAAGGGAGGGGGACATAGAATATTTATTTTTATTAAATAAAAAAAAAAAATTTATTATTTAAAAGCCTCCTCCCCCATTACACACACTGCCCCCACATTACACACACTGCCCCCATACACACACTGCCCTATACACACACTGCCCCACAAACACGTCCCACACACACACACACTGCCCCCATACACACACTGCCCCCCATACACACACTGCCCCACAAACACTGTGTCTCCCCATACACACACTGCCCCCATACACACACTGCCCCCCATACACACACTGCCCCACAAACACTGTCCCCATACACACACTGCCCCCATACACACACTGCCCCACAAACACTGTCCCCCATACACACACACTGCCCCACAAACACTGTCCCCATACACACACACTGCCCCCACAAACACCAACCCCTATACACACTGCCACCATACACACACACTTATTTTTATTAAATAAAATTTTTTTATTATTTAAAAAGCCTCCTCCCCCATTACACACACTGCCCCCATTACACACACACACTGCCCCACAAACACTGCCCCACAAACACGTCCCCATACACACACACTGCCCCCATACACACACACTGCCCCACAAACACTGTCCCCCATACAACACACCTGCCCCACAAACATCTTCACCCCCATACACACACTGCCCCACAAACACTGCCCCCCATAAACACACTGCCCCCACAAACACCAAGTCCCTATACACACATTCGCCCCCATACACACACTGCCCCCACACACACTGCCCCACAAACACTGTCCCCCAGCTACACACACAATGCCCCATACACACACACTGCCCCACAAACACTGTCCCCCATACACACACTGCCCCACAAACACTGCCCCAGCACACACCGCCCCACAAACACTGCCCCCCATAAACACACTGCCCCAAACACCCTCGTCCCCCATACACACACTGCCCCATACACACACTGCCCCCCATACACACACTGCCCCACAAACACTGTCCCCATACACACTGCCCCATACACACACACACACTGCCCCACAAACACTGTCCCCATACACACACTGTCCCCCATACACACACTGCCCCAAAAACACATACAGTGCCCCCATACATACACTGCCCCCTAACACACACACTACAACCCTGACATACACTGCCGCACTCACACACTTCACCCTTAACACACACCACTGCTCCTATACCCTATATCCCAGCAGACCCCAGGTAAGTTGTCAAACTGTTCTTAAACGGTATGACTACTTACTCTGGGGTGGAATCCTGGCACTACTGATACCATAACTACTACACTGAGCTGTAGTGGTTTTTGTGCCTGGATTATTTAATTAAATAATCTACAAGTGCCCCTCCCGAGATCAGGCTCTGGATCCGCCACTGGTGTGTGTGTATTTACTTACTGTATAAGAGCAGGTAATTTCATTTAGGTGTGTGTGTGTGTACACTGTATATACCTTCTCCTAGGAGTTAACTAGCACTAATAAGAATCAAATTACGAAATTCAATATTAAACAGATACTATAGTCACCAGACTAGCTACAGCTTACTGTAGTTTAACTTGCTGAATTGTTTTATGTGTGACGATTATTCTCTCTTTTCATTTTAGAAAAAGTGCAGGTTTTAACAGAAATTGTCACTTTTATAAATGAAGCTTGTTACATCCCCCCGGCTGTCAAGCAGGCAACATGTCCTGTTACTTCCTGGTTTGGTTAGCTCAGTAGAGCAAAACTCAAGAGGCAGCAATTGTCCAGAGCACCTGCCTTGCAAAGAGTTCTCATTGAGCTGCATTGGGAAGTCTGTGATTGGACAAACACAGAAAGTGTGGGTGGTGTTACAAGGGGAGGGTTTTCAAAAGCTGCAGACAAGAGATTTGCAGCTTTTCCAAAATGTTTTTAGATACACACCCAATGAAAAATATATGCATGTCTTCATTGGGGTATATCTAATAGAATTTATTATTTATTTATTTTATTTTATTTTAGCCACAGTTCTGGTGACATGTAATCTAGTTTTAACATAGGATAATTTCTATTCTCATTTATTTTAACAAGGAAATAGCTATTATTATTATAATTTTATTAATTAGATAGCACCAGCAAATTCCGTAGTGCTGTACAATGTTACTGCTTAGTATCTATCTTAAAATTTATTTTCCAGACACTTGTAACTAGCAAGAAGAGGAGTGTGGTGCTTGACACAAAATAACTGGGTCATGGATCCTAGTATATTAAAAAAAAAAAAGACAAGAGGATTGTATAGCCCAACGCCCTTAGGGTGGTCTTAACAGCATTACAGACTCCCATTACAGACTCCCGTCAAAGCAGTGCACTGGGGCCCTGCCTACACAAACACTCTTAGGAATGAAAATTTAAATTATCGATAAATAATATTTAGTGGTACCGCCAACAAAAAACTGTGTTTAAACAGTAGAAAATATGCTGTACAATAGAGTTTAATCCACACAAACATTTAATAGTTAGCAAGGAAAGGCAACCGATATGGTCTGTTAAAAATGTTTGAAGAACTTTGTTATAGCTTCACAACTTCATAAAATTATGTGAGTTGATTTTGTCTTGCTTATGTACAATTAGTACATGTATGTTGTTTTTGTCAAGGTCAAGAAATGTATTTGCAACAGCAAGATCGCATGTACAGATACAACTGATACTTTAATAAAGAGGGTTTGAAGGCTCTGAATTAATCTCCCGGAATAATATCCTGAATGTTGGCAAGTCTATGGGGCTTATAAACTCGTGGAGTCCCCAGGCAACTGCCCAGAGTGCCCATGCGTTAAGACAGCACTGATTACGCCATCCCACAAGAGATGAAGGTCAAGACCTGTAGAAGTTGTGGACCTCCCTCCTTTACTATTATAATCTAAATCTGAGTGTTGGAATAGGAGGTCCAGTTTGTGGTGCCTATTTTTCCAAAAGGTTTCTAGATGCTCCTAAAGTGACTGAGGGAGAGGTCAAGTCTTCCTATTGGCACTCTCTCGCACCAGTGGTGTCTCTCTCCTGGAGACACAAGACTAATAATAATTTTTATAAGATTTCAAAAGCGTTAATTCTTTCCCAGCTGCTGTTATGCAAATAGCAGGCTGAATTATGTATTTCCTTATTTATTGTGGGATTTAATTCCTGGGCCGTTGCCAGGATTGTGAGATCCAATTTAGGGCTAATTCAGGTCATTCAACCTAAATCAAAGCCAATGGATATAAATTCAGAGATGCTACAGTTTAGAATGGTTATGATCTAATTTGGGTAAATTACTGTGAAAGTAATGATTTATTTTATCGCAATTTTATTAAAATCGACAACATATTTCATAACGCGGTAGCACTGGCTAGCACACATAATTAACAAGCAATGAAAGAGAGTCCAGAAAAAAAAGCGATGAGATCCAATTCCTGTAGAAACTCTCAAAACCTATGGTAATTGATTGTAAACTGCTGCTATTCGTTGTTTTTTTCAAATTGCACAAAAACAAGAAATAAAACTGCTGATACAGTCCTTACATTTTTCATACAGGGTTGAAGCACAAAAAAGCATCTTCGTAATGCATCTGTGGATGTGTATAACAAAAAGGTCTTACTTTTGGCAGACTTCTTGTTAAATAACGGAAAAGAAACATCGGTTGATGCATGTTTACAATCCTGAAATTCGAGTTCAGCCAAAAGTACAGTTAATGTAATTAAAAGACTATACCACAGTATGTTTGTTTTTTTATATATTTTTTGTTTTACACATATTCTGAAAAAGAATGTGTTCAAGAAGCGCAAACTCCTGTATTTTTACTTTATTTTCTCTGTGCAAAAAGTGAATCAAATGTTGTACAATATTTAACTATTCCAGTCACTTAAAATAAGATATTTAGTCCCACACTGAGTGTAATAATGCATCAATGCTTTCTGTTATGCTGTTGCACTTTATTGGCACTGTATGGAAGTGTTACCTGTACTTCATTGGATAATTAAACATTGCTTCTGGAGATATATATATATGATCTTTTGTGGGACTTTACACATCCACAAAGAAATCATTGTGATGAGACAAACTACAGACAGCATTACAAACTTCTGGTTGCTAACTCCGATGTCAATATTGATATAGGTAGGAGGTGGTATCACGCAGAACAGAATGTAAGTGAGATAAAGTTCAGAGGTGTATTCACTAAGGTGAGAATTGTTGGAAATTCTAAAAGAAATACAAAGTGAATTTCAAATTTAAGGCCAAAATATCCAAACTGGAAAAGTTATCCAAGTCAGCTCTGCTTCTATTTCACTTACTTTGGCCTTAAATTTTCTTTAGTGAAAAACCCTGCTTGTGTTTTCAATGGAAAAATGGACATTAGGAAACTATTGTTTAATATGAGAATTAGTATAGATGCTTTTAATACACCCAAATTAAATTGTTAGTGGCTTTCTCTGTCTCATTTTGTCTTGTAGGGAACCCTAACTCACAGACAGGACACAACAGACAGAATTGCAATACCGGTCCTTAGAATGGCCGGGTTATACAAAAGGATAGTCAAAGTACAAGCCTAGGTCAGAAGGAAATAGTGAGACAGAATACGAGGAGACAAGCCGAGGTCAGGGAGCAGAGAAGACAGAGTAAACAGAAGACAAGCCAAAGATTGGTAACCAGAATATCAAGACAAAGAACAACGTGCTATGGGCTAAGTAAAGACCACAACAGGGTACTGAGGTGGGGGGGGGGAGGTTATCTTATAAACGCACAGGGTGTGTGTGATTGGCTAACCTCCAGTAAGTGTTAATCACAACACGTGGGAGGTGTTTCTTCCCTCTCTTGTGATATCTGAGGTCATCACAGTGTGCCGAGATCACAGGACCAGGTCCGGCACACATACAAGGAAGCTGCCTTAGAGCGTGCAGTGCCAGAAACACTGTCAGTCTGGGGAGCGGCGGCGGGGACAGCCGCAAGCCACGGACAGGTACCGGAAGACGCCGCTCGCGGTGATGGGGTAAGCAAGGGCGACGCGGGGGTAGACCTCTGATGGCACATTTCTCTCTTGTATAGTCGGTCACTGAGACAGAACCATATGGCAAACAATTAACGAGAATCCTCAACCCCCAGTAGCAACGGTTTTACTCATCAATTCCAAAGACCACTAATGATTATTGTACCACCTCTCAATGGACTAGACATGGTTGTAAAAGGTGAACAAATGGAATCCAAGTGACAGGTGGCCTTTGTATCACTTATTGCGATCTTCCTATTGAAGTGTGAAGTTGAATCCCCAAGGGTACTAATCATAACACAGAGCAAATGTCTGAGTCCTACAAAAAAAATCCTATCAATTGCAAACAGTACAAAACACATCAACTTTATCTGGGAGCAAATACAACAAAGCAAACTTGTATAATGCAAGCCAGGTTGCAGGAATACAAAATTAACATGAGGGTGCATAAGTATGGGCTGTGCACTACAATGAATAAATATTGAAAATTAAAATAAAATCTAGTCTGAAATAGCTACTTTGGAAAATAAGCTGAATTTATTTTTCAATTATTCTGGCCTAAATTTTGCAATACTGTTTCAAATCAGCAAAATTCGCTTTTTCGAGAGCAAACCCAAATGATCTCCTAGTCAGTCAACCAAATATAAGCATCACTAATGGTTTTATGCAAAGCGTTATTAACAGTAAGATGCCCCTGTGCAGCAGTTTAAAGCCCAGTGCTTGGACAAGTGCCCCAGAACTATGTGTTTGCTTGGTACCATTAACCATGCCTATGTGAAGAATAAAAGGGGGGCAAACGGGTAATCTGCTTACGGTCCCTTGGGATCTTAATCATTCTGTGGTTTTATGCTTATAATAAATTCCATTCTTAAGCACTAAATGTGGAGCACAATGAATTTGTTATCCAGACTAAGGCATCAGGGACTCAGGAAGGACTGAAATTCTTCTGTCATATAAGCCAACACGGCACGGCTATATAAGCCTAACACTTTGCAGTTATCCTCTACTCCCCACTATTCAGTGGGTTGATTATATAAATAGTATAAATAGGATTATGTAAGAAAACCTTTCCTCGTCTGCAACTTATTAAATAAGAGTTAGGTGGTGCCTTGGAGAATAAGTGCAGTGCAACGACCATAATATGTGGGATCTGAGCTGGCCACAACTTTTATTTCTTGGCTGAAATCCCAGTTTGAAACCCTAAGGATGCAGCATCTTCTATTCAAAAACAGCAGTAAGCTCACAGCACGACTTCATTAAAAAAAACTACCAGATCAGGGATGAGTTTAGAGAGCCTAAAAACAAATATCTCCATTATCGTCAAGGTCTGCTTTAATGAAGCTTTGTAAATAAATATATATGCCAACATTTGGTAATATGAAAACATCAATTTAAACCTCAATTTTGCTGTCCAGATATCATCTACAAAAATTCAGTTTTTTAGTGAATAGTTATGAAACTGCTGCTGAAGAACTCACTTAAATGGTTTACTTTGACCTCGGCAGATGAGCTTGCACTCTACAACTATTTAAACCTCTATAATTTAAAAGTATACATTGGAGATAGGAATTGTGTTTATTTTCTTTATGCATTGACCCTAACTCAAGAGTATTAGGAGTTTGAGTGCAAGGTTAGAATGAGTGCTGTTATCAGTGTATTATACATTATACTTATATATTTTTTCCCAAAATCTTTCTTTGTTAATGAAATTCAGTCGAGTCGAACCACCAAATGGCCACAATTAACCCGTCCAGAATATTTTATATTGTCAGCAGAAGTGATTCAGCTGAATTTTTCTTTTTTTCATTGTGCACAAGTCTAGTGCTAAACAACTCTGTTATTCAAAGTGAACATCGCAGTCTAAGCCTACGAGTAAGTCTATACCACACGAATGACAAGACCACCTGGGAGCTGGAGTGTGCCGGCAATTAGCCTCCCAGAAGCTGCGGTTAACCGCAGCTTAATTGACGAATACTTGGTGGCCGCCATTCGTATAACGTGGCCATTTTAAACACGCGAACAGACAGCGGTGTTCGAAGCTTAATTCATGGAACTAAAAATTGACACAGTTCGGGTGTTTTACTTGACTATGTTATACCCCAGATAGGAATCCCATGGAGCCCATTCGTATGAGAACTGACTTTGTAAAGACTTTGGCTTCATGGCGATTAAACTGTATTCGTGTGGTCTGAGCGCCATTTGCTTAATAATGTGTGCTCAGACCTGAGCTATCTGGGGACATGTTAAATGTATAGTTTTATTGTAACTTGTGTCATACTGTGTATTTTAATAGTAATTCATGTTTTAGTATCCCCACATGCATAATGGCGATTTGCCTTTGTCTTGGGAGATAATTGAATTACTTCTCAATTATCTCCAAGGCAGAGGGGAGGAAGCCAGGATGCATTGTGGGAATATAATGTGACTGTGTGTCCTATTTGTCTACTTGTCTGTCTTGTCACAGTCTCCTATTTGGTCGCCTAGGGGAGTTACCACCAGGTGGGAGACCTGCATAAATACTGGGCTGGTAGCCCTCATTAAACAGACCACTGCTTGACCCTCAACACAGAGTCTTGTCTCGTCTTTGGGGGGATTTACTGAATGCTGATAGAGACTGATTGCTAGGAGTGTAAGCCGCTTGGATGCTTTTCCTATTCGTCTGCTAGCAGCGATTCGTATGGTTCCAGTTCGTGTGTTTGGAGTGCTATATTGTATGCCGTTCGGGAGTTTGGAGCATTCCCTTATTGGCGGTTCGTGAGTTTGGTGTTCTACAGTAGCTGTGCCTTCATCTCTGGAAGGGGAAGATCTCCTAAACGGCAGTTTAACCCTTTTATGCCTGGGGGTGCCTTTACAAGGGCTATCCCCTCTAAGAGTGCTCATTGTGCGGCCAGCTCCCCATGGGTAAAGATGGATTAGTTTTTTATTGTAGTGCTTTTTTTTTTTGCAATTGGGTCTTTTTTTTATTTTAATTGGTGGCATCTAGAATTATGGATTTTTATTTGACCTTTTTTGTGAGTGAAGGAAAGAAGAATTATAAGAAAGACTTCTGATAATAAGTACATTTTTTTCAATGGGTATTAGATTTTTTTGGCTCCCTCCTCACTATTATTAAGGTCAGAGGCAGGGCTGGCCTTAGGGGTGTGCAAGCTGTGCGGCCGCACAGTGCGCCATGGACCAAGGGGTGCCATGTGGCCGACACAGCTCGCACATAGCCGGGTGACAGGAGGTCAGGGGAGCCAAAACAGGCACCCGGGTGGAGGATTTTACTATTCTCCACCCGAGTCTATTTTAAAAAAAAATTGCGGCAGCGGGGGCGGGGCTTAATGAGAGGCGGGACGGGGCTGGACTTATCGTGAGGCGGCTCTAATACCATCCCGAAGCCCCTGGTAACTGCTGCACAGGAAGAAGGAAGTGCGTGTGTGTGTGTGTGTGACTGTGTGACTGTCAGTCTGTGTGACTGCCTGTCTGTATGTGTGACTGTCAGTCTGTGTGACAGTCTGTCTGTGTGTGTGATTGCCTGCCTGCCTCTGGGTGTGTGTGTGTGTGTGTGTGTGACTGCCTGCCTGTGTATGTGTCTGTCAGTCTATGTGACTGTCTGCCTGTATGTCTGACTGTCAGTCTGTGTGACTGCCTGTGTGTGACTGTCTGTCTGTGTGACTGCCTGTGTGTGACTGTCTGTCTGTGTGACTGCCTGCCTGCCTCTGTGTGTGTGTGTGACTGCCTGCCTGTGTGTATGACTGTCTGCCAGTATGTGTGACTGTCAGTCTGTGTGACTGTCTGCGTATGACTGCCTGCCTGTGTGTGTGTGTGTGACTGTCTGTCTGTGTGACTGTCTGCCTGCCTGTGTATGTGACTGTCAGTCTGTGTGACTGTCTGCCTGTATGTGTGACTGTCAGTCTGTTTGACTGCCTGCGTGTGACTGCCTGCCTGTGTGTGACTGTCTGTCTGTGTGACTGCCTGCCTGCCTCTGTGTGTGTGTGTGTGTGTGACTGCCTGCCTGTGTGTGTGTGTGACTGTCTGTATGTATGTGTGACTGTCAGTCTGTGTGACTGTCTGCGTGTGACTGCCTGCCTGTGTGTGCGTGACTGTCTGTCTGTGTGACTGTCTTCCTGCCTGTGTGTGTGGCTATCTGTCTGTGTGACTGCGTGTGTGTGTGTGTGTGAGTGTGACTGTGACTGTTTGCCTGTTTGTGTGACTGCCTGCCTGTGTGTGTCTGTCTGTGTGACTGCCTGCATGTGTGTGTGTGTGTGTGTCTGTCTGTCTGTGTGACTGCCTGCCTGTGTATGTGTCTGCCTGTTTGTGTGTGAGACTGTCTGTCTGTGTGACTGTCTGCCTGCCTGTGTGTGTTTGACTGTCTGTGTGACTACCTTCCTGTGTGTGTGTGTCTGCCTGTGTTTGTGACTGTCTGCCTGCTTGTGTGTGTGACTATCTGCCTGTGTGACTGCCTTCCTGTGTGTGTGTGTGTGTGTTGTGTGCGCGTGTGTGTGCCTGCCTGTGTGTGTGTGTGACTGTCTGCCTGTGTGTGACTGACTGACTGTGTGTGTGACTGACTGACTGGGTGTGACTGTCTGCCTGTCTGTCTGTCTGTGTGACTGCCTGCCTGTGTATGTGTCTGCCTGTTTGTGTGTGAGACTGTCTGTCTGTGTGACTGTCTGCCTGCCTGTGTGTGTTTGACTGTCTGTGTGACTACCTTCCTGTGTGTGTGTGTCTGCCTGTGTTTGTGACTGTCTGCCTGCTTGTGTGTGTGACTATCTGCCTGTGTGACTGCCTTCCTGTGTGTGTGTGTGTGTGTGTGTGTTTGTGTGCGCGTGTGTGTGCCTGCCTGTGTGTGTGTGTGACTGTCTGCCTGTGTGTGACTGACTGACTGTGTGTGTGACTGACTGACTGGGTGTGACTGTCTGCCTGTCTGTCTGTCTTTGTGACTGACTGCCTGCCTGTGTGACTGTCTGCCTGCCCTTCTGTGTGACTGCCTGCCTGCCTGTGTGTCTGTGTGACTGCCTGTCTGTGTGACTGCCTGCCTGTGTGTGTGTGTGTGTGACTGTTTTCCTGCCTGTGTGTGTGACTGTGTGTGTGTGTGTGACTGTCTGACTGTGTGAGACTCCAGTTGTGTGTGTCGCTGTAGCTGTGCCGTTGTGTGACTGCCTTTAACTGAGTGTGTGTACGCATGCCTGTAACCGAGTGTGTATGACTGTCTGCTTGTAATGGAGTATGTGTGACTGTCTGCTTGTGACTGAGTGTGTGACCATGTGCCTGTAACTGTTCGTGATTGTGTGCCTGTAGCTGTGTGTGACTGTCTGCCTGTAACTGTGTGTGTGTGACTGCCTGTAACTGAGCGTGTCTGACTGTCTGCCTGTGCCTGTGTGTGTGTGTCTGTATACAGGCAACTTGGTGGGGGGGGAGTGGGGCGTCATGAAGACTTTTCGCAAAGGGCGCCTAATTCCTGCCCTGGTCAGAGGGTTAGGTAGGGACTTTCTTTTAGGGGGATGGCTAGGAAATTGGGGACCTCTAGTCACCCGGGGAGTATCTTATCTTATAATTAACTAGATCCCCCACCCATCGGAGGCCAGGGAGGGTATATTAGGTCACGGAGGGCACTACTTCACCCTAGTAAGAGCACAGGCCCCATCCAAGATGAGATAAGACCTTTTTCAGTGGCTGGACAGCAATGGCTGCCCAGTACCTAGTTTTAACGACACTCCAGTGCCCAAAAACTAAATATTTTAAATCACTGTTTAGTAGATATACCCCAAATGAAAAGTTTTTTTTAATTATGCATTTTTCTTTTTTCAAATTCGTATTTTATTGAGTTTTCAAAGTAACCATGTGGGGGGTTACAGAAAGGAAGAAAAGTGGGGGGGGGGTATCCACAATTATAGATTAGATAGTTACAATGTAGTAGCTACCAGTATTCAGTTACAAACAGTCTGTTACAAACATTACACCTTGTGCCTTCGTTAATACATACAAATGTGTATCCAGCCTGTCTTAGTCGGTCGTGCGTCTTGTGTCATGTTCGTGTTTAAAGCCTTCCCGGTGCGTAGGGTAGCCTATGTGTGCATGGCAAGTTACCCTGGGTGCTGACTGTCCGTTATGTATTTGCTCCATCTTTGCCAATTATTGTGTGTGAAATCTCTACGACTGGGTGTCGAAGTAATCAGCAGTTCATGTCGCAGATACTGTTGTGTCTTGTGGAGTAATTGCTGTGGCGTCGGGCAAGTCTGTTGTTTCCAGTGGCACGCAATAAGATTGCGCGCAGCAAGTATTAGTATAATCAGTAGTTGCTTGTCCTGTGCAGGAATTTGAGCAGGCAACAATAGGAATAGACTAATGATGGGTGTTAGAGTTCCCTTTATAATTCCTAGAGAATTGCCCAGTCGTTGGACTTCAGTCCACAATGGTAAAATATTTGGGCAATCCCACCAGACATGCCTCATTGTCCCTATATCATTAGAGCATCGCCAGCATGTGTTCGGTGTTGCTGGATAAATTATAAATTATGCCATTGAGTCGTAAAAGCGAAATTCGTCAGAGGGGGATGTTGCCCTAAGGCGGCATATCCAAGGGATAAAGCTTTTGCTTTGATTGGCGCATTCCGGCACCTATTATATATAGCTATAAGGTCAAGGTTAGGGGCGGGAGCATGTTGGGTCGGGGTGTGTACCCTTTCTTTAATTATGCTTTTGAATTTATGCATTTTTCATTGGAGCTATATCCAAAAACAGCTTGAAAAATTTGCAGATAGCTTGTCTGCAGCCTTTGCAAGCCCTCCCCTTCTAGCCTAGCTCAGACTTTCTGTGGTTGTCCAATTACAGACTTCCCAATGCAGCTCAATGAGAAGTTTTTGAAAGGCAGGTGCTCTGGGCAATTGCTGCCTCCTTAGTTCAGTGCAAATACCCCAGAAGTAGCAGTCTGCTTGAAAAGTTACGGGGTGTATCCAATATATTTTATGAAAGTATCAATTTCTATTGAAATCTGCACTATTTCCAAAATGAAGAAAGAGTACAGACTCTTCACACATAAAGCTTTTCAGCAAGCTGGAGTGTCCCTTTAAGTTTAGTAAATATGTACAGTACCTCTATTTTAGCAAGGTGTTATTTACTTCGAAAGATTTTTATTTATTTACCTTTTCCATGTGACAGCTGGTTAGCGAGTGCTGACAAGCCACCACATAATTAACCCTCGTGGTGCTGAGGGTTTTTAACTATTCTCGCGCCAGCTTGCAAAATGCAAGTGAATGATTATTTGTGAATGTGCATGTAGCGGAACGCCAATATAAAATCCACGAATTCCGCTGGTCCAGAACGAATCCACAGTCAAGCGCTGAAAATACCAAGGCAATATCCCCAACCTCCCAATAACCGGACGAGACACAGTTTTGGGAGTCAACTGACAATCCTTTATTCAGCACGACAATTTATACAAGTCCCCATGCAAGGGGTCTCCTGAGTCCCTTCCCAGGGGCATTCCCAGAGGGGACTACATGGGGGACTTACAGTATAACATATTTCTCCCATCAGGCACTGCTGCACGAGAGGGATCATCCTCCCAGAATGCACCGTTAAGGGGATTATCCCCTCGTGCAGCAGAACCGGCAATTCATATAAAAATACATAACTTTTAAAATACACGGTGGATTTACACGAATGGACGTTCGGTAGATAGCTGGGGTCTGGGCGCATCATTCGTGAGATTGCTGCTCAGATCCCAGCCAAATTAACCGAACGCCGCACAGAAAACACATTTCTTACAAAACCCACAAAAGGAACCGATTGCTTTGGGTGAACTTGGTCCTGAAACTCCCGAACGTCTGGGAGGCTCAGCGGTGTTCGTGCCGTCGAATAACTATTGGTAGTAGTATGCGTTCGACGACACGAACCCGCTGACGAACAAGGGATCCAAGATGGCCGACCGCCGCATGGTCGGTAGTCGAACGACGGCCACCCAGGAGAGCCTCTAATAACCGATTGCAACAATGTTGCAATCGGTTAACTAGCGCCACACGCCTCTAAGTGTGTGGGCTATTAGGGGGTATCGCGTTCGGTTCACGAACGGCTTTCTAAAGTGCCGTTCGTGAAACGAAAGAAAATCCCCATACAAAACCGCCAATTGCATTCGGCGGAAACAGTATTACAGGCAACACGGAAAATACCTTAACATCTACATATGTGTACAGCGCATATCTCGCCCGACCTAGTGGCAACCCTTAAAGGCACAGTCTCTGGTTATTGTCCAAGTGGCTAGGTTTGCCACAGTGCACATACCGCATGCATTCAGTTTACCATCGGCCGCCATGCGGTCATTGCTAAATCTCGGATTCTACTGTTGTGATTTGGTTCAGGTACGGATATTAGTGCTTTTCTAAACTCATTCAAACCAACGTTACAGAATCGTTCGGACCACCCGAATGCTGACCTCATTTGGCTTTAGTAAATATGACAATTGCCAATGCGGTTGGAATTTGTTCGTTTTCACCGGTGTTTAGTAAATAACTCTGTAAGGTTTAATTTTTTTATTGGAGCGTAAATCTGTCTCAACTCCTGAGAATAATCTAATCTAAGACTTTAATCTGGGTTGTATATATTAGCTTCACTAAGTTTTACACTGCGAGTATGCACACCCCTTGTACAACTTGGGCTGAACCCTGTGTTCTCTAGATAAGAGAAGCTGAGCCACAGACAGTGCTGGGACACTGCCCACAGCTTAATATATCCTGATTTACTAAACAGCACACCCAGCTATGTGTAAACTGAAATCAGCCACAGTTTGACTGAACTGAAATTATAAGGCAGTTCCACTCATTGTCGTACAATGGGGGGTGGTCAGGGGACTTTCCAGTCTGAGTGACAGGGGGATGTACACCACACTCCCACCTGAGCAGGCACCTTGATCATGGGAGGAGAGAGAGAGAGAGAGAGAGAGAGAGAGAGAGAGAGAGAGAGAGAGAGAGAGAGAGAGAGAGAGAGAGAGAGAGAGAGAGAGACTCCAAACTACATTTCCACCCGAGGTGCCGGTAATTAACCCTAACTATATAAAGGTACTGATTGTTTAAAATGCTTTCCGCACTCACTACTTCTTAGTTTGAGCGGCTGTCACTCCAGAAGATCATAACATTTCCTTACAGTGAATATATATTTTATCTGCTCGCTTCATTAGACAAATTACTAACAAATGCTTACATTACAATGTATTCATAAGTTCAAGGCTCTGTCTTTGCTTAAAGGCAAAAAGAAAAACTATTGCTGCTGTAGGCTGATACACATGCACCTGCATGCCCACATAATGCACACTGTGACCCACAATGCATACCTGTGCATCACTAACATATCCCTCTCTTGTTACACATAGACAGGTAGATGTATTCACATATAGTCAGTGCAGAGACCATACTGGTGGAAGTGATATTGGAGTAAATCCTATTAATATATGCATTTTCTTCAATTTTGCCAGTAAAATTTATGGATCAGGTTTGTATAGCACCCTAAAGCTGATCTTTTCATTTATGTAATTTTTTTAAATTATTTTTTTATTTTTTACAGGTTTTCTTTATTTTCTAAAAAAATATATAGTTTAGAGTGCAGCAGTAACCCAACTTGACCCCATGATGACCACTGTAATGTTGTTAAACTTTCCTAATATACCTATACAAAAGAGTATTAGTATTGTGTTATTCCATTGTACAGCGCTATGGAACTTGTTGGCGCTATATAAATAATAATCTCGCACCACTGCTGAACATCTCACACTGTGACATATTCATAACTGTCTAGTGATAACAAAACTCCAGTTTCCAGAAGCATTATTCTAACTTCTAAGTACAAACACGTTTTAAATAGATACAGGATACTCTAGAACTTGACCAATGTAGTTACTCCTATTCCTAACAAAATATATTCCAAAAATAATGGCAACAGCGCCACCACCAAACCAAAAGGTTGAGGTGAGCACTGCAACTAGGAATATCAAAACCTTTGATTTCAGAATTTTCTAACACATCTACCTGCTTACTTTATTTAGGAATCTTCTATATTATTGTACATGTGATCAGTCCATATGCTCCTATGTATCACTTCTCTAGTATGAAACAGGGTTTTGCTAAAGTCTGTCAATCATTTTTATTGTATTTTCTATTTTACCCTCCAGCATAACAACTACAGCACATGCAAGACATTCCCATCTGACAGAGTGAATAGTTTATTCTATAACAAATAATTGACATCTATTGCATAGAGCTTTACAGTTCTGTTAAATGTAACAAATGATACAGTACTCAGTCTGTGCTAGCAATTCTCTGCCATACAATATTTTACACACATAATATATTATTTAAGAGCACACTATGTCTGCATATTGCCCCATGATTTAAAGATGCAATAACTTTGCCTGTCTGGATGGTAGATTACCTTGTGTTTGCTGTTGACTTCTGTCTTCCTTCTTATTAACCTTTTTGGATTTGATATCCTTCTTGGGCAGTGGGTATATCTCATCTCTTGCGCCCTGAGTCCCACGATTATTGTCCCCTCTGGGCTCCAGGGGGATATTAGACTCTGGCTCTGGCTCCAGAGGTGTCTGTAGCTCCTCAGGGTCCGGGTAAGAGTAATAGTGATCCCTTGTTAAGATCTCCTGGTGATAGTAGTCTTGCTCATCTGGAGGTCTTGCCAGAGATCCACGAAGATAGGAGACCCCCATAAACAAGCACCACCAGTAAAAAGGCTGCACCATATCTTGATCTGTTTATCCCCACAAAAAGAAAAGGCTTGGCAAACCGGAGGTTTAAAACAATACCTACAGTGGTTAGGAAAGAGAGGGAAAGACAGTGGATTGGTTGTGGTGACAATTTGGAAATGTGGGAAATGTTAAATAAAAAAAAGACATGACAAATTAAATTCCAATAAATGACTAGGGAATGAAGAAGATTTTAGATAAGAGACATGTGTCAGTTTCCAAAAGCTCAAAATAGTTGGATATTCAAAAAGTTAAAGTTTGTAAAATAAATAAATAAATAAAGGTGATGTGCTTTAGTTAAAAGACACACCGATCAACCCAGTGGGAGATTTGAATTAACAGTAATTCTGGGGCAACGTTCTAACAGTGGAGCAGTAACCATGGAAACCAATAGAATGTCTCTGCTGATTGCTCCACTTGTAGAACTCTGAAATGACTCTTTGCACACAGCTCCCAATGTGTCCAGAAAAAAAAAAAACCCATACCTTAAATTGAGACAGGTAACAGAGATGCTTAAATGGCATTTCCAGTTAAAGCCTCACCTTGGTAAAAGTTTCAGTAAGCAACTTTTCAGGATGGAGCAAGGCTCAGGTTAGTCACTTACCTATTAAGCTGTCTCCTGAGAGATGACCCTCCTAAGAAGCACAAAGCTCTGATCTCAGGTTCCTTATTACAGGATGAATTAATCACCAGCTGCATAAAAATAGCCTGTGTCAGTGATAGGAGACAGTCCTTGCATCTTCCTGAGGACTTTCGATTGTCTGCAAATGAGACCCTCTCCCTCAGTGCCTGAGCTTGCCTTTGCTGTAGCTCTGCCCCCAGGAGAGAGTTTTCACTGGAAAGTGTCCGCGTCAGACTTTTCAAATGATGTGTTGGCTGTTGTGGAAGGTTTCAGTGTGTATGCTGCTGCTGTATAAAAGGCGAGGTGTTGTAATCTGTGTACAGAGAGCGGGCTGCTGCCTTGGTCCTGAACTTCAGGGAGAGGCAGCTGTTTAGAGGTGAAACAGACCAGGGAATAAATGTACTGTATAGATTAGACAGACCAGGGAATAAATGTACTGTATAGATTAGACAGACCAGGGAATAAATGTACTGTATAGATTAGACAGACCAGGGAATAAATGTACTGTATAGATTAGACAGACCAGGGAATAAATGTACGGTATAGATTAGACAGACCAGGGAATAAGTGTATTGTATAGATTAGACAGACCAGGGAATAAATGTACTGTATAGATTAGACAGACCAGGGAATAAATGTACTGTATAGATTAGACAGACCAGGGAATAAATGTACTGTATAGATTAGACAGACCAGGGAATAAGTGTATTGTATAGATTAGACAGACCAGGGAATAAGTGTATTGTATAGATTAGAAAGTCAGACTTGGAGTGAAAGTTTCTGTGTGCGTTTCTTTTAGTGTAGGTGAGTGGAATTGAAAAGTGTATGTGTTACGTTGTGTGTGTGTGTGTGTGTATCAGTGAGACTGAATGTATCCGTTTGTCAGTGTTTCAGTGAGTGAATGTGTCAGTTTGTCAGTGTTTCAGTGAGTGAATGTGTCAGTTTGTCAGTGTTTCAGTGAATGAATGTGTCAGTGTTTCATTAAGTGAATGTGTCAGTGTGTCAGTGTTTCAGTGAGTGAGTGAGTGGGTCAGAGTTTCAGTAAGTGAATGTGTCAGTGTATCACTGTTTCAGTGAGTGAATGTGTCAGTGTGTCAGTGTTTCAGTGAGTGAATGTATCAGTTTGTCAGTGTTTCAGTGAGTTAATGTGTCAGTTAGTGGAGTGTCAGTGTGTTTGAGTGTATGTATCAGTGTGTTTGAGTGTATATGTGTATCTGTATACTGTGTATGGTGCTAACCCTTTGTTAAAGTCATCTGGTGAACAAATGTTTACACTTCAGGCATAGGAGGAAAAATTATAAAAGAGATCTGAACTACTACTAGAGGATAGTTAAATAAATAAAACTGAAAGATAAAACCAAAACAAAAGTGTTTCAGTGAGTGAATGTGTCAGTGTTTCAGTAAGTGAATGTGTCAGTTTGTCAGTGTTTCAGTGAGTGAGTGTGTCAGTGTTTCAGTGAGTGAATGTATCCGTTTGTTAGTGTTTCAGTGAGTGAATGTGTCAGTTTGTCAGTGTTTCAGTGAGTGAGTGTGTCAGTGTGTCAGTGTTTCAGTGAGTGAATGTATCAGTTTGTCAGTATTTCAGTGAGTGGATGTGTCAGTGTGTCAGTGTTTCAGTGAGTGAGTGTATCAGTTTGTCAGTGTTTCAGTGAGTGAATCTGTCAGTTGGTGGCGTGTCAGTATGTTTGAGTGTATGTATGAGTGTGTTTGAGTGTATATGTGTATCTGTATACTGTGTATGGTTCTAACCCGTTGTTAAAGTCATCTGGTGAACAAATGTTTACACTTCAGGCATAGAAGGAAAAATTATAAAAGAGATCTGAACTACTACTAGAGGATAGTTAAATAAATAAAACTGAAAGATAAAACCAAAACAAATTAATGATATCTATTGCTTAGTAAATATTTGGATTCACAAATATATTTAAAGTTTAATAAATTCTGCAATAAAATATAGGCGAGGAGACTAAGGTTAAAAAAAGAGAGGGGGAAGGGACAATGAGGGTGTGGGGGTAACACAGCAATGACATCATATTACAACCACGTTAGGACAATCTCATACATCATAATTCAAAAATTCAAAGGTGATTCATATTTGGACCTCTTAGCGCTATGTTAAAGGTAGTGACGCACATCTTGCTCATATCACTCCCTAGGTCCTTGAATAAGGTAAGAGACATATATTGGGAAGAATACAAGGTGATCAAGTTATGTAGTACAATGTAACCCACAGTTATGGCTCTTGAGCCTTGCCCGATCTCCATGTGTCCCACATGCTCCAAGACTCCTGAAACCTTTTATTTAGAGTTTATATGGCTTTGAATTTATGTTCATACATACTATTTCTGTCAATGGTTTATAGCATTGCTTCAGTTGGGGAGGTGAGGGTGATTTTCACTGTCTCGCTGTGTGTTGCTAAGCTGTAAGTATAATATGATACTGCAAGTTTCTGTTGGACTTTAGTCAGCATATCTATATTGAAGATTAGTAAAAAGGTTTGTGGGGTGATGGGTTCATATAGTCCTATCATATGTTTTAAAACAGACTGTATTTTTACCCAGTAGGGTTGTATTGTGGAGTATGCGCACCAAATATTAATAAAATGTCCCAACTCACTATGACATTTCCAGCATTTTTTTGATGTAGTGGGGAATATTTTTTGTAGTCTGGTTGGAGCCATGTGCCATCTATACAATTTTTTTATGTGTTGTTCAAAATGGGAATGGTGAGTCAATCCTGTGTGTACCGTAAAGATTTGGTGCCATTGGTCAAGGGATATTGTATTGTTGAGCTCTACTTCCCACAGTTGAGTTAAGCTTGTTTGAGATGTCGAGTCTGGGATGTCAGTAATTGGCAGCACATGGAGATCGGTTTACAAACTTGGCCCAAAAATCCTGAGATACTAGTTAGTTTGAACAGGTTACATGTAGGCGTTGGCACGTTAAATCTTCCCAACTACTTCAATTTATTGATAAGTGAGAGTAGTTGTAGATATGAGTCCTGTGTCTGTTCTGGAAGATGATACTTGGTTTGGAGTTTATGAAATTCTATCATAGAGTCTTTGGACAAGATGTGGCACACATGTGAGTGAGAGGTTATCAGGAGATACCAATGTTACATTCTGCAAGTGGTACGTGTCAAAGTAACATCCACATAAATGCAAGGATCCAATTTCCCAGCAGAACATTGCCCAGAACATAAAACTGCCTCCGGCGGACCTTCTTCCAATAGTGCATATTGCTGCCATCACTTCCCCAGGTAAATAACGCATCCACCTGATCTAAAAGAAAACATGATTCATCAGACCAGACAACCTTCACCCATTGCTCCATAGTCCAGTTCTTACACTCACATCCCCATTGAAGGCCTTTCAGCAGTGGACAGAGGTCATCAATGGCACTTTGACCAGCATGCAGTTATGCAGACCCATACGCAGAAAACTGTGATGCACCTTCTATCATGGTCAGCAGTATGTTTTTCACTGATTTGAGCTACAGTCCCTTTTCTAAGTGATTAGACCAGACGGGCTAGCCTTCGCTCCCCATGTGCATCTGTGAGGCTTGGGCACCCATGACCCTGGTGCTGGTCAACCTGTTGTTCTTCATTGCTGCACTTTCGGTAGATACTAACTAATTCATACCAGGAACACCCTGCAAGTTTTGCTGTTTTGGAGATGCTGTGACCCAAGTAATCTAGTCATCACTACTTGGCCCTTATCCAAGTTACTCAGATATATTCGCTTGCCTGTTTTTCTGCTTCTAACACATAACATTCAAGAACTGACTGTTCACTTGCAGCCTAATATATCCCACCACTTGACAGGTGCCATTGTAACAATATAATCAATGTTATTCACTTCACCTGTCACCTGAAAAAAAGTGTCAGCCAGCTAGCGATGTAATAATAATACATGCCCTTCCTTATACTTCACCAGGTATGCCAGCAGCCATTCAACCATTAATATCTCATCCTCTGGACCTTAACCATCATCCTACAAGTGTAGGGTCTTTTGCTATTATTTACCTATTATACCTGCCTGTGGTCGATTTAATTTACACCACAACCTAAATGGGTGCTTTAGATGTTAAAACAAAAGGGCAACTATTCAACAATGGCCACAGGTTTCTTCCATTACTATGCCATACAAAGCAATTTACTAGCATGTATAATGATAAAATTATTAATTAGGGTAACCGTACTTGGAGTACATCATCCTGTACATGAATAACCCTCTCACTGACATGTGTGGTGCAGCACTTGATGAGGGACCATACTACGACATCCCTCCAGGTTGAGGAGATCTAAAATGTATGTCTGACTGATAGCTAATTCAGGTTTCCACATATTGGTTGCTCATTTCAACTGTTTGTTTGAGAATTTCAAGCATTCAATAACATCTGGAGCAGCTAAGAATATTTGTATGTTCATGTCCATTTGGACGCCCTCTTGCTAATTTCAGAGATCCGGAGGTGGATAAACATTGTGCAAAGTGTCTATATTTTTGGATTGTCTCAAAAGATCTTTGCTCTCCGTTAGTTCAAAGTTTAGTGAATAAATAAACTTGTTGCCCTGTCCTGTCCCTCTGGTACTTTACACCGTGATCTGGTTTAACAGATGGCCTCATGAAAGTCTAGCATTAACTACAATAGAAACACAGATATTATTACGATACAGTCTAAAGAGAGCATCTATTGAAATTATATAAAAAAAATTAATATATATATATATTATAACAAGAATGAATCAAGTCTATTCTCATCTGTAAAAAGAAAATGTGAAATAGGTGACAATTATAATTGAATGTTGTCCTGTTGACTTTGGGACGTGTTTTCCTATAAAATAGAACTTTTTAATTAGTCCTCTGATACTGACAGACTTTTGTAGGACGTTCTATGCCATTATTTTTTCACAGATATTATGTTGCTATGGCTTTTCTTTGTCCATTTGTGGTTCACCAATTATTAAGATGTGCTGGGATGAACTGTAGTAAATCAGCCTAGCACCAATCTGCTGGACTATTTTAAGGATTTCACTTGTTTTGACGCCAATCATTTTGAGGATTATAATGGATTTCCTGCAGTCATGCATTACGACAGTCGGACTTAACAGTTGAGAAATATATCATTGCTCAGCTCTATTTGTCTGATAAATGGAAATGAGATTTCACATGTTGCTACATTCACATATTGAGCACATCTGAATAAAATAGAATTCTTTGATAACTTTTAGAGGATCAGCACTATTTTAGAGTGAAAATGCTGACAAGAAAGCCAGTTTATATTCTCTTGTGGATTTCACGTGTGAATAATATTAATTCTCACATTTTCTTTTGAGGATCATTAAGTAAAAATCGAATGCGTGTGCAAAGGACATGCCAATGCCAAATTGTCCTCCCACACCTACAAAATATTTGAGTTTGTTTGAGTTCAATCACTATCTAGTTAAAGATAAAAAAAACTGCTAGCAAATGTATAGTTTTTGAGTTTTTTTCTATTTAAAAACATGGTCCTTCAGCCGGTTATTGATATTAACCTCTTTGTTGTGGGTTGAATGACAGGAAAGAGCAGGAGAACCCTCCTACAGGCAGTTGTTGTGGGTTGAATGACAGGAAAGAGCAGGAGAACCCTCCTACAGGCAGTTGTTGTTGTGGGTTGAATGACAGGAAAGAGCAGGAGAACCCTCCTACAGGCAGTTGTCATGCTCTCCATTAGACTTGGGCATCCTTTTTTTTTCATCTGAATTTTCAACAATATGTACATTTGTCAGAAAGATGACCAGACAAATGCAAATTCCTACAAATGTAACACAACAAATTAAGTGTTGGACGAGATTTCATCCATGCACTTCATTTTTTCATTTGTTCATTTTAGTTGGTTAAAAGAAGGAAGCTACTGGCTTTTGGCTCCCTCCTTGTAATATTTGTAAATCCCCCCATAGCCCCCTCAACCTTAGGGTTAATCCTATTTGTGTCAACATGACTTCTATATTAGTATAAGGAAGTTTAAATCTTCCCTCATTCCCCTACCCAACGTGCTGCAAGGAAGGCATGTCAAGAGACTGCTGACTGTAATAAAAAAAGAATTGCAACTGAGCAGCATTTGCTGCCCTGTTGCTAATCGAATAAAGACGAGCCTGGCACAGGTTCCCCATGCCCCCATGGTGAGTAACCTAATAAATTAGCTAACAGGGGAGGACTAGTGTTCCAACTGAGAGCCCACCCATGCCCTGAAAGTGGGGGCAATTCAAACAAACTGGGTTAGACATAGCATCCCCCTCCAGCCCCCACCCATTGGCCATGGGTAAGGGTTTTCAAATAAAATTAATAGAGGGGGCATAGTCCCCTTCTCCACTTACACATTGGTGGCAGGTGGGGGTTCTAAAAATAACTATGGTGGAACACAGTGTCCCCCCAGCCCACTACATTAGAATAATAAGGAGGTTTGATCTACTGTTCCCCTTACCTTCCCCTGTCCACACGCATTGGTGGCAGATGGAAGCACTAAATAACAAAGAGGGATGAAACTATTGCCCCCCACCCCAACCCCAGCCTTACCCAACTCCAAAATAAAAGTAATGGGCACATATTACCTGAAAATGTATTAACGAATGGACAAAATTTGCTTTGGACAATACTAATTTTTTTTTTAATCCAAATGTATTCTGACAAAAAAAATAACTATTTTTAAAGCG